TGAGGCCTGTCACACCTTCACCCTTGACTCAGGTGCTTCCCGCTGTTTCTTTCGTGACAGTACTGAGCTCACACCGCTTCCTGCACCGGTCCCAGTCTCCTTGGCTGACCCCTCTGGGGGCCCAGTCCTTGCCCAGTCCACCACTGTGCTCCCTTGTCCAGCGGTTCCGTCTGGCTCGTTGTCGGGTTTCCACCTCCCCTCGTTCTCGACGAACCTGGTGAGCAACGCTGTCATCCAGGATCAGTGGGTTGACACCTTTACCCCTGGAGGACAGCGTGTGGCGATCTGCACGTGCTCCAGGACCGGCCGTCACCTGGCTACGTTTACCCGTCGGCCGGGGTCGAGTCTCTACACACTGACCACTGCGTCTCCTCAGGTCGCTGCTGTCGGTCAGGTGTCCGCGTCAGGTCTGGTGGCCCACGCCTGTGAGTGTCGTTCCCTGTCGCACCAGACCCTTCTCTGGCACCACCGCCTGGGTCACCCCTCCTTGCCACGCCTCCGTGGCATGCACCGTCGCAGCCTTGTGTCTGGTCTTCCCAGGTCCCTCCCTCCCCTCCCTGCCTCGCCTGCGCCGCCTTGCCTTCCTTGCGTCGAGGGGCGGCAGCGCGCCGCTCCTCACTCCTCCTCGTTCCCCCCGACAGAGGCTCCTCTGCAGACCCTCCACCTGGACGTGTGGGGCCCAGCCCGCGTTCGTGGCCAGGGCGGTGAGCGGTACTTTTTGCTGGTTGTCGACGACTACTCGCGTTACACCACGGTCTTCCCCTTGCGCACCAAGGGTGAGGTCCCTGCTGTTCTGATCCCTTGGATCCGCACAGTTCGTCTCCAGCTCCGCCGCCGTTTCCGGACGGATCTTCCTGTCCTGCGTCTGCACTCTGACAGAGGTGGTGAGTTTTCCTCCGATCTCTTGAGGACCTTCTGTCAGGCGGAGGGCATCGAGCAGACCTTCACGCTTCCGGACTCCCCACAGCAGAATGGGGTTGCTGAGCGCCGCATTGGCCTGGTCATGGAGGTCGCTCGTACCTCCTTGGTCCACGCGGCGGCTCCCCATTTTCTGTGGCCGTTTGCTGTCCGGTACGCCGCGCATCAGCTCAACCTCTGGCCCCGTGTCTCCTTGCCGGAGACCTCGCCCACACTGCGTTGGACGGGGGAGGTTGGCGATGCGTCGCGCTTCCGGGTGTGGGGTGCTCGTGCCCTTGTCCGCGATACGTCCGCGGACAAGCTCTCCTCCCGCACACTTCCCTGTGTCTTCCTTGGCTTTGTTCCTGACGCGCCGGGCTGGCAGTTTTACCACCCCACCTCGCGCCGGGTCTTCGCCTCTCAGGACGTCACCTTTGACGAGTCGGTCCCTTTTTACCGTCTCTTCCCCTACCGCACTGCCCCCCTCCCTCCCCCGCCGCTTTTCCTTGCTCCTGGTCCCCCTCCGGTAGACCCCCTTCCCCCTCAGGGTCCTGCTCCTTCAGGTGTCTCTCAGGTAGACCCTCCTCCCGTCGCTGAGCCTGTCGAGGTCACAGGTGACTCAGGTGCTGCTGCAGGTGGTGCTGCTGGGAGTGCTGAGCCTGGGGGTGCTGAGCCTGCGGGTGCTGGGCCTGGGAGTGCTGGGACTGCGGGTACTGGAGCTGAGGGTACTGTGCCTGGGAGTTCGGCGCCTGGGGGTGCTGAGCCTGGGGGTGCTACGACTGGGGGTGCTGAGCCTGCGTGTACGGAGTCTGGGGGTGCTGAGCCTGGGGGTACTGCGCCTGAGGGTACTGGGCCTGGGGGTGCTGCTGCTGAGCCTACGGAGCCTGGGGTTGCTGCGTCTGGGGGTGCTCTTCCTGGCGGTACTGGAGCTGCTGGAGCTGACGACGCTGGAGCTGACGGTTCTGGACACGGTGGTCCTGCTGGTTCTGGAGGTGCTGGCGAGGGGAGGTCTGTCGCTGCTGGGGCCTCTGGTGCTGACGTCGCCGACTCGGGGGGTGCTGTGGCGGAGGGTGCTGGTCCAGGTGCTTCTGGTGCTCCGGGTGCTGGAGGTGCTGGCGGAGCTCCGCCGTCGCGCCTGTTCTTCGCTCCTCCGTCGCCGTCGGCTTTGCCGCCGCCTGACACGGTTCTTCGCCAGGTTCTTTCCCTCCCGTCTTCCACTGGCCTTCCCCTTCAGCCTGGCTCCCCCCTCCCTGCTCCTGTGCCTTATACTGCACAGCCGGACTCGCTTACGGAGCGTCGTGAGCCTGCGTCTCGTCCTGCCTCGCCTGTTCGCGCTGCTCGCGCTGCTCGCACTGCGCGCACTGGTCCCACTGGTCGTCGTGTCGCGCGTCCGCGTCCTCCTCCTGTTCCTGGCACGCATATTATGGCCCTTCGTCCTTCCACTGGTCCACAGCGTGTCCCCCTACCGTCTCCTCCTGCGTCTTCTCTTCCTGACGTTCCCGACCCTGAGTCTGACAGTGTTCGTGCTGCCCACCCTACTGTTACGCGTCTTCTCGCCACTGTTGTCACTGACCCGTCGTTTGAGTCTGCTGCTGCGTCTGCCCTGGTCGCTGAGCTTGTCAACTTTGCTGCTGCCTGTCGTCTAGACTACGCCGCCAGTCTTGTTGCCGGGTCTGAGTCTGTCTGTCCTCCGTCCGTCGGGGGTGAGTGTGCTCTTGGCACGGACGTCCTTGAGGACAGGCAGGAGGACTTTGACTCTCTTGCGGCTGCTGTACCTCATCTCGTGGCCTGGTTGCTTGCCCCTGAGGGAGACCCGGATGCACTAGACATCCCCACTCCGCGCTCTTACGCAGAGGCGATCTCGGGTCCCTACTCCTCTCAGTGGCAGACAGCCATGGACGCAGAGATGGCATCCTGGAAGTCCACAGGCACCTACGTCGACGAGGTTCCCCCTCCTGGGGCGAACATCGTCGATGGCATGTGGATTTTCAGGGTGAAGCGGCCGCCAGGTTCTCCACCTGTCTTCAAGGCTCGTTACGTTGCTAGAGGCTTCAGTCAGCGTCAGGGGGTTGACTTCTTCCAGACCTTCTCCCCCACCCCGAAGATGACCACTCTTCGGGTTCTGCTACACGTTGCTGCTCAGCGTGACTACGAGCTTCACTCTCTTGACTTCAGCACAGCGTTCCTGCAGGGCAGCCTGCACGAGGAGATCTGGCTGCGCCGCCCACCTGGCTTTACTGGGTCGTTTCCTCCTGGTACCCAGTGGAGCCTCCGCCGGCCAGTCTACGGTCTCCGCCAGGCGCCACGTGAGTGGCACGACACACTGAGGACTACACTTGCAGCTCTTGGGTTCGCGCCGTCTACTGCTGACCCGTCGCTGTTTCTGCGCACAGACACGTCGCTACCGCCGTTCTACATTCTCGTGTACGTCGACGACTTGGTCTTTGCTACTGCTGACACTGAGGCACTCGCTCGTGTGAAGTCGGAGCTGCAGAAGAGACACACCTGCACTGACCTGGGTGAACTGCGTAGCTACCTTGGCTTGCAGATCACCCGGGACAGAGCTCGCCGCACCATCACCCTGACTCAGTCACACATGGTGCAGCAGGTCCTTCAGCGCTTCGGCTTCCAGTTCTCCTCACCACAGGCCACACCTCTGGCTACCAGCCACTCGCTCTCAGCTCCACCTTCGGACGAGTCCGTAGAGCCGAGTGGCCCGTACCCAGAGCTTGTAGGCTGCCTCATGTACCTGATGACTTGCACGCGACCTGACCTCGCGTACCCACTTAGCATCCTTGCTCGTTACGTTGCGCCTGGGAGACACAGGCGAGAGCACTGGGAGGCTGCTAAGAGGGTGCTGCGTTACTTGTGCAGTACATCAGGCATGGGGCTGGTGCTTGGAGGACGCGACAGAGTTGTCCTCACTGGTCACTCGGACGCTTCTTGGGTGGACGACCTGGCTACGCAGCGGTCGTCACAGGGTTACACCTTCAGCATTGGTTCTGGTTCTGTCTCGTGGCGGTCCACCCGCTCTTCTTCTGTTCTCGGCTCTAGTTGTGAGGCTGAGATCTACGCCACATCCATGGCTGCACAGGAGTTACGCTGGCTCACCTACCTGCTGACTGACTTGGGAGAGCGGCCTAGTTCTCCTCCAGTTCTGTACGGTGACAACAAGGCGGCCCTTGCCTTGTGTCAGGAGCACAGACTGGAGCACAGGACGAAGCACATTGCTCTTCGCTACTTTCTTGCTCGAGAGCTTCAGCAGCGCGGTCAGCTTCGGCTTGTGTACGTGGACTCGAAGGCCAACACTGCTGATATCTTCACCAAGGCGCTCCCGTCTAGTGATCATCAGCGGCACTGTACTTCTTTAGGCCTTGTGTCCATGTTTCCTCACTTGCTTACTGCTTGACATTCTTTGTACTGTACTTTATATATATCTTGCTGCTTGTCCTGTTCTATATCTAGCACTGCATGTGAACTGGCCTTGTGGCCTTTGCTTGTGCTCGGAGTGTGGTGACGTTGTGATCCACCCTGGGCTTTGCTTTGCTTTGCTGGACTGGTCTTGTGACCCTTTGTTCTCCCCCACTTTGCCTATGGGGGTGTGTTAAACTGTATTATGTTTGTAGGCTGTAGTGGGGTAGCCAATATGGGGTACAACCCCAACTAGGGTTAGCTACTTGTACCCAATTCTTCCATTCAATGCATCATTCTTGCCTAGTTCTTTTCACAATAACTTATAAGGCGGCTGCTGCTGCTGCTCCCAACGCTACTACCTGAAGGAGCAATTTGGTAAAAGCATGGCGATTGGATGTGGTATACACAATGAGTGTGAATCGGTCGGTGTGACTTGGCTCCTTCTGAAACGGTTTCCAGACACCACTGACCCACCATCTCAGGCGGAAGTCTCTTGGTACGGACAGCAGAGCCAACGCGCGCCGAATTCAGGTTAATCTGTAAGTGAATGGCGGAATGATTGAATGGAGGGAGGGGAGGAGAACGGAAGGGGGAAATGAGGGAAGAGCTGAGGGGAGATGAGGGCAGAGCGGGGAAAGAGGAAGTTGACTGGGTGAGGCGTGAGTGTTGGGGGGAAGGAGGGGCGAGTGTTAGAAGGAACGGAGAGGGGAGGGGAGAGAGGAGGTAAACGGGGGGAGGAAGGAGGGGGGGAGGAGAGAGACCACGGCTGAATGGATGGAGAGGGGGAGGGGATGGGGGAAAGAGGGGAAGGGGGAGATGGGGTTTGAGTGAACGGGGAGTTGGGGGGGAGGAGAGAAATAAGGGGTGAGATGAAGGGCAGTGAGGGGTGCGGTGGGAAGATGAGGGGAGAGCGGAGGGGGATGTGAAAAGCCTTCTCCTGCCTCCTCTGCCCCGCTCTCTGTGCTCTGCCTGTGCCCTGCTGCGCTGGGTGCTGGGACCTTGGGCTGCAGATGCTGCTTCTGCTTCTGCTGCCACCTCAGAGAGGTCACGAAAGCCACACGTGTCCTTCTCCCGGTTTCCCCGCGTCCCCCGCCCCTTCCCCCGAGCTCGCTCCCCCTTGCCCCTCCCAAGCGGGCAGCACTGTCGGCCAGAGATGCTCCTCGCGCACCCACAGCACGAACCACCCCATCAGCACAGAGGCACCTCCTCCTGCCTCCTCCGCCCCATCAGCACCGATGTGGCAAAGAATGCGCACGCGGGAAGCAGAGCAGAGCATGCCACGTGGCAGGTTGCCGCCAATGCGGCTGCTGCGGACACGTGCGCCCCCAGTGGCGCGGCAGAGCCATGGCTTCCCCCAGGTGGAGGCGCGCCTTGCTCAGCTGCTCCCAGCGATTCCCCATTGCGAGGTACAGGCCTGTTGCGAGGTACCGCGCGGATGGCGCCGTGGCTGGGGGCGGATGCGGGCGGAAAGGGGGGAGGTGGGGGGAAGGGGAAGAGGGGAAGAGGGGGAGAGGGGGAAAGGGGGAGAAGGGGGAGAGGGGGGAAAGGGGAGTGGGGGGAGAGGGGGAGTAGGGGGAGAGGGGGAAAGGGGGACTAGGGGCCGTTGGGTAATAGGAGTGGGGGAACCAGGTGCAGGCGCGCGTGCGATAGCGGAGGGAGCAGGCGAACATGGAGGGAGGGACGAGGGACGCGCGCTGGCCACATACACGACTGTTCAGGCGCCCAATCGCCATTGGTTGCCACACGGGATTCCCATGACGATCGTTTCGGGGAAGGGCGGAAAGGAGAGAGGTAAGGAGGGGGAGTACGGGGATCGAACGGCGCGGAGTACCTGGCGGTCTGCGACTCGTCGCACTCGAACGCGCTGCTTTGCGACGGCCGCCCCGCTGCGACGACGACGGCGACGCCAGCGAAGCCCATGTGCGATCTCGGCGAAACCGTCCGCGTCGCCCGCGACGGCTGTCAGAAGTATGTAACAGTAGCGCCTTAGTAGGTAGCGCAATAGGTTGCGCAATAGGTAGAGCAACAGGCAGCGCAATAGGCAGCGCATTAAGCGCTAGCATTCCCCCACATCGATGACTAATACTAATATCAAGTCGACCCTCTCTAGCGTGTTTCTTGTTTCCCTCGAGACAACGCGAGGAGCGATTGACGTCACTCATTCTGCTCTGCTCTGGTGCGACCAAAGGGAACTATTTCACGTGTGTGGCAAGCTTTGGCTGGAGACGAGTGTGCGACGCGACGCGGCATGCGGACCGCGCAGGCTGAGGGAAATATTTCACGACAGAACTCTGTCCAGGTGTTATTCATACGAACGTTCATCATTTAACTTTACAACAAGGGAAGTTCAAACACTATTCCTTCTTCCTATGCCTTCTAAGCTACAAGTCAGAATAGAAACTTCTTGCTAAGCCTTCTATTCCTTCTAACAATAACTAGATCAAGTCAGAAGAACAACTTATTGCTAGTAAGCCTTCTAAGCTCCCTAAGCCTTCAGTGTGAGCAGAGCAGATCCACTTGCGCATCCACAGCAGCTTGACTCTTGACCAAGTCTTCTCGTCTTCAAGTCTTCTGTGACCCCTCTTGGCCGTCAGAGGCAAATGCCCCTGACGTTACACCCACGCACCACGATGAGGTGAGGGCCATTCGCGTGGGGCCTGCTTGGGAGGGCACAAACGGTCAAAACTAAAAAAAAGGGGCAGATGAAATAAATTAATAAATTAACACCTCGGGTCGGACGATTCTCCGTTGTTGTCAGTGTTGTCAGGATGACGGCCAGCCGTCACAAAAAAAGAGGCATACCTGACCACCACCCATCCCATCGCCCACGTGATTGTGCCTAATCGAACGCCTATCGCTCCTAAACGTCCTGTAACACACCTCGGATCGGACGATTCCCGTTGGTTGTCAGGAGGAGTTGCCATGATGACCCAACCCATCGCCCATGTGCATGTGCCTAATCGAGGGCCTATCGCTCCTAAACGTCCAGTACCCAACCAAACCCAAACACATCTTACACGCCTGGCGCTTGCGCTGGTTGCTCCCGCTCCCGCCAAAGCTGCAGTAAAGGGCGGGACGGGAGGGGGAGTCAAATCCTCCAACCTCGCTCCTCGCTCCGCCTCCTCGCTCCGCATCTCCCCCGCTCCACAGCCCGATACGTGAGGGAGTCCGCGTTGACCTCCCTTGTCGCCGCCGACAGCGCCGTTTGCTCCCGCTCCCGGTCGTCCTGCGCTAAGAGAAAAGCCCACAACGGAAAATGTTAGAATCTGGAAAAGAACGAATCGAAATCGGAACTGCACCTTACCATGTGAGGGAGTCGGCGTAGCTTGAAGTCCCGTTGCCGCCAGCGCCGCTCCCGCTCGCCTGGCCCTGCATTAAGAGTGAAAACAACGAAAAAGAAAGTAAGAATCCGGGAATATAAACGAATCGAAATCGGAACTGCACCTTACCATGTGAGGGAGTCGGCGTAGCTTGAAGTCCCGTTGCCGCCAGCGCCGCTCCCGCTCGCCTGGTCCTGCATTAAGAGTTTAAACAACGAAAAAGAAAGTAAGAATCCGGGAACATAAACAAATCGAAATCGGAACTGCACCTTACCATGTAAGGTTCGGCGTAGCTTGAAGTCCCGTTGCCGCCAGCGCCGCTCCCGCTCGCCTGGTCCTGCATTAAGAGAGAAAACAACGAAAAAGAAAGTAAGAATCCGGGAATATAAGCGAATCGAAATCGGAACTGCAACTTACCATGTGAGGGAGTTCGGCGTAGCTTGAAGTCCCGTTGCCGCCAGCGCCGCTCCCGCTCGCCTGGTCCTGCATTAAGAGAGAAAACAACGAAAAAGAAAGTAAGAATCCGGGAATATAAACGAATCGAAATCGGAACTGCACCTTACCATGTGAGGGAGTCGGCGTAGCTTGAAGTCCCGTTGCCGCCAGCGCCGCTCCCGCTCCCCTGGTCCTGCATTAAGAGAGAAAACAACGAAAAAGAAAGTAAGAATCCGGAAAAATAAACGAATGGAAACTGGAACTGCACCTTACCATGCGAGGGAGTCGGCGTAGCTTGAAGTCCCGTTGCCGCCAGCGCCGCTCCCGCTCGCCTGGTCCTGCATTAAGAGAGAAAACAACGAAAAAGAAAGTAAGAATCCGGGAATATAAACGAATCGAAATCGGAACTGCACCTTACCATGTGAGGGAGTCGGCGTAGCTTGAAGTCCCGTTGCCGCCAGCGCCTCTCCCGCTCGCCTGGTCCTGCATTAAGAGTGAAAACAACGAAAAAGAAAGTAAGAATCCGGGAATATAAACAAATCGAAATCGGAACTGCACCTTACCATGCGAGGGATTCGGCATAGCTTGAAGTCCCGTTGCCGCCAGCGCCGCTCCCGCTCGCCTGGTCCTGCATTAAGAGAGAAAACAACGAAAAAGAAAGTAAGAATCCGGGAATATAAACGAATCGAAATCGGAACTGCACCTTACCATGTGAGGGAGTCGGCGTAGCTTGAAGTCCCGTTGCCGCCAGCGCCGCTCCCGCTCGCCTGGTCCTGCATTAAGAGAGAAAACAACGAAAAAGGAAGTAAGAATCCGGGAATATAAACAAATCGAAATCGGAACTGCACCTTACCATGTGAGGGAGTCGGCGTAGCTTGAAGTCCCGTTGCCGCCAGCGCCGCTCCTGCTCGCCTGGTCCTGCATTAAGAGTGAAAACAACGAAAAAGAAAGTAAGAATCCGGGAATATAAACGAATCGAAATCGGAACTGCACCTTACCATGTGAGGGAGTCGGCGTAGCTTGAAGTCCCGTTGCCGCCAGCGCCGCTCCCGCTCCCCTGGTCCTGCATTAAGAGAGAAAACAACGAAAAAGAAAGTAAGAATCCGGAAAAATAAACGAATGGAAACTGGAACTGCACCTTACCATGCGAGGGAGTCGGCGTAGCTTGAAGTCCCGTTGCCGCCAGCGCCGCTCCCGCTCGCCTGGTCCTGCATTAAGAGAGAAAACAACGAAAAAGAAAGTAAGAATCCGGGAATATAAACGAATCGAAATCGGAACTGCACCTTACCATGTGAGGGAGTCGGCGTAGCTTGAAGTCCCGTTGCCGCCAGCGCCGCTCCCGCTCGCCTGGTCCTGCATTAAGAGAGAAAACAACGAAAAAGAAAGTAAGAATCCGGGAACATAAACAAATCGAAATCGGAACTGCACCTTACCATGTAAGGTTCGGCGTAGCTTGAAGTCCCGTTGCCGCCAGCGCCGCTCCCGCTCGCCTGGTCCTGCATTAAGAGAGAAAACAACGAAAAAGAAAGTAAGAATCCGGGAACATAAACAAATCGAAATCGGAACTGCACCTTACCATGTAAGGTTCGGCGTAGCTTGAAGTCCCGTTGCCGCCAGCGCCGCTCCCGCTCGCCTGGTCCTGCATTAAGAGAGAAAACAACGAAAAAGAAAGTAAGAATCCGGGAATATAAACAAATCGAAATCGGAACTGCACCTTACCATGTGAGGGAGTCGGCGTAGCTTGAAGTCCCGTTGCCGCCAGCGCCGCTCCTGCTCGCCTGGTCCTGCATTAAGAGTGAAAACAACGAAAAAGAAAGTAAGAATCCGGGAATATAAACGAATCGAAATCGGAACTGCACCTTACCATGTGAGGGAGTCGGCGTAGCTTGAAGTCCCGTTGCCGCCAGCGCCTCTCCCGCTCGCCTGGTCCTGCATTAAGAGTGAAAACAACGAAAAAGAAAGTAAGAATCCGGAATATAAACAAATCGAAATCGGAACTGCACCTTACCATGTGAGGGAGTCGGCGTAGCTTGAAGTCCTCCGTGCGCCGTGTGCTTCTCCTCCGTGCGCCGTGCGCCGTACTTCTCCGCCGTGCGCTGCCTTACGCAGGCGCCTCCCCGTGCGTCGCCATCCGTTACTCCGTGCGTCGCAGTGCTTCCCGTGCGTCTCGCTAAGACTCGCTGAAGTAATCGCGTCTCGCCAAGGCGATGGTCAATCGTCGTTAAAGGACCTGCGGGAGACGGCAACAGATTAGTCAGCTTGTTTCCCCAAAAAGGCAGAATGAGTCGATTGTTAAAACGATGTTGAAACGATGTTGCAGAAAAGCAAACGACGCGCGATTGTTGAAACGAAGCGCTTACCTCCACTGCGTCGGTGAAGATTTGTTGGCGGCGCGACGGACAGGGGAGGCGCCGCGACGAGCTTGAAGCCATGTTGACTCATAAAGGAGGAACATCGTTCCCATAAAGAGTCGTCCCATAACGTCAAGATGATCGTCTGCAGAAAGAAAGTAAAGCGAGTTAGAAACAAATCTAAGTTGCTGTTTACAAAACGAATAAAAGGACGGCTGCAGGAAGAAGTTGATAAACACATACCTCTACTCGACCTTCTTGCCGCATCTCGGCTCATCTCCGCGCCACCGGTGAGCACATCTCGGCGACGACTGCGATGTCAAGCCTTGAACGTGACTGCATCGTCACTTTCGAATGGCCAAGGCGGCTCGTCGTGGAAGAATCTTGGCGGCTCGCCAAGAGAAGATGCTCCCATAAACGGCAAGACGCTCGTCTGCACGAAAAAACGTGAAACGAGTTAGAAACATTCCCAAGAGCACGTGAAACGAGATGATGAAACGGCAACAGAACTTACCTCCACTACACCGGAGATGGGAGAGGCTGCACCAGCAGGGAGGCGCCACGGGGACGCCATGAAGCACCTGAAGCGTCGGCGATCGTTGCTGACTTGCCGCTTGAGTCGCTTTCGAGTCGCCGAGACGGATCCATCCGCGAAGACAGTTGGCGAGTCCGGCCTTTCAGGTCCGCAACTTTCGAGTCCCCACGGCTTTCATGCTTGAAGCGCCAACGGCAATGAGACGGTGAGAGCCGAATCTTGAGTTAGGGTTGGACCAGTCGGCTTCAGGTTGGCTTGAGTGCGTCCCGCTTTGCTTGGCTTACGAAGCTTGAGTTTGAAGATTCATCCGCTCTATAGACGCTCTTGGAGCGTAGATCGCGAAGTGATATCTCCTCCGTGGCGAGTTTCATGAAAAGATCTTGCAAAAGAAGCTCGCCATGTAGATCTTGCGTAGGAGATTATGAAATAATTGCGGTGAAAAGGTCGCCGCTATAATTCCTAGTAGCACACGGTTCAGCCTTTGACACTTAGCAGCTCACTCTCTCACGGACTCTAATCTACCCACCCACCCACCCGACCTCTAATCTACCCACCCACCCACCCGACCTCTAATCTAACTCAACGCTGCTGTGCCTCGGGCTTCACCGTGTACCAACTAGGTGACTTCAAGTAGCTTTGCTTGCTCCGGGGAGCTTCTAGCCTGAAGTCTAAGCTCATTGGGTTGGAGCTTTCTGAGAATCCTTCCATCAGTTTGAGTTGAGAAGGATGAAAATGGACGACATTGACAGAACTTGGATAGTCATGCTCAGAAAGATAGCAAAAGGTAGAACCCGCAATAGAAGGAAGAGGAGGCTGCCGCGGATGAATGGATGAGACTGAATTCAAATCAGCAATTTAGCCGCCATGGTGCGTCCTACCGCGGCATTGGCCCAAATGTGATGGGTCAATGCAGGAAGAGTAGCAGAAAGCCCAAGCATTTTCCTTGGTGCAGTGCGGTGGGAAGTGGTCGACATTATTGAACTGCTGGGGTGGGAGGGAATCACTGACACTAGACTGGGTGCGCGGTGCGACAATAACAGAGTGTGTTTCGAATGGATGGATGGTGGTGGTTTAGCGGCCCTCAACGGTGCCGATTACATCTGTTTGTGGCATGGGATTCCATCTGATGGTGGCTTTTGCCATTGGCCAATGAAATGCCCCGCCGACTAAGCGGCAAGGGACAGTTCCCCAGGGCGCGTGGCGAAGATGTTGAGGCGGCTCGATCGAAATGTGTCCCCGCCGTATCCATCCAGTCAAACTATGATGTACATTCTTGGTTCTGTACACAAAGTTGGGTCAAAAAATGTTTTTTGTTTGCTTTTATCTGTATCTGCAATCGATTCTGCTAAGGGCGCGTATTTGTTTGGTGGGGGTTGGTTTGGACCTGCTGGTGTGCTGGGGCGCGCTCGTGCTTTGTGTGTGGTGGTTGGCGTGGCGCTAGTTGGTTCATGAGTTTTTTTAGTTCGGCGTGAGGTGCGGGACGGCTTTGGTTTGGTTGTGGGATTCGTGCGTGGAGGAGCTAAAAAGTTCAGCTGACTCACTTTTGTGCTATTGAACCGTATCCGGGCATCTGGAAAAACAATGGGTGGATGAGACTAAATCTGTGCGAACCAATCGGGGTGGTGGGTCTTTTCGCCACCCTGGCACTTCCACCACGGCGTTATCAACAAACCGAACCTGGCAACTCCGAACCTGCCACGCCTCTCACCCGTACCTACCCAGTACAGATGCAATAGCAAGGGTGTGACTAGCATTACCTCAACCTAATCTGCTTTCACCAGTTGTTTCGCCGCTCATCTTGTTAGGACGGATCTCAGCGGGGTAGTCGATGTGATTGCAGCAAATTTCAGAATCGTAGCAGACGCCACTGACGTTATCGGTCTTAGTGCTTATCGCTTCACCCGTCTAGTGGCGTGCACGCAGAGTCAGCTCTGATATTAGACAGAGCAGTATCAGTACGACAATGTAAGTTGCGCGCTCCAGATCTGACATTTTCTTTACTTGCGGATTGCCGACGGAAATAGTTACGTTCGTTCGGACAAAAGAGTGGTGTCGATTGCGGACGCATCGGGAACTTAGCGCGTACCGTCGATTAAACTGGGGGTTTCGTCGACTTGGAGAGCGTCGGCGCTAGCCTGGACGCAGACGGTAAAAAAAAGGACGGCAGGTGAAAGCCACTATTTGAGGGGAGAAGAGGGGGATGGACGGGCGAATGCCTCTATTTGAGGACGGAAAGGAGTGGCGGTAACAAGGAGTGTTGAAAGGTAACACGGAGTTGCGACCACTTTCTCCCTATTTTCTCTTTCCCCCCCTCCCCCCCCCCCCCCCCACCCCCCCCCCCCCCCACGACCCCCCCCCCCCGCGCGCCCCCCTTGTCGTTGCAATTTCCTTTTTCCGAGGCTGAGAGCAGAGCAGGAGTGCCGGCAGTTCCGCTTCGACCACAATTTCTAAGGTGCGTGGCGAGTCAAGGATGTATGTTCCTTTTCGCTCACTTTCCCCCTATACCCCAGTGTAGCAACGCGTCTCCCAGCTTCCCCGCTCTCCCCTCATTTTCACCGCCCTCCCCTCATCGTTCCGCTCTCCCCTCATCATCCCTGCTCTCCCCCCATCTTCCCCTCTCACTTCCCATCTTCCCTTCTCGCTTCCCATCGTACCCTCTCTCCCCCCATCTTCCCCTCTCTCTTCCCATCGTACCCTCTCTCCCCCCATCTTCCCCTCTCTCTTCCCATCTTACCTCTCTCCCCCCATCTTTCCCTCTCTTCCCATCTTACCCTCTCTCCCCCCATCTTCCCCTCTCGCTTTCCAAGGGGGTAAATCCACTTGGTTGATTTTATTATTAGGGGGCCAAATCTCCGTAGGTGGGTGAGTGAGAGGGAAAGATTCTGTAACCCCTGGATGAGTGAGAAGGATGAAGGCTGATGCATCTGTGGGTTTGAGGAAAGCGGGTTGAAACCCCATGGATGGATGAGGGACAACGAAGGGGCTGAGTCCTCTTTGTTGGTACTTATGTAAAATTATGTCTAGGGGCTAAAACCCCTTTGATGGGTGAGTGGAAGGGAAGGGGGCTGAAACTCTGTTTGGGCTTCAATCGAAGGTAAGGGGAGGAGATGCCATGGGAGAAACCCTCCCATGGCATGGTGCAAGACAAGTGGTGATTGGGAGGCCATGTGGCAGGGGATGAGCTTCTCAAGGCGTGTTGCGGGGGGCAAGAGTGGCGGCAGGGAGGCGAGGGGTGAGAGCGGGGAATGCGGCACGACGCCTTTACTCCCCACTGCAGCTGCCGCTCTTGTGTGCGGAGTGGCCATGCCATGGTGTGGCATGGCATCTGCAGAGCAAGGATGATGGATGGGCCCAGAACTGGAGCGGTGTGGTATGTGCGGCTGCTACATGCACTCTTGAATCTGCCACAACCGAGAGTGGTGTTTCTGGTGATTCTCTTCGTACGCTGCGAACAATATGCGGGTAGTTATCATTGTTATGAAGCGAGTTTCGTTGCCTTGGCATAGTGTAATATATCAGTGGTGATGCAAGCTTCATGTCATATGCCAGAAGAATTAGTTTTGTTTCAGCCCATGCCCTAGTTTTGCCTTGCCATTACCTCTTGTACCGTACTGTATGTGCCTCTCATGGGAAAAGGCTTCAGAAGATTGATACCCTTACGTCGGATTGTGCAAAGCAGGTGTCATTATTGGAGATTTAGTGAACATGCTAGATGTCATGTGACCATAAGTTTCATTCCCCTCATTGACAAATTTTTAATAACACTTTCACTATCTGAATAGTAAGATTGTTCTGATTATTTTTGCTACACTTCTCGGCTCGCTTGACAAATCCCTCGAGGTTGCTTGTGGCGTCGTGCCTCGCAGCCCTTGGCTGCTCCAAACGAGCCCTCGATGATGCTTTCGGTTTGGTGGTCCGGCCCCCCCCCCAAACCATTCCCACTGTCGTCCTCCACACTCCATCATATCATTCATTTCACCCTCGGATCCTCCCAATTGCCATTCTCTTTCGTGTGCCTTCCTTCCCTAGCTCATTCCTGCACAAACCAGTTAGCCAGCAGCACTGTCCCATAAACCAGGTTTTTACGTTTCATCTGGTAGGGATCAGCCTCTGGTTTTGTTTACGTCGTTCTTCCACCCGTTAATTCTTTGCCGCGTCGTCCATCTGCTCGCGACGCTCGCGAATCCTCGTCGTCGTTCGTTGTGCTCTTCTGCTCTCACCTTTTTTCTGCCACAATTTTTCCCTCGCCACCCAGCGTTTGTTCGGCTACATCACGCGGTCCCTAGGCTCGTACATGGAATCGGACGGCGAGGCGATTCTGCCTCGCTCGCCCGACTGCTGAAGCTTTTATGGACGGTAGCGGTGGCCGTAAGAGGGCTGAGGCAGCAGCAGCAGCAGCAGCAGCGGCTGCGCAGGAGAAGGAAGCGTCCGCGCGGAGCAGATTCCGCTCCCGCCACCATCTGCGCTCCGCCGTCACCGCGGGTGGCTCGTCCGTTCCCGTTTCTTCCTCCTGGTTTCGCGTCTCGTCGTCGTCACCGTCGGCTGTTCCGTCTTCGTCGTCCGTTGGCCGTCGGATCGCTCTTCACCAATCGTCCGCGCCAGCCGCAAAGCGCGCTAAAACATCTGCCGCTGCCGCCGCCGCCGCCGCCGCCGCCGTTTTTTCCCCGATCTCTCGCACTCCCGCGTATCTCGTATCCCCTCCGTCCGCATCCGCACAACCTTCCGCGCAAGTAACTTCTGGGCGTGCGCGACCGTCCGCTTTCTCCCCGCCTTCCGCAAAGAGGCTCACCAGTCGCGTCACTTTCGCTGCGCCCCCGTCGTCCGTTCATCGCGCGGAATCTCGCGACTCGCATCAGGCGAAATCACGCGCTGCCGCGAAAGCTGGTGCGACCGCTGCGACAACCACAGCATCGTCGCGTGGTGCGAGTACTGCTAGCGCCAATCTTACCCCCCCCGTCTCCGCTCCCCCTGCGGGTGCTGCAGGGGCTGGTTCCGCCAGCGCGGGTACAAAGGCGAGTGCGCGCGCCGCTGCAGGTGGCGCAGTTGGCGGAGGATTAGTCGGAGCGAGCGGAACTGTTGGTGGTGGTGACACGGCAAGGGGGAGCATGGATAGAGGTTTTTTCAAGTCGTTTGGGCACGAGGAAGGCTCCAGAAGCAAGCGCTCCTCGGAGAGAGAAAAGGAGAAGGAGAAGGAGAAGGAGAAGGAAAGGAGGAGAAGAAGGAGAAGGAGAAGGGAAAAGAGAAAGAGCGGGAGCGGGAGCGTGAGAGAGCGAGGGATAGGGAGCGCGAGCAGGAGAAGGCGGCGGAGGATCAAGGAGGCGACGACGCGGACGATCTGTTTCTAGGACCCGGTGGGCTGCTGTCAGGGCTCGATTCCGATGGCGACGGGGACGCGGCAGCTGCAGCAGCTCTCCGCCAGTCGTTCACTTCGTCTGCTGGTACTGCTCTAGAGAGTTTGCTCCGCCGCTTCTCCGTCTCTATTGATGAACTCCTTCCCTCCCCGTCCGCGCCTGGCGCCGCCACAGGCGCAGCAGGCGGCGGCCCCAGCAGCAGCGGCGGCGGCGGCGGCGGCGGCGGTGGGTGGGGCTGCGGGCGGGGCAGGCGGGAGCGGGTCCGCGTCCGCCCCGGGGCCGTCTTCCGCAGCTGCGCCCACGCCCGCGCCCCCGCACGCGTCCGCGCACACGCTCACGCGCGCGCATGTCCCCCAGCCGCAGGGCGGGAGGTACCGATCCATCCTGGCAGGTCTAACCGCGGAGCACGACACGAGCAGGCAGCTAGAATCCCTCTCTCTCCTCTGCGACCTCCTGCTGATCGGCACAGAGGAGTCCCTCGCGTCGTTCCCTGTAGACGCGTTCGTGCCGCCGCTGGTGGCTCTACTGGAGTGCGAGTATTGCCCCGATGCCATGCTGCTCGCGGCGAACGCGCTGACTTACCTGTGTGACGTGCTGCCCAGTAGTGGGTGCTCCGCGCTTGTGCACCACGGCGCTGTGCCGTCTCTCTGCGCGCGCCTGCTCACTATTGAATACATCGACCTGGCAGAACAGGTAAGGGATGGCTGGCGAAGAGAGATTGGGGTTTGGGGGTGAGGCTTTGGGCGGGAAGGGTGGAGAGGGTGGAGAGGGTGGAGAGTGTAAGTGAGAGGGGGATGCAAGAGTAGCAGAGAGGTGTGCTGTGTGTTGGCTGCGCTGGCTGGCCATGCTTGCTTTTCCAATGATCAGAGCTCAGCTTTACGACTCTCTGTTTGTCCGTCTACCTCCACACCACCCCATGTAGGCTCGTTGAGTCAGTTATGCAGCTCATGACGATCATTCTAATGCTGTGTGTTCCATTCCCTTGTACCCTTTTCTGCCCTCCTGTATTCCCCCGTGCCCTTCCCTGCCCTCCCTTGCCCTGTCTGCCTCAGTCGCTGCAAGCGTTGCAGAAGGTGTCTCAGGAGCATCCCTCAGCGTGTCTGCGCGCCGGTGCGCTCACGGCTGTGCTGTCCCATCTCGACTTCTTCTCCACCAGCATCCAGGTCAGTGTTTTGATGTCTTACTGATGAATCCACCCTTTTATCAGCATTGCATGCACTTCACACCCTGCGTGCAGTGCTTCACTCAGTCATGCGTATAGGATGCGTAGCGCACATGCTTTGGGTTTATCAACCGAGTTCCACAGAATCCCACCTCTCCCACATGCTGCGACCCACCTTTCCCCGTTTTCTCTGCCCGTGCGACGCGCCTTGTGCATGGCAGCAAGTGGCGGCGCGCACAGCGGCGAATGTGTGTCGGGACGTGCCTTCAGACTGTGTGCCCATGCTGCTAGAGGCCTCACCCGTGCTCGCCAACATGCTGCAGCACTGCGACGCCAAGGTGCGTGCGGCGCTGCGCCTGCTCCTTGCACCTCACACACAACCGGCCCGTCTCTCCTCTCGCCTCTCTCGCTGCTTTTCTTGTCTCTCTTCTCTTCTTTCCTTTCTCCCTTGGATGCGCTTACGCTGGAGTTTTTTCTGTGCTCATTTTGCAATTGTGAAGGGGCAAGTACATGTGGGAAATGAAAGGCATGCGAGTCTGTTCCCCCACTCTTTTCTCGCTTTCCTTCTCCCCCGCCCTCCCCACCTCCGCACACCTTCTTGTCCATTTTCCTCCCCCCACCAGGTGGTGGAGAGCACGTGCATCTGTCTGACCCGCATAGCCCTGGCAGTGTCGTCCAACCCAGAGCATCTCGCCACGCTCTGTGCCTCCTCTGGCCTCATATCCCATGCCGTGCGCCTGCTTGCTGCCTCCTGCAGCGCTGCTGGGGTGGGGGGTGGAGTGGCGTCTGGCGGGGTTGGAGGGGGTATTGGAGGGGCCGTGGCCATCACCGCGACGACCTTTGTGGTATGCACGCAGAGGCGGATCCTTGTGCCTGCTCTCATCCTGATGCTTTTGCTTGCTTTTCCTCCGCTGCATTCTCCCTTCTGCCTGTCCTTGGTGATTTATCTGTTTGTTTTTGTCTGTTCTCCCACCCCGCTCGTATCTCCCCCCACCCCCCTCCCCCTCCCCCCAGGGTCTGCTGCGGCTGCTCACGCTGTGTGCGCGGGAAGCGGAGGGCGCATCAGAGACTCTCCTATCAGCAGACATAATCCGCCTCCTCCGCAACGCCCTCCTCTACTCGGGCCTCCAACCCCCCGCACACTCCACCTCTCCTGCTGCTGGTGATGCGTCTCCATTGGAGTTCGCTGGTAGCCCTGCATTTGCGTCCCCCGATGTGACTGCTTCGGGTGGCGGGGGCGGAGGAGGGGGGAGTGCAGGGGGGTTGGGGCCGGTGGCAGCTGCGTCTGCTGCTCCTCCCGGGCTGACCAGGCCCGTGGAAGAGGTGAGGAGGAAGGGGAGAGGACGGACGGGTTGTTCTGTTGGTGGTTTAGAAGTCTGCTTGTCCAGTTTGACCGGGCTTGCAGGAGAGGTGAGGAGGAAGGGGGGGGGGGGAGGTGGGAGGATGGCTATGTTGTTAGGGAGGTGCTGGTAGTGGTGCTGGTAGTGGTGGTGGTGGTGGTGGTGCTGGCGCTGCATGCAGACACGTGCATGCATGTGGAAGAGGAGTTATGTTTATCCGCTGTAGTGATAGTTGTGTCTCTCTGCTCCAACTTCTCACTTACTGCCTCGTTCATCGCACTCCCTCGCTTATTCGTGCCGCTATTCTGAGATGTTAAACAGAAAAACACGTTCTTGCCTTTTCCGTCGTTCCTGGCTTTGGCCTTTCTCTCACCTTCTCCCTTTCCTCCCTGCATTCCCTCCGCCCTCCGCCCTCCGGACTATTCTTCCGTCCTCCTTGCCTTGCACAGGTGTACGAAATCCTTGCGCTAGCCAATGAGCTGCTGCCACGTGTGGTGGAGGAACTGGAGGAGGGGGAGGTGTTGTCTGAGGACATATCATGTGATGAGAGTGAGGAGAAGGACGTTACACAAGGCGAGGAGGAGGGGAGTGGAGAGAAGGAGAGTGAGAAGAAGGAGAAGGGGAAGGAGAAAGGGGCAGGAGAGACAGGTGGTTTGACAGGTGCTGATACGGCCCTTGGACTGGGAGTGGACGGTGCGGCAGCAGCTGTGGCTGGTGGTGACGAGGAAGTGAAGGGGAGTGGGAAGGGGAAAGGGAAGGAGGGGGAGGAGGCGGATGGGAAGGGGAAGGGGAAGGAGAAGGAGAAGGGGAGGGGGATGAGTGAGCGGGCGAGGCAGAGGGCGTTTCAGCAGGCGCCAGAGGGGCTGGCGCCGTTTGTCTCTGACCTGTTCCCTCTCATCATGCAGGTGCGTGCTGCTGCTGCTGCCGCTGCCGCTGCCGCTGCCGCTGCCGCTGCCACTGTAGCTTTGTTGCACAGTTTGGAAAAAGATCAGGCGGATCGTTTCTCATGGCACTGGAAAAACGAAACAAGTAAAAATAAAAGGCAAAAACAAACAGGACACAAAAATTTCCTCCCTACATTATACATATGTGTGTGCGCCCCCGCTCCTGTATGGCAGGCGTATGGAGCGACAATGAACGTGGCAGTGCGGCACAAGTGTCTCGAGATTATATGCAACGTGCTGCTGCTCTCCACCCCCACCACCATGCCCCTCCTCCCACCCGCCTCCTCCATCGCTAGGTACTCTCCCGCCCCTTGTGCTGCTCCTGTTGGCCTTTCTGCCCTTTCTGCCCTTTCTGCCATTTCCGCTGCCTGGTCTACTGTCTTTTCCTTGTTGCGCTACATGCCACCCTTTCCTTCCCCCCCAGCGGCTTCCCTTGTCTGACCCGATGTTTCATTTAGCTTTTCCCAACACTTCCGTCCCCTCCGCTCCCCTCTCCCCTGATGGACTCACTTCCCCCAGCCTATCGATCCCCATGCATATCGCTCCCCATTACCCCTCTCTCACTCATCGCGCTCCTCACTCCCTCCCGTCCTCTCCCCAGTTTCCTGGCAGACGTCCTCTCTTCCCAGGACGCGTCTCTGCAGTTGCAAGCGCTGCGCATCGCCTCTCTGTTACTGAACAAGGACGCTCACACCTTCCGCCTGCCCTTCTCCCGTGAGGGAACACTCTTTGCCATTCAGAACCTCATCCCTGCTCGTGCCGCCCCCGCCGCTGCTGCTGCTGCCGCTGCTGCTGCTGGCTCCTCTCCCGCCTCCCGCCGCTCCCCTGTCAAGAGAAGTGCGTCTGGAGGGGGTGGTGGTGGGGGTAGTGGAGGTAGTGGTAGTGGTTCTGGCGCTGCGCATTCTCCTGCCCGTCCACCTCCTCTCTCCCCTCTTCCACCTGCAGCTGCTGCTGCTGCTGCTGCTGCTCCTACTGCTGCAGCGCCAGAGGGGAAAGATCCAGCTAAGAAGCATTCCATAAAGCGGTTTGCTAGTGCGCCTGCGTCTTCTACCCCTGCCAAGCACGCAGCAGCGTTGTCATCACCGTCAGCAGCAGCAACAGCAGCAGCGGTTTCGCCTGGGGCCCATTCAAACCGGAGCAGGAAAGCAGCAGGGAAAGAGAGGAAGGGCGCTGGTGGTTCAGCTAGTGCTGCTTCTGCTTCTGCTGCTGCTGCCGCCGCTGCTGCATCTGCTACTATTGATGATGCTGGCCCCTCGGTCCCACCAGGATCGAGTGCAGGCAGCTTTGCTCGCTGGATGGCGGCTATGGGCAAACGAGGCAAGGCCAAGGGAGAAGCAGCAGATGGGCTGGGAGCGAAAGACGCAGCTGAGCCTGGTGAATCAGTTAAACACGACCAAGAGCAGCAGCAGCAGCAACAACAGCAGCAGCAGCAGCAGCAGTCGTCCCAGTGCCTCTGCGGCAGTAGCAGCTGCCGCCGCTGCCGCCGCTGCAGCTTCAGTGCCACGTCGTGGAGACGGTAGTTCTTCTGTTCCCCCAGCATCCTCAGCACCAGCAGTAGCACCAGCAGCAGCACCAGCAGCAGCAGCAGCAGCATCGCCTGCGGCGGCTCGAGCGGCGGCAGCAGCAGCAGTGCGGGCGGCCGTGGCAGCGCAGGCGCAGCAACTGTACGAGCACTTCTTCCCTCCGGGCTGGCGTGCCAATGAGCCGTCCGGTGCTGCGGATGGGCTGCTGCAACTGCAGGCTCTGTGCCGGGAGATTCAGGGAGCAGGAGGAGAGACGCCGGGCCAGGGAGAGAAACAGGGACAGGGACAGCCGGCAATGGCAGGGGGAGAAGCAGGAGCAGGAGCAGGGGCAGGGGCAGGGGCAGGGGCAGGGGCAGGAGCACAGTCCGAAGGGTTGAGATTGAAGGTGGGCAGAGGTTGGGCAAGTGAGGCGAAGCAGGGGGAGGAAGTGAGTGGGTTGGTGGTGAAGGCAACCAGGGGGTGGGCTGTGGAGATGGTGCAACGCCTGAGACATGACACGGCTGTGCTGTGCCAGGTGCTGGGCATACTCGCAGATAGAAGCACAGGGAATGGTTGTAGTGGTGCCGCTGCTGGTGGTTCTGCTGGTTCGGCTGGTGGGGTTGGTGGTGGTGTGGGAAGGAACGGGTCAGTGTCAGTGACAACGTTTGAGTTAGTGGAAGGGGGTGTGCCCTCTGCTGTGCTCCGGTTCCTCTCCCCTTCTTCTCCCCCTCCTCGCTCCTCTTGCCCTGCTGCTGCGTCAGCTGGCAGTAGCGGCAGCGGTGGGGAGGATGGTGGGAGGCACGTGTCAGGCTTGGATTGGTGGGCTCAGCAGGAGCGGTGGCGATGTGAGGTGGTCCTTAGGCTTCAGATAATCACAGCTATACTCTCATCCGCACTCCCACTCGTTCAATCCGCTGCCTCACACTCACTCCCATACTCCACCTCCGGACTCACCACCAACGCCACTACCACCATCCTCCACACCTCCTCCTCCCCCTCCTCCCCCTCCTCCCCTCTCTCCCTCACCTCCCCTCTCCCTCTTGCCGCGTCTCCCCTGTTTCCGTCCGCCTGCTGGTGCAGCGCTTGCAAGCAGCGCTAGCAGCACGGGAGCGCTTTGCCGTGCAGCAAACAGAGCTATTCCAACTGCCAGGAGGGGCAGGAGGAGGAGCTTTCGCCTCCAGCGGGCCCACAGGAGCATCTAACCTGGGCCTTGGTCCTGGAGGGACAATACCAGGAAGTACGAGTAAACCAAGCACCCGTGATTCAACCCGCTGGCCGGGAGGGTTTGGAGGAGCAGCAGGAGGGGGAGCAGAAGTGGCGCTGCTAGCAGCAGAAGCATCTGTTGCGGCTGCAGCGGCGGCGGCTGCAGCAGGGCCGATGGGCGCTGGTGGTGTGTCTGGGCTGTCTGCGTTATCACAGCCGATCAAGCTGCGGCTGGTAAGGGAGCGGTGCGAGCGATCGGTGCGGGATTACTCGTCGAATGTAGTACTCATAGAGCCGCTGGCGACTCTGACTGCTGTTGAGGAGTTTCTGTGGCCTCGAGTGAGACGGTCGCACCATGTGGCTGCTGTTACTGCCACGCCTGCTCTTGCCACCACCTCTGCTGCTGCCGCTGCTGCTGCTGCTCCTGCTGGCACTTCTGTTGCGTCGGATGGTGCTGGTGGTGATGCTGCTGCTACTGCTGGTGGTCCAAGCAGGGTGGCAACAGGGGAAGAGGCCACCAGGGGTGCTCGTGCAATGGCGCAGGACGAAGGCGAGATTGAAGGAGCAGCAGCGGGTAAAGCTGCTGGTGCCGGAGCTGCTTCCTCCAATGCTGCTGCTGCTGGCGCTGCTGCCACAGGTGTTGGTAATGGTGATAAGTGCAAGAAAAGTCAAGGGAAGGGTGTGGAAACGGAGAATACAGAAGAAGCAGATGTGGGTGGTAGGGAAGGGACGAGTGGAGGGAAATTCTTAGGGAAGAGTGGGTGGGGTGCGCTAAAAGGGAGAGAGAAAGGGGAGGGATCAGGGTCTCGATTGAAACGAGCGGGGAAAGACAAGGAGGGTGAGGGGGCAGGAGGGCAAGAGGCGGATGGCATGTCGAAGAGCAAGGAGAGCGGTGGTAAGGTGAGGGGTAAGAGAGGTGTGTCACAAGATGTTTCAGGGGAGAGCGCGGGAGGTGGGAAGGAGGACGAGAGGAGGGCGGGGGAGAAAGGTGAGGGGAAGTCACGTTTGGGAATGGCGCGCGGGTGGTGGAGTGGGGGGAAGGGGAAGAAAGAAAGCAAGGGAGGTGGCAAGGGTGGGGGGCTTGAGAGGGCGGAGAAGGGGAGAGAGAAGGGAAGAGGGGCCGAGGATGGGAAGGGAGACGCGTCGAGGAATGGTAGGGAGAGGACTGATGGTAAGGCGACCGGGGAGGAGGGGCAGGAGGTGAAGGAGAGGAGGAGGAAGGGTAAAGGGAAGGATGAGAGGAAGGAGGCGAAGGGTGCGGGTGCGGGTGCAGGGGCGGGACAAGAGGAGCAGCAGCGGAGGAGTGAGGAGGAGCCGCTTTCCGACCTTGCAGATCTCATGGCTGTACGTTCCTTTGATTTGCCTTGGCTCTTTGTGTCTTGAATCTCGTTATCATGTTAATCGGTCTGCCTGCTCTTCTCACACTCGTGAGACTCCCTTTTGTTTTCCTTCGCCATCAGCCTTGCATTCTCCTCTGCTGTCTAGTCTCTCCCTTGTTTGTTCAATTCGTTTGGCTTTCCTATGGATTGTTTCAATACCTCTTCAGTGGACGAAGTCCTTTCCTGTGCATTGTTTCAACACCTCTTCAGTTGCCCTGCAGTCACTCATCACGACTCCCCGCCTTGTTACCCTTTGGTTTTGTGCGCCTCTTCTGGTTCACACCATCGTTGCCACCTGCGTGGGCTTGGCGTGGCGTTCTACGTCGCAATGGCATGGCATGGCATGGCATGGCATGGCATGAGCAGTTAATGAGCGGGCTCAACGCAGCAGGCATGGAGGCAGAGGAGGGTGAGCTGGGTGGCCGAGGTCGGCTCAAGTCTTCCCTTTCTGCACGCTCCCAGACACCACCAGTCGCAGCAGCAGGAGTGGCAGGGGCAGCAGCAGGGACAGCTGCAGCAGGTGGCATGGTTGCAGGGAGTGGAGAGAGATTGGTGGCAGGATCAAGCGGTGCTGCAGGATCAGGGGCAGTGCAGCAGCAGCAGCAGCAGCAGCAATGGAAGCAGGTGGAAAGGAGGAAGAGGGAGGTAGAGGTGTGAGCTCTGCTGCAGGTGCTGGTAGCAGCAGGGCAGGGAACTTACTCACTGAGCCCGTGCCTACAAGTACAGTAGTCACAGGTGGAAGGAGCAGCGGCAGCAGCAGCGGTGCTCTTGCAGCAGCAACAGCTTCTGGTGCTGAGGCAAGGGGGGGAGGAGCAGGTGGGAGCGTGGGAACAGGGAGCGAGAGGGGTGCAGCAGTGGCTGCTGCGGTGCATGGGGAGCATCGGTTGGTGTTTTCGTTCCGAGGAGTTCCCTTGGATCCTACTGCCACGATTCTGAGTGTGGTGGTGAAGGGTCTGAGAATGATGGCTGAAGGGGTGGAGGGCGAGAGAGAGGAGGTTGGATTGCAGGAGGAGGGTGAGGAAGTGGAGGAGGAAGAGGAGGAAATGGAGGAAGAAGAGGGGGACGAAGATGAGATGATGATGTTGCATGGGGAGGAGAGTGGAGAGGAGGAAGAGGAGGGGGAGGAAGGAGAGGAAGAGGAAGGGGAGGAGGAGGAGGAGGAGGAGGAAGAGGAGGAGGAGGAAGTGGAAGAAGGTGAAGAGCTGGGCAGAGAGGGGCATGAAATGTATGTCGAGGAAGGAGGTGAGGAGGAGCAGGAGGAGGATGGAGAGGAGGATGAAGAAGAAGAAGAGGGGGAAGAAGAAGAAGTAGAGGAGGGGGAGGTGAAAGAAGACGATTTGCTGGTAGTGGAGGAGGAAATGGAGGAAGGGGAGGTTGACGACAGTATGGAAGAGGAGGAGGAGGAAGACGGGGAGGAGCGGGGAGAGGAGGAGCAAGAAAGGGAGGTTGAGCCTGTAGAGATTGCAGGGGCTGGAGAGGGAGAGGAGGAGGAGGAGGAATTGGAAGAGGAAGAGGAGGGGGAGGAGGAAGAAGAAGAAGAGCAGATGGATAAAGAGGACGAGGAGGATGAAGAAGAGGAAGGGGAGGAGGCGGGGGAGGAGGAGGATGACGCTGACGTGGCGGAGTTTGAGAGGTTTATGGCAGACGAGTTTGGTCTGGCATTGGGAGGGAGGGGAGGGGGAGCAGGCAGTAGAGGGGGACGCGGTGCGGATGCTGAGGGGGCAGGCCACAGGTCTAGAGGCATGGGGTATGGGTACAATCATCCCTATGGCAACTCTTCTAAGCAAGACAGGCATGGCTCGCATGCGCATGGGCATGCACATGCACATGCTCATGCACATGTGCCTGGTCAAAGGCATGGGTATGGACTGGGTTATGGTGCTCGTGGCAGTAGCGGTAGCAGTGGCGCCGGCGGTGGTGGTGGTGGTGGTGGCAGTGGCAGGGACAGTGGGAGGGGCAGAGGCAGTGCGATACAAGGGGTGTGGGATGGGATTCACGAGATTGCGTATCGGCACGTTGCTACTGTGCCTCCCGCTGCTGCTTCTGCTGCTGCTGGTTCAGCCTCAACTGATGCTGCTACTGCTGCGTCAGCAGCAGTCGCAAACGACACACAGGGAGCAGCTACAGCTGAAGCATCAGAACTAGGATCGCCTTCATCATCTGCTGCTGCTGCAGTGGCAGGAACTGTAGAGGGGTCATCTCTGCTCCTGCCACACTCCATCAACCCGTCCCTGTCCCCCGTGCGCACTCTCCTCACCGGCTCGCTTTCCACACCCCTGCCCTCCGCCTCCTCCTGCCCTGCTGTGGTTCGCGATCTGCTGCTGCTGCTGCACACTCTGCACGCTCTCACACGCTCCTCCCACCAGCTACAGCAGGAGGCAGCAGCTGCTGCTGCTCTTGTTCTAGCCTGCGCCCGCGCTGAGGGTGATTTTGCAGAGGAGAAAGCTGCAGGAGGGGAAGAGGAGGAGAGAGAGGAGGGAGAGGAGGTGGAAGAAGGCGAGGAGATGGATGTGGACGAGGTGCCATCGCACAGTGAGGGGGCTTCAGCAGCAGCAGGCATTAGTGAACAACTCGAGAAGATTTTGTACTCAGAGCTTGGCCTTCCCAGGCTCATTCTGGGACAGACAGGTGACGCTGCTGCTGCTGCTGCTGCTGCTGCTGCTCTCACCACTCCCTCCACCCCCTACGCCACGATCCCTGCTCCAGGCCAGACTTCCACTTCCCCCTCCTCCTTCGCCTCGCCGCTCTCTCCCTCGCTCCCCCCCGCATCGCCAGCAGCAACGCTCCTGCAGATCCAGCAGCACATGGCAGTACCCCCAGAGCTGTTTCTCAACAGCAAGATCGCCACCAAGCTGCAGCGACAGCTGCAAGACGCACTCTCTCTCTGCAGCGACTCGCTCCCCGACTGGGCACACGCGCTCCCGCGCTCCTTCCCGTTCCTCTTCCCGTTGTCGCTCCGCCGCCACTACTTCTACTGCACTGCGTTTGACCTCCTTCGAGGGCTGCACCGCCTGCAGCAGCAGCAGCAGGCGGCAGGGGAGGCAGGCGCGGGAGCGGGAGGGGGAGCAGGGGGAGCGGCGGGAGGAGGAGGCGGAGCAGGAGGGGGAGGAGGGGGGGCATACGGGCGGGACAGGCGGAGGGAGCTTCGGCCGATCCGGCTGCAGCGGCAGAAGGTGCGGGTGTCTCGAGAGCATATACTGGAGTCAGGAACCAAGGTCATGGAGCTGTATGCGGGGCATAAGGCCGTGCTGGAAGTGGAGTATTTCGGGGAGGTGGGAAGTGGTCTGGGTCCCACTCTCGAGTTCTACACTCTCTTATCCCACCAGCTGCAGCGGCGCTCCCTCCGCCTGTGGCGGTCGGAGGAAGGCCCTGGAGTGCCCGTGCCTGTATCTGCAGCTGCAGCAAGCAGCAATCTCAGTGCTGGCACTGGCACCGCTGCTGCCACTGCTGGCGGAGGAGGAGGAGGAGAAGGAGCAGAAGGGCGCGCAGTAGGAGGAGGAGGGGGAGGAGGGTCAGGAGGGAGGGGCGCACAGTCGAGGGGGGGAGTGGGGGAGGGGGAGGAGACGATGGTAGTGGCACCGCAGGGGCTGTTTCCGCGGCCGTGGCGGAAGGCGCCGGAGCGGGTGGTGGAGCAGTTCAGGATGGCGGGGCGGCTCATGGCTAAGTCTCTGCACGATGGAAGGCTGCTGGACATGCGCTTCTCTCCTGCCTTCTACCGCCTGTTGCTTGACAAGGTAAGTGGGTGGTAAGTGTGCGGGCGCTGCTGTTGTCTGTGTGTGCTGGTGCCTGGGTGCTGGTACCTGTATGTTTTGATGTGGACGGTTGGCTGGGGTGGTTGGGCTGGGGCACTTGAAACTAGCCATCTTATATAGCTGTCGCCTCTGCCCTCCCCCTTCACTCCCCGTTCTCCGTTGTCCCACCTTTCTTTTCCCCCTTCCTCACTCTCCTTCGATCCGTTCTTTACCGCTTGTTCTCTCCCCTCCCCTCCCCTCCCCTCCCCTCCCCTCCCCTCCCCTCCCCTCCCCTCCCCTCCCCTCCCCTCCCCTACCTCTCTCCCCCCAGCCTCTAGGCCTGTACGACGTGCGTCTGTTCGACCCCGCTCTAGGAAGCACACTCGAGATGCTCGCGCATGTGGCTCGCGTCCTCGCCCTCGCCCCTGCGGCCTCCGCCGCCGCTTCTGCTGCAACAACCGATGCAAGTGGTGCAGGTGGCAGCGCTGCTGCAGCAACCAACACACCCACAAGCACGGATGCTGACGGCACAGGCAGCAGAGGCGTCACTGGTGTTACAGGAGTCACAAGTGGCAGCAGCAGTGGCATGGATGGCAGCAGTGGCGGCAGTGTGGTGGTGGCGCATGGGTTGCTGCCCGATGGAATGCTACTAGAGGATCTGTGCCTGGACTTCACTCTCCCAGGCGACCCCTCCTATGAGCTCAAGCCAGGCGGAGAGGACATTGAGGTCTGTCTCCTCGCTCCCTGATTCCTGCTGCCAACTGCCCGGCTGCCGGTTGCCTGTTCCCCCGTTGCGTGCACTCAAACGTGCACTCAAACGTGCACTCAAACGTGCACTCAAACGTGCACTCAAACGTGCACTCAAACGTGCACTCAAACGTGCACTCAAACGCAAGTGTCAAGTTATGTACACTTAGCCCCGTTTCCTTTTCTCTTGCTCCCTCTCCATTTCCGTTCCCTCCCTTTCCTCGTTTCCCATTCCCCCTTCCCCATTCACATTCATTCTCTCTCTGGCCAACCCTTTTAACGCCATGCAGGTGGGCGAGGCGAATGTGGCGGAGTATCTGCACCTGGTGGTCGATGCACTGGTGGGGTCGGGCATCGCTGCTCAGATTGACGCCTTCAAGCAGGGCTTTAACCAGGTGCGTGCGACAAGGTGGAGCAGGGCGCGCAGGGGGGGCAGAAGGGGCAGGAGGGGGGAGGGGCAGGATAGGGCGGGGCAGAGGGGGATGGGTATGGGGCAGGTGTGGGAGGGTGGGGTTAGGAGGTGCAGGTGAGATAGGGGGGAGCAGGTGGGCAGCTCGCTGCACTGCATTTGGGCTTCGAGTGGTTCTTTGCTTACCTCTCTCAGAAGCACCTGCCTTGCTCCCTCACCCTCGTATGCCACATGGTTCGAGGTCTAAGGTTCGGGTTTAGGGTTTAGGATAACACTATGCATCATTCCTTCCCTGCCAAATTCCTTGTCTATTTCCCTTGCTTCTCCCATCTGCAACTGCCCTCTTCGCCCTCTCTCTCCGTGTTAACTCGCTCTTGACATGACTCCTTTCCCCCTTGCCTCCCCTTGACTCGCTCCTCCTCTCCCTCCCTCCTCTCCCCTCTGCAGGTCTTTTCTCTCTCATCACTGCAAGTGTTCACGGAGTATGAGCTAGACACACTAGTGTGCGGGGAACGCCAGATGTGGACCGTTCACCCTTACCTTTTCTTCCCTCTGCCTCCTCTTCCCTCGTCTCCCCCCCCCCCCCCTCTTCCCCAGGTCTTTTCACTCTCATCACTGCAAGTGTTCACGGAGTATGAGCTAGACACACTAGTGTGCGGAGACCGTCAGATGTGGACTGTGAGTCATACCTGCCCTTGCTGCTGCCTGGGGAGTGTGGAGGGTGGAGGGTGGGTTGGGTGGAATGGTGAGCGGGTTGGGATGGTGTGTGGGATGGGACAGTGAGTAGGATGTGGAGGGTGTGGAGGGTGGTGGGTGGGGTGTGAGGGTTAGTCCTGCTTTGCTGTTGCACTACTAGGTGTATCATGTGCCTTGCGTCGCTCTCTCCTCACTTGTGCCCTTCTGCATTGGTTCATTCATATGTTGTGGAGGAGTCTTTTGAAAAGATTCTGTAGAATTATTGAATGATTACAATGGTTGAATTGAAGTAATTCGTTTACTTTGTGTGGGTCAATGTGTGATGGCAATGTGTGATGGCAATGTGTGATGGCAATGTGTGATGGCATGCACATGACAGGAGGAACTGCTAGCAGAGCACATCAAGTGTGACCATGGCTACACCCTTGACAGCGCCCCCATCAAATACGTAAGCCACCATCATCCATCCGTCCATCCATCTCATTCACATATATCACATCACACACCCCTCGGGCCATCGCCATCGTCTGCACACCACCATGTTCTCAGTGCTGGCATCAAGGACCACCCGCGGGCGACCAAACCTGGAGCATTCTTAAACATGGCAAACGTGGCACCAATTGCATGTTTTCTTAAGGCTGCTAACACTCCGCGGTCCGCCCTTCCATTACCCGTCACGTCAATCACTCACCCCTTCCACTTCTCCTCCATTCCTCCCCTCCAGCTGCTGAGCATCCTAGCAGCGTTCACCCCCCAGGAGCAGCGGGCGTTTGTGCGCTTTGTCACGGGTGCGCCGTGCCTGCCCCCGGGCGGGCTTGCATCGCTGCGCCCCAAGCTCACCATCGTCAGAAAGGTGCGTCTGCAGGGGGCAGCATGGGTGAGAAGTTGTGAGCATGGGTGAGCAGGCGTGAGCAGGGATGAGCAGGAAGACTCCTAGTCTGTCTCCACTCGTACACTCTCCCCCTACCTCTGTCCCACCTGCATCCTTTTTGCATGCCGCAACCCATCCCTGTCCTCACTTCCCCTCATTCCCCCCCCCTCACTCCCGCTCCCCACACCTCACTCCCCCCGCCCCCCACTCTCTCCCACTCTCCCCGGCCTTTCCCACCCCAGCATCCACCATCATTCCCCCAGCCATGCCCCTCGACCAGTTTGTGTTTTCTTTCTATTTTATTTCAACTCTCCCCTGCTCCGCCCTGCTCTCCCCTCCCTGTTCTATCCGCAGCACCCATCATCATCCCCAGGGAGACCCTCCACCTCCACAGCCTCCCCGCCAGCAGCAGGGGGAGCGGGAGGGGCAGGGGGCAGTGCAGGAGGGTCACCAATGGCAGCGAGTGACATTGACCTGCCCAGTGTCATGACCTGTGCTAACTACCTCAAGCTGCCTCCTTACTCTTCCCAGGTGCGCGCTCTTTCCTTTCCAATGCGCGCTTCTCTGCTTCTTGCTGCTCTGATTCTTGCTTTTCCTGATTCCTGCTGCTCCCATAGCTGCTGTGCCATGGCTGCTGCTTGTGCTTGCTCGGCTGGTTCTGTGCAGGTGAAGGTAGATATGTCTGTGCTTTTGCTGGTTTGGTGGGGGTGCTTCTGCTGCTGTCGACAGCAAGGAGGGTGTGGGGGAGGGGACGCGTCTGGTTTTTATTTCACTTGCTTCACCCCTCGTTCTGTTCCGGTTCCTCTCGGCCGTTCCCTTTATGTGAGCAGGAGGTGATGCGGCAGCGGCTGCTGTACGCTATCTTTGAGGGGCAGGGCTCGTTTGACCTCTCGTAAACGGGCACAACGAGCACAAATGGCACGCCAGGGGCTGCTGCTGTGAAGCTGGAAGACCTTCCGAGGCCTCTCGTGTTTGAGAGCTCTTAAGAGCAGACATTGTTTGATTGTTTGCAGAGCCTGTGGTTTTTGTAGCTGTGCCTAGAGAGGCAGACGGGCTTGGGCAAGAAATGCACCTCTTTCCACCTCATTTCACCTCACCTCACCTCACCTCACCTCACCTCACCTCACCTCGCCTCACCTCACCTCACCTCACCTCACCTCGCCTCGCATGACCACTCCTGCCGCGTGCGTATGCAGAGGATATACAGCAAACTTCGCCCAGGGGGATGGAGCGGGGCGAGCGAGGGTATCACCTTGCTTGTGCCAAGCTCCATCCTCAAGGCTAGGACAGCAGTGTGGGTCACTGGGTCACAGAACGAGTCAGAGAACAGAAGATGGGACCAGTCACCAGGAGACCTCTGCTCTGGCCAAGGTCAAGATGGGTAGCCTGCACCACTCATTCTCTTCTCTACCCTCCGAGCAGTGCCCGTTTCCCTGCACCGTGCCTGGCCAGTACGGGTTGGGCTTCTTGTGACCTACCGGTACTTGAATCATGCAGAGTTGGGTTCAGGACCCAGGACTCAGGAGGACCGGTCTGTATGAAGGGAGCTTCTCTGCTTGCCTCCCTTAGGGAGCGAGTGGGGTCTGGTTGAATTTCTCCTCCCCTTGGCCTGTTTAGTTGTCCGTCGGGTTTGATGTAGATTGCCCAGGCTTTTCTTGAGACAAGCCCAGTCTGTGTCGTGCTGCTGCATGACAAGAACAAGGTCACGAGTCTGCAATCATGCATGTTGCACTAGCTTCTGAACATTGGGACCTTGAAAACAACATGAACTTTCTCTCACACATCTTACTGAGATCCCATGCCTTGTTTGAAGCTGTGCAACGATACCACATGTGATCATGGACGAAAACGGGTGATGTAACTATTTGTGGGCATGTACAGTACCAGCAGTACTATTGGTATCCACACACTAATCAACAGCACAGCGGAGCAAGAACCTATTGATGCTTGCTAGCCATGATACGGTAAGTTGAAAGCTACCTTACCGTACCATCTTCCCAGTTCTGATAATTTGAGAGCACCTTCTGATAGTCCTACCACTGTCATTTACAACAAATGTTGCAGTAGTACGGTATGCCCATGACCTCCTAATCCACTCTCCAACATCCCCTGCTCTCCTCATGCTGTATAACTGGATGCCGCAAGCCATGGAAGGAACACCAAGACAGGGTTGCCTTAGAGGATTCTCATAGGGTGCATATTTGTGTGTGTGCAAGAGGTTATCCCTGCAAAAGAAGGTGAGCATGGGGGGTTTTGCGTTGCGAGTATCTCACACTAGAAGTGAGTGCAACCAAATCTACTACCAAAAGGTGCGAGATGTATCTCTGTGTGGGTTTTGACTTGCGTGATGTGCACAGGGAGCAATGTCTGCGTGGGGCTGTGTGGAGCACGAGAGAAAGGGAGAGGCAGCGAGTGAGAGAGGGTGCGAGCAAGAGAGCAGGAGTGAGCGAAGGCTAAAGTAGAGAGCTAGGGTGAAGAAATAGAAGCTCGCAAGAGTGGAGAGAAGGCGGATCTCTATCGCAGGCGCAGGTGCTGCATGGCTCGCAGGGGAGCCTTGTCCACCCCTGCAAGTGGTGACTGCCGGCCCTGAGCCGCCCCCCCTGCTGCTGCCTGCTGTTGCTGCTGCTGCTGCAGCTCCGGGTGTAGCATCTGATGTGGGAACCGGTGGGAGGGAAAGGCCGTTTCACGGGAAGGAGAAATGCGTTTGTCAGCTAGGGATAGCGTGAATGACAAGGGGAGAAAAGCACCAGTTATAGACAGTGAAGGGTCAGAGTTACGAGAAAGGGAAGCAGGTAAAACAGCAGCAGTGGGTGATTTTTCAATGGGCCCAATTATCACAGTGGTGTGGCTGAGGTTCTGCCTTAAGAGCAGGTAAAGCAGCAGCAGCAGCAAGGGCGTGACCATTGCACGGTTTGCAAATCAGCAGAGTATGCTCTTCTCTTCCACAGACCCCTGCAGTCCTACTGCACTCTGCATCTCCTCTCCAGCCCTAGTTGCTCCCTTGAGAAACCTCACAGGTGATCCAAACATGCCCTACTTTGTTCCTCCCCTCCCCACCTCTCCACAACTCCGCACCTTGCCCCCGGTTTAGCCCGCCTATCCCCACGCCCCCTTCTTTCCTCCTTCCCTCCTTCCAACCCCCCTCTTTTCATATCAAACACCCGGACGTGCAAGCGTTGCATGTATTGATCTCAAAGATTCTCACTTCCCCTGCATATTCTCAACCCCACTCCACCCTGCCTCAACTCACACCGGCAACCCGCCCACACCCCTCCCCCCTCCCCTCCCCCCTCCCCCCACCTTCCCCCCTCCCCCACCTGGTTAAGAGCATCCCCCCGCCGGCGCATGCGCGTGTGCAGGAGCCCCTTGGCGCGGCGCACGTGGTGCGCCACAAACGAGTGGAAGGAGCACACGTGCCACGCCACGCGCTCCGCGCGCGGGCCCTCCACGTGGCGCCGCGCCACCTGCAGCGTCACGAACCCCACGTTCGCCGTCAGGTACTGCGCGGGCGCACCGTCCAGGTCTGGGGGAAGCGTGCGCGAGAAGGCGCACTCCGGCGCCCATGACAGTCCCCCGCCCTTGCGCGCCTCTGCTAGCTCCTGGTGGGGAGAGTGCGCGTATGGGGGGAAACGGTGGGGAGAAGGGGAGAGGGGACGGGGGGGTGGTGGTGGGGGGAAAGTGAGGTTGATTCGGGATTCAAAGCCTAAGTTGATTCGGGCATTGATTGTCCCTATTCCATTCCATAGTGGCAGACAGGCCGTCCTGTTCTAACAGGAACCCGCACGTGGCGCACGTGGCGCACCTGGAGGAAGGCGGCAGCGAGGATGGCGTCACTCGTGTCGTGGAACTGCACCGGAAATATGATTTTCACGTGATCGCCTTTGCTCGACAGCGACGCGAAAAACACCTCCCCGGGCCGGTGCACTATGGCTTTCATCGCGTTTCCCCCGCCCGCACCCTCTTCCCCCGCGGCCTCTCCCCCCGCGCCCTTCGATTCCGCCGCCCCGCCTTCCGCCAGCGCGGTCAGCATGGCGCGCAGCGGCGCGCCGAGGACGACTGACCGCACCGCGGCTAGTTTCGCCGCGATCGCGGCGCGCGCTTGCTGCTCCTCTGGGAGCTTCTTAAGATCCACCATTAGGGTAAGGTGGTAGTTGCTCGACGGCGGTGTCAGCACCGTCGCGATCCCACGGTACGCCGCGTTTACCGCGTCCATCGCGCCACTTGGCAACCCGTCACTGGTCGCTAGTTCAGGGGGGATCACCGCCGCTGCGGCGGCGGCTGCTTCTGCGGGATCTGCGGCGCTTGTTGCGGCCGTGTGTTGGGGAAGGTGTACGGAGAGGAGAATAGTGGATGCATCCTCATCTTTAAGTAGGTATCGCACGCCATCGAATTCTGCGACGAAGACATCAACCGTCGCAGCGGGCTCGCCTGGTCGCATGCGACGCAGGAGCGCCTCTTTCAATGCGCGATTTTCTTCGTCGTGAGCCGTCGCCATTCTATCCTCGACTTTATCCCTATGGGCGACGATAGGTTAAGTGATTTTGTGGGGAAGGGCAGCGTGGAAATGTAACAATGTTAGCGAAATCGGACTGGAAGAAGCCGACGATGGGACTTAATCTATCAGTGCCATGATGTGAAAAAAAACTCCTCTCAGCAGCAAACGTCCTCGCCGTCGATTAACTTACACCGCCGCATTAGAAGGAGAGGATCTAAGCAGGTGACCAGCGCAGACCCTAATCACTGGCGGCCGTGGTTGCGCTGCGACGTCTAGATAATATAATACAGCATGTGGTGAAGTTCTGCACTCATACAATTACAAGGAGCTGGGTTCGTGTATTTGGTTCGACAACAACGAAGCACTGACAAGAGAGTATAGACTGGAATATACAGATACAGGGTTCCATTCCAGATACTTGTTACGAGTGCAATTGAGTGAGCGAACGAAGATTGCACTATCGAAGCAACAAGTACAATGAGCGAAGGCATGAGCGAAGATTATATAGCGAAACTACAGTGGTAACGGTAATGTGTGGAAAATGGGGTGCGCGACGGGCCTAGCGCCGAGGTTGGGAATTGTCGAGGCGGAGGTCCGGAGCGCGGGTTACCAACCGAGCCGTGAGGTTGGGTCGCGTCGTGAACAGTGGCGGGAACAGTACCGAGGCGAGTGTCGCGAGTGGTAACGGATTACTGTTGGGTGCTGTTGGCGGGAACAGTGCTGTACGCGCTGAGCAGGGACGCGAAGTAAGGAAAAGGAATTTTCCTTACACTACCCCCCCCCCCCCTAAGGAGGTCCTCCTTACGAGAGCGCGTGTACATCCCGGAAATTGCGGCTTCGCAGGTACTCGGTGAGGACAGGGTGATTCTCAATTCTGTCCAGGGGAACCCAGTTGTCCTCCGTGGGCGTGCGATCTTTCCAGCGGATCAGGAATTCGATTCTGCGGGCTCCCCGTGGGTCACGTACTCGATGGCTTAGGATTTTTTCGGGCGTGATGATTGGCTCCGTTGGTGGCCGTGTCATGCTGGCGGGGCGGTTGCGAGGCAGTTGGCTGGTGGATGGCACGTATGGGCGGAGCAGGCTGGCTGACATGGAAGGACGGGTTGACGTACCAGTCAGTAGGAAGGAGGAGGTGGGCGGTAACAGGTGTGATCATGTGGCTGATGCGGAATGGCCCACAATATCGGGGGCGGAGTTTTGGGGTGATAGGTAGGCGGAGGTTGTGGGTGTCGAGTAACACCAGGTCGTCGGGCTGGTGAGTGACGGGGCGGCGGTGTCGGTCGGCGTTGCGTTTAGCGATGACGTTTGATTTTTTTATGGCTTCTGCTGCTCGGGTCCGGGCTGCTTGTAATATTTCTGCGAACTGTTGTGCGCGTGGGACGGGATTGTCGGGATTCGGGGTTATGGGTACTGTGGGGTCTTGTCCGTAGTTCAGATAAAAAGGTGACTGTTGGGTGGTGGTGGAGGGCGAATTATTGTAGGCGAATTCGATGAGTGGCAGTTGCTGTTCCCAGGTGGTCGGATCGTCGCACGTGGCTCGAATGAGTTGCTCCATGGTCTGGTTGGTCCGTTCTGTCTGTCCGTCGGTCTCGGGGTGGTACGACGAGCTGAACTGTAGTCGCGTGCCAAACTGCTGCCACAGGTTTCGCCAGAAGTTGCTGGTGAATTTCGTGTCGCGGTCGCTGATGATTGCTGCTGGTATCCCGTGCAGTCGTACGACGGTGGCGATGAAGAGGCGGGCTGTTTCTTCGGCTGTGATCGATTTCTTGCAGGCTGCGAAATGTGCCATTTTCGTCAGTCGATCGACGACGACCATGATCGCGTCGTTCCCACTCGCTCTGGCTGGTAACCCCGTGACGAAGTCCATCGTCACCTGCTGCCACGCACGCTCTGGGGGCGGTATCGGCTGCAACTGTCCTGCCGGCCGCTTCCGTGACGACTTCATGAGCTGGCAAGTGGGACACGATGCCACGTGTCGCTGTACGTCGGTCAACATCTCGGGCCAGTAATAATACCGCTGCAGCTGCTGCCGTGTTTTTTCTACCCCAAAATGTCCCGAGGTAACTCCGTCGTGTGCCTCCTGTAACAATAATTCCCGTAGCAGAGTGTACCCTGGTACCCAAATGCGGTCAGTCCCGGTTTTTACGTAATAGACTCCCCGTGCTGTTGCGAACTGCCGCGAATTGCCTCCTGTGAAGAAGGGGTCCGTCTGATAACCGTGGGTGAATAGGCCTGTTAAAAGTGGGCTGGTCTGGGCGAGTAAGATTGCGTGGATGTGGACGGTGGGGCGGGTCAGTGCGTCAGCTATGTTGGATGCTCCCTTTTTGTAGGTGACCGTGTAGTGGAAGTTGGACTCGAGGAAATCGAGCCATCGAATCTGTCGTGGGTTGAGGTGGGGCTGTGCGCGAAGGTACTGTAGTGATTTGTGGTCTGTCCGTACTGTCACGTCTGCGCCGGTCAGGTAGCAGCGCCACACTTTGAACGCGTGCACGATTGCGAGCATTTCGCGGTCGTGTATCGGGTAATTCTTCTCGGGCGGATGCAGTTTTCGTGACTCGTATGCGATGGGCTGTAGGCCGTTGCCGAAATCCTGTAGCAGTACGGCTCCGATGGCGATGTCGCTTGCGTCTGTAACTACTTCGAATGGGCGGTGTGGGTCGGCAATGCGCAGGACGGGCGGTGAACAGAGAACAGTTTTCAGGGCAGAGAAGGCAGCTTGCTCTTTCTCCCCCCACGTAAAAGCGACCCCCTTCCGCAGTAAATCCGTCAGTGGGGCTGTTAAGCGAGCCATGTCGGGGACGAACCGACGGACGTAATTAACAAACCCCAAAAAACTCTGCAGCTCCGTGATGTTCGTCGGGGGGTGCCACGCCTTGACCGTGTCCAGCTTTCGTGGGTCAATCTCAACCCCAGCCTCCGAAATAACGTGCCCCAAAAATTCTAACCTATCCCGAAAGAACTCGCACTTAGAACCCTTGGTCAATAACCTATGCTCCTCTAAAATCTTAAACACTGCTTCGAGGTCCGCTAAATGCTGCTGCTTATCGCGACTGTAGACGAGGATGTCGTCGAGGTAGACTATCACGCACTTATCTAAAAGTGGCCGAAACGCCTCGTTCATAGTCATCTGAAATGTCGCAGGTGTGTTGGTCAGCCCGAAAGGCATAACGGTGTACTCGAACGACCCGTACCTAGTCCTAAAAGCTGTCTTGGCGCAGTCCGATGGTTCGACCCGAATCTGGTGGTAACCTCCCCGTAGATCTATCTTCAAAAACACCCGTGCTGTTCGCAGCTGATCGATCAGTTCGTCGGCGCGGGGGATGGGATATCGCGATTTAACTGTAACCCTGTTGAGCGCTCGGTAATCGATGCACATGCGAAACCCTCCGTCTTTTTTCGGTGTGAACAGTATCGGTGCGGCGAATGGTGACGAACTCGGTCGGATAAACTGCTTCTCTAACAGGTAATCTAACTGCTTCCTCAGTTCGTCGAGCTCCGGCTGTGTCAGTCTGAACTGGCGCTGTACGGTTGGCTGTGCCCCCGGCTCTAGTTCTATCCTATGATCGTGCGCCCGCTGAGGTGGCAGTCCCTCTGGTAAGTCGTCGGGAAAAATCCCCGGGTACCGTTTCAACAGTTCCTGTAGTTCGGGCGGTACCGCTGCCAGCAGTTTCTGAAAATCGCTCGGCTGCTCTGCTTCTCCTACTACTGCGATGTCCACTGCGTACACGTCAGCTCCAGCGGCGACTGCCCGTTTCATCGTGATGGCGTTGACGTGGACCGTTGAAGACTCAGGCGACTGCCAGCGTGGTAGTTCGACCCAGTTACCACTACTTCGCACAGTGCAGCTGCCTGTCGTCCAGTCAATTCGCGGGTTATACCGTCGCAGCCAATCACGTCCCAGTAAAATATCGTGCCCATCCAGCGTCGTCGCGAGCATTTCCTGTGTAAACCCGAAGTTTCCCTCGCAGCGAACCTTTACTCTCTCCACCTTTTCCCGTATGGCCAGCGGCGTGCCGTCAACTAAGCTTGCGTCTATTTCAGGTAAGCACCGGCTAAGGGTCAGTTGCAGTTTCCGGGCGGTTGCGGTATTAACTAAACTATGGCTTGCTCCTCCGTCGATAAAAATCTTCACTGCTGCTCCCTGTATTTTCCCGTAGATCAGTATTGGGCAGTCCATCGCTGTACCCTCCTTATTCATCCGAGCCCGATCGATGGCGTGAATCGGTACTGTGACTCGGTGAGGGTCGGTGCGGTTGGGCGAGCAGGCAGTCTCGTCAGTAGTTGGCCCAACTTCTACTGACTGCTGGCGTTTCCCTGTCTCTGAGACTCCCTCCCCTGCTCTGCTCCGCGGCGCCTCAGCTCCTCTGGACATTCACTCTTGCGATGGCCCGGCCTGTTGCAAGCAAAGCAGCGCCCCTTAAATGGCGCGGCAGCTGCATTCGTCGCAACGGCGTGTACGGTGGCGTGCTCGATCGGTCCCCGAGGACGATGTCCGTAGTAGGACCCCGGTCTCGACCGGCACAAAATGTCGATTTTCTCGGCGAGCGCGAGAATCTCGTTGAAGTTCGAGAGCCCGCGTAGCATGATTTCGTGCGAGATATCCGGCTTCAGCCCTCCGACGTAACGGTCCACCCGCTCCGCTTCGTGCATGTAGCCGACCTGCTCGCATAATGCGAGAAAACCGCTCGTGTAGTCTTGAACCGATCCGAGCTGCCGCCAAGTGCGCAGTTTCTGACGCGCCGAAATAGAAGCCGCGATCGGCTCGAAGCGCGCCCGAAGCCCTACGCACCACGCATCCCACGTGCTGTACTGGGCGGTTTCGCAGAACGAACTCCAGGTGACTGCTGGACCCGCGGGCCCTTCCTCTTGCGACGGTGGCTCGTAGGCGCGTGGCGACGTCACGATGACTCGCCACCAGTCCATAGCGGGGCCCCTCAGCAGCGAAACGGCGTATCGGATCTTCGCTGCGTCCGACTCGACGTAATTCGCGTCGAAGAAGACGTTCATCGTGAAGATCCACGATTGAACCGTCGGACCTCCACGCTGGCTCGGGTCGAAACAGGGCGGGCGCTGCGGCTTGAGTGGCATTGGTGCCATGATGGCTTGATCGCCACTTGTTGCCGCAAACTCCACGTGCCGACGGGTTTCGTGAGGCTCCTGAGGGCTTGGTGCGACCCGGTTTCGTCCCATGCCAGGCATTGGCTGGGCGGCGCTATCACTGGCTGCTCCTGAGCGCTGTCCCACGCTGTCGTTCTGTGTTGGTGTGCCGGACGAAATGACGATCGGCTCCTCCGAAACAGTGCAGGTATATTTTGTGGTGCTGGGGCGCTCGCCGTGGCTTGCTGACGCGCGGAGTCACGTTCCGCCGTGAGTGTCGCGATTTCGAGCGCCGATTCTTCAACTTGGCGCACCAGGCGGTCGAGCTGCTCCTGCGTCAGAGTCGCGAGCGTGAATTCGGCCATGGCGGGGGTGTCGGGCAAGCTCAGCGAGAGCCTCTGTCGTGGCCGTGCGTGCTTACGAGAGAGCACTACGAGCGGCGGTGCTGTGTCGCTGAGAGACGTCTACCCCCTCCAAAAATTGAGATAGTGGGGAAGCGAAGGTGTGGGTGCGGTCCGAGAAGAGATCGTAGGCTCTGAATACCAAGTGTTACGAGTGCAATTGAGTGAGCGAACGAAGATTGCACTATCGAAGCAACAAGTACAATGAGCGAAGGCATGAGCGAAGATTATATAGCGAAACTACAGTGGTAACGGTAATGTGTGGAAAATGGGGTGCGCGACGGGCCTAGCGCCGAGGTTGGGAATTGTCGAGGCGGAGGTCCGGAGCGCGGGTTACCAACCGAGCCGTGAGGTTGGGTCGCGTCGTGAACAGTGGCGGGAACAGTACCGAGGCGAGTGTCGCGAGTGGTAACGGATTACTGTTGGGTGCTGTTGGCGGGAACAGTGCTGTACGCGCTGAGCAGGGACGCGAAGTAAGGAAAAGGAATTTTCCTTACAATACTGTACTTGCAGCTCCCTCGTCCTGTGATCTCAGGAAACTTGACTGCGTTTGTGTCACATCTGATATTCAATGTGTAACGAGTGTGACATTACAAAGGGAGATGGAACCCTGGTTTTGGAACCCTTGATCGTGCACCAACCCTTGGTCAGGAGCCATTGAACGCGGAGATCCTAGGGAGCCCTTGGCGGCGCGACGTGCTGTCACGCGCCCACTCAACACGAGCACTCCACCCCAAGCCCCCGACACAATGACCCCCGGCGCGGCTCCACTCAGCATCAGTCACGAGGATTCGAGAAACACTTGAATGAGGGCAGAGGAAAAACACTTTCAGCCCGCACATTCATCATCTTGGACTCTAATAACCGTCGATTACTCGCATTGAACCCATCCATTATGTTTACGGGCAAAACACGAGTCGCAATGCGTGGCACACGCGAGTCGCGCATGTCTTCCCGTGCACACAACCAATGCAAGACATCTCAAGAATTTGAGCAAGGCTGACCGGGCGAGAGAGTCATGAGTCACGACTCACATCACGACTTCACGAACACATTTCCGCCCGCCCTCACCCCGTACCCCCTCACGCCTCCCTTGCTCCATCCCCAGCAGCATGAGAGTGTGGGCAGCAGCACCACCAGTAGCGCCCCGCAACCAGCACCTCCTTATTACCTTTCTTCCCTGTCCTGCACGTGCTCGATCTTGACCCGTACACAGTTGCATCCCTTGCTTTCTCCTCTCGTACCTTTGCTGGCTATTGCATGAACACACGGGTCCATGAACGCCATCCCTTTCTCCACATTCAACCCTTGCTTTGTTAGCAGCTTCGTTTCTGGATGCTATTGAGTTTTCACCTGATCCTTAGGAGCACGCTCATAGAAACTCGGTCAGCGGCGTTAGCAATCATACGTAGAATACAGCGCGGTTTCCGTGCCCGTGGAAGCTGCAGCTTTGACGATTGCCAGGAGAGTCTCTCTTCCAGCTTGGGACAAAGTAACACGCACCTGTTCTTTCAAATTCGTCTCGAGTAGCCACTGTCGAATATCTGAAAGGCCTTCATTTTCTCTCAGGAATCCAAACATCACCTCCCGCCTGATCCTCCGCGCGCCCCTAGATCCGCAGCATCTCGAAGGTTGGCACAATTACTAGCACCGCCAGCAGCTCTCGGTTAGGCAGCCCCACTAGCACTGCCAACCAAAACACTATCAACGATGGGGGACAAATGGTTAAACCAAGCCGTAAGAGGCCGCAACCGCAGCAGCACCCCCAAACACCTCTCCAAGCAGCCGCGCCGCTCCTTTCCCCGAGATTCCGGGCCCACGTGGGACCACCACACGCAGGAGCGCCGCCGCCTAGTGCGGCCGCCATGGCGACCCGCGGCGATGGAGGGAGCATACGATGACGACGACGAGGAGGTGGATGATTCGTCGGAAGAGGAGGAGGACGAGGAGGATGAGGGGTGCTGGGCGCACTGTTGCGGGGAGTGTGTGCGGTGGCAGCGCGTGTGCGCGGCGCTGCTGGCGTTCACGATCATCACCGCGCTGCTATACTCGCTCTTCTCCGCCGCTGAAATCCTCCCCGTACGCTCCGCTCCGTGCCGTTCCCCCCCGATCGGTCCCCTTTCTACCGTCAACATAATTCCTCGCATTGTAGCCTGTGCTCTCCTGTGCTCTGCCCCTCTCGTCTCCCCTCCTTTCCTCTCCATAACGGAACCTACACTGGACGCAACGTACCTTTACATTCCCCTTTCCTATTCTCTCCTGTCCTCTTCTCTTCCCTTCGCTCACCTCCTTGCCTTATATACCCCACCTCCCTCAACCACCCCTCCCTCCCTCTCCCGCGCGCGCATCGCAGTCGTCATTGAGTTTCGCTATGTCGGCTCCCGAGCAGAGGCCGTCCAGTCTGCCCATCATCAGCGCCGAGCCATCAGGTTCGAGCTCTTACGCCCATTATTCCTTTTGAGAAATTCCAGCCTCGCTTCCATTCTCCTCTCCCTTTTCCTCGTAACATCCTCTCGCTTCCGCTCTCTTCCCTCCTAACCCCGCTTTCTCTTCCCTCGTCGCCTCCGCGCGTCCCCCGCCTTCACCTTTTCCCCTCGAGCTCCGCCAGCCCCCGACAGCCTTGCGCTGGGGACCATGTTCCCCACGCTCGCCGCCAACGCCGCGCAAGCGCAGCAGGTGCAGGCGCAACCGCAGCAGGAGCAACCGCAGCAGCCGCAATTGCAGCAGGCGCAACCGCAGCAGGCGCAGGTGCAACAGGCCCTTGAGGCGGCGCAAAAGATGTTCCCCGCGCTTACCCCCAACACCGCGCAGCTGCAGCAGCTGCAGCCGCACCTGCTTCACCAGCAACTGCAGCAGCAGCTGTTGCAGCAGCGGCAGCAGCAGGAGCAGCAGCAGCGGCAGGAGCAGCAGCAGCAACTACTGCAGCACTTTCAGCAGCAGGTTCTGCGCCCCGCGCACGCGCGCTCCGCGGAAGCGCAGGCGCAGCAGTCAGCGCAGCCGGTAGCTGTTGGGGAGAACCCAGCAGCGGGTGTGATAACGGTCGAAAGGCCTGTGATTGGAGTACCTGCGGTGGGTCAGGGTGAGGTACCCACTACAGCAGTGGTGGATTCACAGTTGCCGCAACAACCGCCGCAAGCGGAAACGGAGATTCAAGCGCAGGCGGGGGTAGCGGCCGCGGTTTCGGCGCAACATCCAGCGCAACAATCGGCGCAGCCGCCCCCCAGGGCGGAGATCGTTTCTCTTCTGGACACGCGCGCTGCGCGCACCTCCGCGCGGTTAGGCGGGCACGCGCTGGGGGGTTGCGGAAAGACATTTCCGCTCTCTGCGGAGGTAGGAGTTGATGAATGGCTCCCGTTGTGATGATATTGATGATGATGATGATGACATGCTTGACTATGGCTCCTCATCCTTCCGCGTCATTGCGCCTCATTGCGCCTCATTGCGCCTCATTGCGCCTCGTTGCGCCTCGTTGCGCCTCGTTGATTCCTCGCCCTTCCCCTCATTCCATCACCTGTACCCGTCTGTCTTCTCCCTTCCTCCATCCCTTCCGGCCCCCTCCCCTCTTCCTTTCAACCCCCCCGCCACCCTCCGCGCACCCGCCGCTCCTCCAGGGCGCGCCGGGCGGGGGGCAGCACCGCAAGGTGAAACTCGACGACTGCAACCCCGCCCCCGCCGCCGCCGCCGCTTCCGCCTCCCCCTCCGACTCCGCCGTTTCCGCCGCGCAGGTCGCGCCATCAGATGCGCCCGTTGACGTGGCGTTCGATGATTCGGCAGGTGAGCGCAGCAGGGGGGGAAGACGGGGGGGGAAGTAGCGAGTGGCGGATGGCTGGGGACGGGGCTTGTGGGATAGGGGGAAGGGGGACGCGGGAGGGAGCGGGGGAGTGGAATAGAGAGGGGCTGTTGTGATTGGTGCTGCATTGCCATGTGCTTGATCACTGCCACGTGGTCACATCCCCCCCACACCACAGTGCTGCTTACTAGTGTGAGCTGTGGTGGTTACTTACACGCCACCCCGCCCATCCCAAACCTTGCATGGGTGCACATGGGTGCACATGGGTGCGCATGGGTGCACGCATTGCAATGCATGGCATGTGCGTCTCGCTGCGTTGGAGCCTCGAGGGATAGCGGAGGAGGGTGCATTGCGCGGAGTTATGTATTTGAGGCGCCTCAACGCGGTAGTGTGGGGCCGTGCACGCAACCCAGTGCAAGCAGGACTAGGCGCGACTGCAGTGTAAATTGAGGGTTGGATGGGGAACAGTCCGAGAGGCCAGGAGCCTGAGGGGCAGAGTCAGAGGGGCAGAGGGGCTGAGAGGCAGAGGGGCAGAGAAGAAAAGGGTCTGAGAAGCAGAGAATGTTTCAGTGTTGCCTTATGCATGCTCCTCTCACCCGCCCTCCCTCTCGCACGCCCGCAGATGTAACTGTTCCTCTGGGGGAAGGTGATCCGGGGCAACAGCAAGAAGAGGAAGGGGGGGCAACGCAGGCTGCACCAGAGGAGGAGCAACAGCAGATGCAGCCGCAACAGCAGCCCCAGGAGGAGCAGCAGCAGCAGCAAGAGATGCAGGTGCAGTTGGAAAATGCACAGCCTCTCCCAGCTGCTACTGTCCCTGCTGCTGCTACTGCTCGCGTTGCCAATGCCGGTGCGCTTGGTCTCACCAACAGCGCAGCAACAGCAGCTGCTGCTGCTTCCACCACCCCACATTCCCCCCAGTCTCCGCTCGCCTCTTCTGCTACCCCATCCCTGTCCTCCGTCTCCTCAGCCTCTGCTGCTACTGCTGGTGCTGCAGCAGCTGCTGTCACCACGCCCGCGCAGCGGCCGTTGCAACAACGTTTCCAGACAAGGCAACAACCCGATCCCTCTCAGAGCATAGGGGCAGATCCTGGCGGTGCAGCAGTGGCGGCCCAGCCAGGAGCAGGCAGTGCAGCAGTGAGCGCTGCAGTGGATGCAGTGGGGAGTGCTGCTTCCGGTGTTTCCTGGCCTGCGGAGGCTCCCCGCACTTTCCGTGGCTCGCCCACCCACACGTTACCGCAGCAGCAGCAGCAACCACAACAGCAGCAGCCGATGCAGCAGCAGCCGGAGCAGCAACAGCAACAGCAGCAACAGCAGCAGCAGCAGCAGCTGCTGCCACAAGTTCCGCCAGTGACCAGCGAACCAGAGCCGCTGCCACTGCCACCCCAGCAGCCGCAGCAGCAACCGCAGCAGCCACCGCAGCAGGAGAGGGCGAGGGCTGGGCGAGGAGAGGAGGGGGACAGCATGATGGCAACGGCATTCCGAGCGTGCATCGACCACACACGCGTGCAGAGAATGGGTGAGTGGCACATGGAAAAATGTGGACACATGGAAAAATGTGGACACATGGAAAAATGTGGACAGATGGAATGGGGAGTTTCATGCCAGCTTTTTGCTCCCCATGGGCTTTGTAGGGCAGCAGGTGCTTTGCAGGGCTTCTCAAATCCCCCTCTGCCCCCGCCACCCAGCACTCTTGCCAAGCTGCCAGCACCTCGCACCCTCTTCCTGCTAACCCTGTCCGCACTCACCATCCCCTCAAGTGGAGAACTCGGGGTGGCCATATCTGGTGGTTCGTTGAGCACACGGTGGGGTACACGCAGCAGCAGCAGCTTTCCTATCCACCTCAAACTCCCCCCCTCCCCACCACCTTCCCTCTCTTCCCCCTTAACCCCTCTCCCCCCGCCTCCAGCAGAGCACTCGGAGTGGCCGTACCTGCTGGTGCGGGAAGCACACGTGGGATACAGGCGGCAGCAGGAGCGCGTTTCAATTCCCCACTCGCCCTCTTCTTTCCCCGTTAACCTTTCCTCCCTCTTCTCCAGCGGAGCACTCAGGCTGGCCGTATCTGCTGGTGAAGGGAGCGCACGTGGGGTACACGCGGCAGCAGGAGGCGCTGCTGCGGGCGCTGTGGGTAGCGAGGGCGACAGGGTCGGTGCTGGTGCTGCCGGCGTTCTTCAAGAGCTTTGACACGCACCCCTCACAGGAGACCAGCATCGTACAGTTCTTCAACACTCAGTACCTCATCACACACGTGCGTGCTGTGCTGTGCGGTGGAGAGCGGTGGAGAGTAATGTGGTGGGGTGGGGTTGAGTGAAGTGGGTTGGGTTGGGCGTGGGGTGCATGTTGACACGCACCCCTCACAGGAGACGAGCATTGAACACTTCAACACTCAGTACCTCATCGCACACGTTCGTGCTGTGCGGTGGAGAGCCGTTGGGAGCGGTGGGGAGCGGTGGGGGAGGATGTGAGGGGGTGGGATGGAGCCGGGGTGGGGTAGTGCAGGATGGGAGCATGTATGCAGTTGCAGAACATGCACTTGTGCTTCCCGCCCCTGAGTATGCTGCCTGCTCGTGGTACTCATGTTAACCAATGACCATCCATTCTGCGTTTCCTTCCCGCTCTTTTTGCAACTCCCTCCTTTCCTACCCTGTATGTCTTCCCTCCTTTCCTACCCTGTGTGCCTTCCCTCCTTCTCCTTGCGTCCTCCCGCCCACCTACAACAACCACGTTACGGCCCGCATGACAACACGCCTTCCTTCCCCTGCCCTGCACGTGCTCCGCAACAGATGTACTGCTCATCAGGTACCACCCCCATCCCCTCCCTTTCACTAGATATTGTTTATTTGTTGCGGCTAAAATCATGCCAGCCTCTCCTTCAGTCCCCTCATCCTCATCCTCACTGGCCTCAACACTACTTGTGCTCCTCTTCCTCCACCTATCCACATTCCCATCTCCCCTTTCCTTTGCTCACAACCCTTCTCCCTTCACCCCAACTCTTCCTTCCCCACCCTCACCTTCCTTTTCTTCTGCTCCCCCACTCCTCCACCCACTACACACCACCCACATCTCCAACTACCCACCAACTTTACCCCACGCGCCCTGCAGAGGTATGGGCAGTGCAGTCGCTCCCAGCCAGCGTGCAGGAGGAGCTACCAGCGGGCGCCAGTGCACGCAACGTGGACGCCATTCTAGCAGCGCCCGCCTCCAAGGCCCTCAGCATCCCCCGGGAGATCGTGGCGGGGAGCGCTGACATGAACAACCCCGCTCTGCTGCGCTGGCTCGAGACCGTGCGACAGGAGACTACCAAGGGCAAGGTGAGTGATGGTAGCTTCGAGCATGCCAGTCAGGAAAGTGGAGGAGGAAGGGCGGGGATAGTAACCAATAGCCAACAGCGCTGACATGAACAACCCATCTCAGCTTCGCTGGCTGGAGACTGTGCGGCAAGAGACAACCACGGGATTCAAGCGCCTCCATGAACCAGGCTGAACCCCCCCATGCGATCCCCCTTCCCCACCACTTCCTCGCCCCTCCTCTCCCCCCCCCCTCTCCTCCCCCAGGTGCGCCTGCTGGTGTACGACACGGACCTTCCACTGCCCGTTCTGAGTCGACTCAAGATCCCTTCCATGAATCCCCCCACCTTTCCCCCAGGTGTGCCTGTTGGTGACTTTTGAGTCGACTCAAAAGTATCCCTGCCATGAATCCCCCTGCCTTTCCCCCAGGTGCGCCTCCTGGTATACGACACGGACCTGCCGCTGCCCTTCTCATCCCCTGACCAGCAGCGGTTCAAGAAGAACGGGCTGGCGGCACTACGCGCCTCAGCGGACGTGAGCGCCATCATCACGCAGCTGCTGCACCGCCTGCGCAAGGCCTTCCAGGACCACATTGGAGGCGACCTCTCCCAGTTCCAGTTTGCAGCTCTGCACGTTGGAGAAGATTATACTGCTGGTGCTGCTGCTGATGGTGGGCTTGGGGATGGTGGTGGCGGCGGTTTGGCCGGTGCAGCCGGTGGGAAGAATGGCAGCAGTTCAGAGGCTGGTGGGGATTATTCTGAGAGCAGGAGTGGTGGGGTTGCTGCTGGTAGTGCTGACGGGGACAGCGGGGGCGTTTTGGCGGCGATTCGAGAGGCGCTTTTAGCCAATGTGGATCCTTCGCAGATGCTTCTTTATGTCACGGTGGGTCGATCTATGGAGCACAAAACAGTGCTGCAGGAGCTGCATGGAGCGTACCACGTTGTTACAAAAGACACGCTCATTCCCAACATCAGCCGCAGATTCCCATCGCATGAAATGCAGGCGGCGTTCGAGCAAGGGGTTGCCAAGGAGGCGTCGATCTTCCTCGCTCCGTCCACGTCAGCATTCTCGGGGTTTGTCTTCCAATCACGGTGTTTCACGCGGCCGACGTTGGGACAGAAGCCGTTAAGAGACACCGTGTTTTACGACCGGAGCACGAGTGTTGCTGCATGCCATGTGCGGCCCACGGGTTGACAAGGAAACGGAACGGATTCTATATGCTTGTATAATGGGACCTGCAGTCTTCAATAAATAGCTTGGCCAGGGCAAAAGGAGCTATGGCCAATGCAGAGGTTGCTCTAGTGAACTGTTGATGTTGCTGCATTGCATACTGCTTCGAGTATGGAGATACATGCCCTAAAATAATGTGGGGAGGGAATGGGCACTGCCACTCTGGGTTGTGAAGACTCTGCCTCTGATTTGCTGCCAACTTCCTCTCCTTGCTCTAGCTTATTTGGTCATATTTACATACTATGGTTTGGTCATATTGTAGTTTGCAGCAAAATCATAAGCAAAGGTGGGTCTATCTAATATGCATAAGTCTCGAACCAGATATGTAAGCTTTGTTTGATATAGCAGCATCCTACGATAATGACGCTAGGGGCCAACATCATGAAGCCTCTTATTGTTCCTTGTCTGGATATAGCATCCCATACAACGAGGCTGCTTTTATCTTTTGCTTGAGACGTCTTCAGGGGGTACTCAGGTAACAGCTGTTTCACGCCTTCCTCACGCCTTGAGATTTTTTCGCTCCACCGCGCCCTGGGATCGGGAACCGCCTTGGGAATGTCGTCTGTGAATGAACTGAAAGCCGCCCTTGATTGCAATGCAATGCAACTCACCCATTCGTGGACATGTGACATACGAATCTGTTGGTGACAGCGTCCACTCCGGACTCGTGAGGCGTCCAGTCGATTGGTAAACTTCACCATCCGCACCATGTCTCGCGCTAGTCATCGCTTTAGAAGGTGTCGCGAAGAATATGACGAAGTTCGCGAATCAAGAAACTTGAAACGTCGTGCAATTGACTCCACCGGGAATTTCGTAAGTGCCACTCCCTATTAGTCTGAATCCGTCCAGATGGCACTCGGTTGGAGCGATGCGAGCCCACCAAGCAACAGCCATTCGCAACATCCTCCTTCCCCACCTCAAAACATGCGGGATGATCCATCTTCATGGGGTCACCCGCTGGTCCCAAGGTTATCCCGTCCCGCTGCACATCCACCTGGCTGACCGGGATGTCCGAACCCAAGTGACAGCCGAATCCGTGCAGCAAGCGTCGACGATTCGACGGTCGCAAGCAAATCTTTGTTATGGGACGCGAGCTTATCATGATGATCTCGTGACATGTCAAGTCCCACTCAGCGATCAAGTTAACCTCCCCATGGGCTGAAGTTTGTGCCTGCTCGGGCAATCGTTCCAGTCTAGGCTAGCCCTCGTAGATCCCTTTCATGCATCGACTTCGAGTGGTCCCGCCGTCGCAATCAGGCGCGAATTCATTTTTATCTCGGCTCGTCTCGCCTTCGTCTCGCCTTACTCTCGCTTCTTGCCTTCAGGGGCGCTTTTCCTGCCTCACGCACGCCACGCGAGGGCGATGGTGTATTCTAGCCCGTTCTGGAAGTCGGCATTTCTTCAATATTGCTGAGTTTGCTTATTTCCACTGATAGGAATCACCCCGTTATTCGTGGTACCGTATCTCCTTCGTGTGGCGACAGGCATCCATGGCTTCCCTGAAGTTTGATCCAGACTTCTGGAACGTGGTTCAAGAGAGGCTGCAGCCGAGGTACCAAACTCTTCATCCATCAGAGAAGCTTTCTTCATGTTGTAGGATTCCGGTTCGAAGCGGATACTATCATACTTGTGAATTTTAACGTGCATACTTGTGGTTTCCACCTTCATGACGCCTCGTATCCTGTCAGCTCTCTGGTTTACAAGTCCTATCTAAGCGCTTTCCAGGAGCAAATATTCAGATTCTCTGGTTCCAAAACGGCTCCTATGCTGTCTATTCCCCCACTGGCTATGCATCTATACTTTCTTCAAATCATGCCTCTCAGGCCAATACAAGCGCCACTGCCAGCACTTGTCCCCGTTGAATCCAGCTCGTCTGAAGAATCTCCCGAGGGCCGCCATGATTCTGCAGAAGCCGGTGGAAGCACAACAGGGACAAAACCCAAGGAGCCTGAGGTGGAGTGGCTGGAGGCTTCTCAGATCCGATACAGTCAGTCAACGATATGCGAGGCGTTTTCGCGCCCACCAGCCAAGGCTGTCGCGGATGCAGCACCGGAGCAGAAGAGGTATGCATCATCTGGTTGCCTCGTCTCAGGCTTTTGGGGCGCCTGACTCCAAAAGGCTTGTCTGAATCAAATTTGTTTGGAAGAATCGGAAGGTCACCTCACTCCTCTGTTTAGGATTGTGGTGGTATGGTACCTACGGACTAGAAGTTCACTTTCCTATCTTTCTCCCTGCTCTCTTCTCCTCAATCATTCCCTTTCCCCCCTGCCATGACCACCACTTCATCCGATCCCTCCGCCTCCCATCAGCTATGCACGTGTCGCTGCTTCTGCGCCCAGAAGCAACAAGTACACAGTCTTCGATGCGGTGCGGGATCTCAACGAGGGAACCAGCAAGATTGAGGACTTCCCACCAATCCGAGTGGTGGAGCAGGACGGGCTGCTGTTCTCTCTGGACAATCGCCGGCTGTATGTGTTCAAGATGTTCGGAACCATTGGGTTGCGCGTGCCCGTGCGCCGTGTGCCGGCTGATAAGGAGCTGTTTCAGAAGCTCACGTGCACGGGCACGGGGGACGCGAGGGGGAAGACGGTGGATGTGCTAACGGAGGAGGAGGCGAGGAAGGTGGGCAGGGTGCTGCAGCTGGAGCAGCACGTGCTCAAATGGAGCGTGCCGGATATCATGAATGATTACCTGCTCGTCAGGAAGGTGAGAGCATAACAGCATATGGTCTTCGGTAATTGTTCAGGAAACAAAGCAGCTCTGTGGTGCCTTTTCCTTCCTACGTTGGTATTATCCTGTGCCTTTCACATGAGCTCAAGCGAAGCGGTGCAATCAGGGGAGTCGTTTCAGTACTTGCGTCTTCTTTGGTTGACTCAGTTAACTACAGTAACTGCAAGATTAAATAACTGGTGCTGTAACTACCCCGCTGTGACCTGTGTGACCTGCCACCCCTGCAGGTTCGGCCCATACCAGACAAATTCCTGAACATCCGCTCGTACCTGTCAGCCTTCCGCTGGCCCCTGGTGGAGGAGTGCCGTGCCAGCCTCAAGGCCAGCCTGGGTCAGCTCTCCGCTTCAACTCCCATGCGGGTAGACATTCACAAGGTGGAGAGGATTGATGGGTATGTGGCAGGCGCTGATGATTATGATGATGAGGACGAGTGGGGGGAGGGTGGGTATGACATGGGCCAGCAAGACGTGTTTGGCAGTGATTGGTGTGAGGAGGAGGACGTCTATGGAAGTTCTCTGTTCGGGGGAGCAAGGAGGGTGAAGAAGCCGGTGAAGGTGCACTCGGATACATGCCGGTTTGGTGCGGTGGTGTTCGAGGTGGACAAGCAGAAGCTGGCTCGTGACAGGGCAGCATCGGGAGGCGGAGGCGGCAGCTGGTTCGAAGGCGTGAAGCTAAAGCCAACAGATGTAGTGCTTCTCTCCACTGTTGCTCCTACCGAGCCTAACGACCTGCTGCGTGCAGGCGTGCTGTATCTGCTTGGCGTGCTGCTTCCCGACCGAAACGTGACCGAGGGCATTACTCTTCCAGGACAGGACGGAGGACAGGAGGGTGGTGGTGGGGGCGATGGGAGCAGCTGCTATTTCAAGGCGAAGATCTTTCTTCCGAAAGAGTCCCCTGAGCTGAAAGGTCTAGAGGAGGCTTTAGTTCGGACGAAGAGTGATAAGGGGGATGGTGCGGAGGGGGGTGTTACTTGGTATGTGACTCTGCTGGATACGTTTGCCACGCCCCAGCGCATTTGGGATGCTCTGCACGGGTATCTGGGGCAAGAGGAGTGGAGCGAGATGGGGGATCGAAGAGGGATCAGATGATGAGATTGATGCTGGAGGAGGTGCTGTGTTCGGAAAAGAGGGCCAGCAGGAGGGGTGGAGCGAAGCGAATTTCAGAAGAAGCAAGAGAGGTGAGGCTGCTGTGATGGTTCTTGTTGTTTGTTGGTAGAAAGATAGAGCGAAACTTGTTCATTACCCCAGAAACCAGTGGCATCAGTTATTTTTGTGGCAGCCCCTCTACCCGTTTGCTTGCATTCCACTATCCAATACCTGCTTACCTGCTTCCCTCCAATGCAACCCTTCTCTCCCTTGCAACCCCTTGGTGTGGTGAGCAGCAACTTCTGAGCACGCTACCTCCAGCCATCACCATAGCACCTGACCTGGTACCCGAGCTTCTGCAAGCCGTGGGGGACTTTTGCCATGCACGCGGCCTCAACCACCCGCAGCAGGCAGCCATTCTTGCCTGCCTCCGAGGATTCCTCTCCTCTGCTGCCTCCTCCCCACACGTCTCCTCAGCCTTTCCCTCCTACTCCTCCTCCTCCTCGCAATTCTCGTCCTTCTCCTCGCCGCTCAACGGCTACTCCTCTGCTTCTCGCAAACTCCTGCAGCTGGTGCAGGGGCCGCCAGGAACAGGCAAGACGCACACGATCTCCGTCCTCCTCTCCGTCGTGCTTTCCCTTGGGGTTCGCACGCTCGTCTGCGCCCCTACCAACGTCGCTGCGGCGGAAGTGGGGCGGAGAATGCTCCGTCTCGCTCTCTCCTCCGATCCCTCCTCGCAGTTTGCAGGTTACTGCCGCGAGCAGCAGCAGCAGTATGATGGATGGGGCGGTAGGGGAGATGTACCCGTGGCGTTTGTGAGGGGTGGGAAGCTGAGGGTGGGGGATATAGCTCTAGTGGCAAATGAAGATCGGCTGGAGATAGATCCAGAGCTGGGTATGATCCTGGTGGGGAGTGAGAGGAAGGGCGGCGGCGGGAAAAGCACGTTCAGTGGACGCGTTGGGAGGCTGGTTGAAGCTCTTTCCCTTTTAACTGGATGGCGGGTTTCCTTTCAGAACCTGGTTTCGTTTTTGGATATCTCATGGGAGGTGCTCAACCTGGAATTCCAAACCGAGCTGGAAGAGGAGGAGAAGAGACGAAAGGAAGCTGCGCCTGCAGGCGACGTTGGCAAGGGCGGCATTGACAAGAAAGGTCCGAAGAAGGCCGCCCCACTTCCAACCCCCGTAACGCATCTCCAGAAGCGTATCGATCTCCTGACTCAGCCCGCTATGGAGGGAGCTGTCAATCTCGCAGAGGACCTCCCGTCCGCTCTTCTTCCTGAGAAGGAAAGAGTGTTGCTTCTCCAGGCGTTTGATCTCATGGCAGCGCTGCGGCAGCTGGTGAGGGTTGCTGGGCTGACTCCTGCTGTTCTCAAGACATGGCTGGAAGGTGCCGGGGGGCTGGCAGGAGAGGAAGGGGGGGTGGAGGAAGTGGTTGAGGCGGCATTTGTTCTGCTTGGCCTTGGTGTTACTGCTGCGGGTGGGCTGGATGGTGAGTCTGCTACGAGCACAGTTCCAAACAGTAGCATCACTGCCAGCAACGGCATCACCACCAGCACCAGCACCACCAGTGCCGTCACCACGAGCAGCAGCCGAATGGCGATGCTTCGGGCTGCAAAGAGCATGAGCGTTAGCCAAACCAGAAGCACCACCACCAGCACCATCACCCCAACGCAAGCCCGGTCGCTCTTCCTCTCCATACGCAACTGCCTGCGACAGATCTCATACCAAAGCCCTGCATACAACATCCCAAAGCTATCCGGAGCCCCCACGTTCGCAACGGTAGCTGCAGTCTGCATCGAGCATGCCAAGCTCGTCCTCTCCACCGTCTCCTCCTCTGCGCGCCCTCTCCTGCGTTTCTCCAACCCCTTCCCCCTGCTTCTGCTGGATGAAGCAGCCCAGCTGGTGGAGGCAGAGGGTGTGGTGGCCCTGCAGACCAAGGGGTTGCGCTATGCTGTTCTCGTGGGCGATCCCAAGCAGCTGCCTGCCACTGTCTTGAGCAAGGTGGGCGTTGGGAAGTGGTCAGTCTGTGAACTATTCCACTGCGTTTCAATTCAACACGTACCCCTGCTTCCTCTGACATACGCGTTGCTACTGCTTCTGATTCCGTGTCCATTTCTCCTCACTCCTCTCCTTCCCCGCTTTCTCTTTTCATGTAATAACCTCCAGGTCGCAGTTGAAGCCCACTACAACCGCAGCTTATTCGAGCGGCTGCAGGGCAACGGGTGGGAGGTGCACATGCTAAGTGTGCAGTACCGCATGCATCCGGAAATCAGCCGCTTCCCCTCGCACCGCTTCTACGAGGGACGAATCGAGGATGGCGCCAACGTGTGCCGGCCGTCACACAGCCCGCAGCACCTGGAGCCTCTCTTTGGCCCGTACATGTTCATGCACGTGAAGGGCAAGGAGGAGAGGGATGCGGGGGCGGTGGAGGGTGGCTCGCGCAGTATTGCGAACTCGGTGGAGGCTGTGGTTGTGCTGGCGCTGCTCAAACGACTCTCTGACGGTACGACTTGTGTACTCTGCTCTGCTTGTTGCTGCTCTGCTCTGCTTGTTGCTGCTCTGCTCTGCTTGTTGCTGCTCTTCTCTGTGTTTCCCTGCTAAGATGGTTCTGCTTCTGTGCTATGCCAGATAAGGCTACAGTCGCTTCTGGAACCCCGCTGTCTCTATGAAATCCCGTCCTCAATCCCCCTGTCGTTCGCACATCTCCCGCTGGCCCCCACACCACACTCACAGCCTGCAAGGGCACAGAAGCAGAGGCACGCACAGGCTCCGCACCAATGAAAGTGGGCCTCATCTCACCATACGCGCTGCAAGTGGACTACTTAAAGCGGGGGCTGGAGTCCCAGTCGTGGCCGCACCTGATGGTGGAGGTGAAGAGTGTTGACGGGTTTCAGGGCAGGGAGTGCGACGTGATCATCGTCACCACTGTGCGCTCCAACGCCGCTGGAAGCATTGGATTCGTGTCCGACGCCAGGCGGTAGGTGATGGGTGGGGGGTGGTGTGGAGGGGAGGAGAGTTTTGAGTCGACTCAGAAGTCACCTTGTTTTAAGGGGCAGGGAGTGCGATGTGATCATTGTCAGCACTGTGCGCTCCAACGCCGCTGACAGCATTGGATTCGTGTCCGACGCGAGACGGTGGGCGATCGTGGCCGGTGGGGTGATGGGTGGTGGGCGGTGGGAGGTGGGCTGTGGGTGGGCGGTGGGTGGTGAGGTGGGTGGTGGGTGATGGGCGTGCGTGAGTGGGTGGATGTTGTTGAGTGGGGAGTGGTGCTTTTGGTGTTTTGTTGTTGAGTATGTGTGTGTCTGTATTCACACTTCAGCTGACCTCGCTTTCCATTGCCATTCTTGTACTTTTCCACTACACAGCTTCGTACCTTAATACTCCATTCCTCATTGCCCTTTGATCTTAGAAATGCCTGATCCCTGTCCTCCTTGCATCTTAAACTCACCCGTATCCCCCTCCCCCCGTTTCCACTCTTCCCACCTCTTTCCCACTTTTCCCTTTCCCCATTTCCCCTTTCACCCTTGCCCCCTGCCCCTGTTTACCCCCTTCCTTAAGACTCAACGTGGCAATAACACGTGCGCGGTACTGCATGTGGGTGGTGGGCGACCGGGACACCTTGCAGCGCGGGGACACAACGTGGGAGCACCTCCTAGTGGACGCACAGCAGCGCGGGTGCCTGGTGGAGGCACACAGCGATGCAAAGCTGCGCAGAGTGGTGGAGAAACGTCAGATGGAGTTGGGCGAGGTGGAGCAGCTGCTGCTGCCCAACTCCGGCCTTTGGGACTCGCTCATCTGGGAGGTGAGATGTGGTTTGAGAAGGAGCGGACTGACATGGGATTGTGAGACACGTGGGGATGTATGCACGGGGTGAGGAGAGGGAGGGATCAGAGAACGTGAGGGGTGGTTTCAAGTAAGCCTTGGTTCCGTAAACCGTTGCTCGTTTCCCTTCCCCACCAACACAGGCAACCTTCAGCCTGGAGTTTTAGCGCAGCATGCGGGAGGGAGCTGCGCTCTCTGAACGTTATTATTGCAGTGAGACGACTTATGACCGGTGTTTTGAGTCGACTCATAACCGTTTCTCGTTCAATTCCCCGCCACCAGGCGACGTTCAGCCTGGAGTTTCAGCGCAGCATGCGGGAGCTGCGGTCGCTGGACGTGATCAATGCAGTGAGGCGCCTCATGGGCGGGCACAGGCCGCAGCGCTGCACCAGGCCACGGCACGAGCTCAAGGACCCGCGCTACTATGACATCATTCACGTGCAGGCCGTGGGCAGGTACCAGCTCATCTGGACTGTCGATGTCTCCCGCACAACTTATAAACAGGTCAGTGCTCTGCTCTGCTCTCACTCTCAATTTCTCTTTTTCTGTCTTGCTGTGCTCTCGGAACCGTGTTGCATTGTACTCTTTTCTGTATGCCCCTCCCCCGCAAGAACACGCCTTGGCCTCCTCCGTCGCCTCTCCTCACAGCAGGCGCATCATTTTGTTTTTTTTTTTTCTTGCTCCCTTTTCCCTCCCCCCGGTGTCTGCGGCCCTTGTTGTTGCACCATGATGCAGATCATCCGAGTGTGGGACGTGGTGGAGGAGCAACACGTGCTAAAGTGGTTGCGGCGCCTCGAGGGAGGCCTTGGGACCTACTCTGACGAGTCCCTCGACCGCTGTGCGCGCTGCGACGACCGCCTCGCCCGCAGGGTGCAACCGCTGCAGTTCCCTAGAGACTCTGGCTTCATGTGGCACAGGGCCAAGGCATCGCCGCGCGATTTAGCAGCGGAATCTGACGCCGCAGCAGGTATAATTGGCTCAGGTATGGTGGGTAGGTGACTGGAGACGTCCAGTGACTGGTGACTGTTCCCTGTCTATTGCAATGGTTCCGTTTCTTGATTTATCATGTCCTCCTTCTGCCCACTTCCCGTTTCCCCTTCACCTGTCTACTTATTCTCGTCGCTTTCTTGCCCGCCCCTGTTGGTTTTCATCTTCCGTTTTTACCTTTTTTCCCCTGCTTTAATTCTTTCCATTCGTTTACCCTCGCTCCCTCACATACCCTCCCTCTCCATACCTCCCTCCCGTACCCTCCCTCCCTACCCCCCTCTCCCTCCCGTACCCTCCCGCCCTCCGTCCCCCTCCCTCCACCCCTCCCGCCCTCCCTCCGTCCCTCCGTCCCTCTCACCCTCCCTCCCTCCCGCCCTCCGTCCCCTCCCCCCACCCCTCCCGCCCTCCCTCCGTCCCTCCGTCCCTCTCGCCCTCCCTCCCTCCCGCCCTCCCTCCCTCTCTCCTTCCCTCCACCAGAGAGCGCCCTAGAGCGAGCGCCAGTGGACGAGAGCGTCCTACTGATGAAGTTCTACCAGCTGTCCCTGGGATCCGCGCGGCAGCTTTTCACAGCAGTGCAGGGCGAGCTGCCGTTCGAGGTGAACGAGCAGGAGGCACTCATCGTGCACTACCCGGGGAGCCTCTTCGTGCTCGGTCGCTCCGGCACTGGCAAGACCACCATTATTACGCACCGCTTGCTGCGCCTGGAGCGGGTGTTTCTGCGAGCCATGGGGGAGCGGGGCCGGCTGGGTCCTGCTGTGGGGATTGTGAGTGCGGGGAGTGGCAGGGGGAAGGGGGTGGGTGATGGGAAGGGGGGTGGTGAGGAGAGGGGAGAGGGGGGGGAGGGCGGGAGTGTGGGGACACTGAGGCAGGTGATTGTGACTCTGAGCCCGCGGCTGTGTGCTGCGATTCGGCACCATGTGCACAAAGTCAGACGGTGAGCTGCCTGGAAAGCCATGGTGCTCTGTGACTGGGTTGGCGTGGTGTGGATGGGTGGGCGTGGTGTGGATGGGTGGGCGTGGGCGTGGTGTGGATGGGTGGGGATGGGTGGGCGTGGTGTGAATGGGTGGGGATGAAATGCAGAAGCTATTTCCACGTTCCACAGTCGTCCCTTCTCTCCTTCCTGCCTTCCCCGTACTCCCCACCTCTTATCTCCATTTCTCTCCCTTAACTCTTCCACCCTTCCATCCCTTCCCCCGCTCCTTCCTCAAACTCTCATTCGCACTCACACAGTCGCTCACACTCGACCATGAATGCATCCCTCCCTCCGTGTGCCTTGTCTCTCCACCAGAACCATGCTCGAAGCAGACGCCGAGCTCCCTGCCAGCACCGCACCTCCTGGCACAGCCCAGGGGGGCCAACACCAGCAGCGGCAGCAGGAGGAGCAGCAGCAGGGGGAGGCAGGGGAGGTGGAGGAGCTGTTGCTGTCAGAAGAAGCAGAGGAGAAACTGATGGGAGATCTGCCCGAGTCTCTTGATGAAGTGCAGCCTGATGCTTTTCCCCTCGTGCTGACCTTCAAGAAGCTGCTGAGTATGGTCAATGCTACTTTGGCACGGCCGTTTCAGCAGGATGGTGGGTTAAAGGCCGGTGGGTGGCATGGGAAGGGGACGACGGGTGGCGGGTGGAGGGGAGCGGGGGAGTACAGGGGTGGGGCTGCTGGAGGGAGGGGTGGTGATGGTAGTGATGATGATGGGAGCGAGTATTTCTCAGATGATGGTGATGAGGATGAGGAGGAGGAAGAGGAGGAGGACGAGGAGGAAGAGGATGTGTTTGGCCAAGCGTACCATCAGTCGCACAGGGACAGGGACAGGCAGCAAGGCACGAGCGGAGCTAGAAGCAGCAGTGGCGCAGGCACTAGCCCTGGCAGCGGCAGCGGTGGTGCTGGTGTGCTGTCTCTACCCGAAGAGGTGGACTATGACCGATTTGAATCCCTCTACTGGCCGCATTTCAACACAACAGTCACTCGCAAGCTAGACGCCTCCCTGGTCTACAAGGAATTCTTCTCCCACATCAAAGGCTCTCTTCACGCCCTCAGGTCCCCCCGGGGGCGGTTATCAAAGGAGGACTATGTCGCTCTGGCTCAGACCCGCACGTCAAGCTTCGATGAGGCGCAGAGGGAGGTGATATATGGGTTGTATTTGCAGTATGAGAGGATGAAGCGGCAGAGGGGGGACCACGACTTGTGTGACTATGTGTACCATGTGTATAGGGAGCTTGCGAAGGGAGCGACTAGGATATGCACACCTGCTGCTCTTGCCGCCTCTGCAGCTGCCTCAGCCGGTGCTGCTGCTTCTCGTGGCCCCAGGTCTACTGCCTCTCGAGGTGGTGCTGGTGGAGATGACAAGGTTCGCTCTGGTCCGCCCTTCCAGTATGTTTATGTGGACGAGGTACAGGATCTGACCCAGGCGCAGATTGCCATTCTGCGCTTCCTCTGTGCCAATACCTCTGATGGGTTTGTCTTTGCGGGGGACACGGCGCAGACGATTGCGAGGGGTGTGGACTTCCGGTTTCAGGACATCCGCAGGTTGTTCTATGAGCTGTTTTTGGGGAGGAAGGTGGATGTGGTGGAGGATGCAGGGGTTGAGGGGATAGAGGGCGGAGGAGGTGGGGGTTCCGGCAGTGGTTGTGCTGGTGGTGCGGGGGAGGGAGAGGGTGGGACAGAGGAGGGGCGGGTGCGGGAGAAGCAAGGGAGGTGGGCAGGGGCAGCAGCAGCACGAGGAAAGCAGAAGCTATCTGGCAAGGGGAGGAGGATGCTGGAAGAGGTGGCCAGTGGAGCAGCAGCAGAAGCAGCAACAATGAAAGCCAGTGCAGCACAGGGCTCAGACAGGGACGGAGCAGAGCAGGGCAAGGGGGAGACGGGAGCAAAGGCAGGCGGAGGAGGCGGAGCAGCACAGGAGCGATCGTCCTGCACAGAAATGCCGGATCTGTTCTTCCTGTCTCAGAACTTCCGAGCACACAACGGCATAGTGCGCCTAGCAGACAGTGTAGTGCGCGTGCTGCTTCACTTCTTCCCTCACGCTGTGGACCGCCTTGCACCGGAGTTCAGTCTGATTGATGGGGAGGCGCCGGTGTTCCTGGATGCCAAGGCGAGCGATGATGTGGTGACGCAGCTGTTTGGGAAGAAAGGGGCGATTGGCGGCGGAGGGTGCGAGTTTGGAGCAGAGCAGGTAATGAGGGCGGGTGCGGGGTAGGTGCTTTAGGTTGAAAGGGGGGTTGCGGAGAGAATGAAGGGTGCTGGGAGAGGGAAGAGAGCAGGCAAAGAAAGGATGAAGTTTCGTTGGGCCTGGGGAAGAACACAAGCATTCTCTGCTCCTCCAGTGTGTTTCACTTGCTTCGTGTTGCTACTGAGTCATTTGGTGTTCTACCCTCTGCCGTCTTCCCCACCTTCCGTGAACCCCCCCTCCCCCGGTGCATCAGGTGATCTTGGTGCGGGATGCAGAGAGCCGCACGGAGCTGGTGAAGCGGATCGGGTCAAAGGGACTCGTGCTCAGCGTGCACGAGTGCAAGGGGCTGGAGTTCCAGGTAATCACATCAATGGCGTGGGAATAATTTTTGGGGGATGTTGTTTCTTGGTACAACATGTACCCAGCACCTCCCGCTCCCTTTTGAGTCGACTCAAAAAAGTCAGCAATCATTTCTGGGGGATGTTGTTTCTTGGTACAACATGTACCCAGCACCTCCCGCTCCCATGCCCGCACCGAGCCACTCCCGCTCCCTTGCTCTGGCTTCAATTCGTCCATGAGTCAACGTAATACCCAGAATAAGTCAATGAGTCAACCATCACTTCCTAAACTCCACACACAACTCCTCTCACCACCTCCACCACCCTATTCCTACCATGACTAACCCCTCTCCCACCTATCCCCTCCCCTCTCCTCAGGACGCCCTGGTCTACAATTTCTTCTCAGGCTCCCCAATGGCATCGAGCTGGCGGCTGTTATACCACTACATGCGCGAGCACTCGCTCATTCCCTCCACAGAGGATGGCTCCAGCCGTTGGCAGTGCCCCTCCTTCGACCCCAAGCGGTGGGTGACCGTGGGAACCCTCGAAACCTGTTTCAGTTGTGCTACTGATGTTCTGCTTGACCGTAAAAGTAACTGTGGATCAAGCTGAAGGGAAGCGGCTGTACATGGTATGTACACGAGTCCAGATGCACAATCTCTTCTACACCTACTTGGAGCAGATGTACGTTGTGCTGTGCATAGACCAGTCTTTATGCACCAACACATGCCTCACACCATCGCTCCACTCCCTTTCCCTTCTCCTGCCTCCAGGCACAACCTCCTTTGCAGCGAGTTGAAGCAGCTGTACGTGGTGTTAACGCGTGCGCGGCAGCGGCTGTGGATATACGAGGAGGATGAGGGGGCGAGGCGACCGGCCATGGACCTGTGGGGGGCGATGGGTGTGGTGGCAGTGAAAGCACTCACGGTTGACCTACTCACGTCCATGCACACAGAGTCGTCGCCTGAGGGGTGGCATAAGAGGGGCACTGAGGTGAGGTTTGAGTTGAACCGACTTTGAAGCATATGGGGGTCGTTGGGTAGGGGAAGATTCTGTAGTTTCCACTCGCAACCTCGCCAATTTCCCCACTGTCCCTTTTCCCCACTCCCCTCTCTCTTCTCCCCGCTGTCCCTGTCTCCATTCTGCCCTTCCTTTCTCCCCCAGCTGTTCAACGCTGCCCAATTCGAAGCCGCAGTCCTCAGCTTCGAGCGAGCCGGCGACGAGCACAGTGCAGCAGTGGCACGGGCAGCGCTGCTGCAGCAGACAGCCAAGAGGCTACAGGGCACGGACCCCAAGAAGGCCGGCAAGACGTTTCAGGAGGCCGCAGAGGCGTTTCTGAAGGTGGACAAGCCGAGAGACGCCGCCCGATGCTTCATCAGTGCGGGCAAGATGAAGCAAGCAGGTGAGGAGCGGTGGAGTGGGGTGGGTGAGGGGGAGGGGAGGCTTGTGAAGGAGGGAGGGGTGTTGAAAGGAAGGGGCGTGGTGTGCTAGTGAATGGGATGAGTGAAGGATTGTAATGGACCCGGGATAGAAGGTTTGTGGCTGTTTTTCATTCTTGTGTTCTTGACAGTGGGCTGTTTGTGTGTCTGTGTTAGTGGTGCTCATCCCACTTACCTACATACATATAACCCACCTTTTCTTATGACCCGCCTTTTCTCTGCTTGCACTTATGGGCCCACGCACTCATGGTTTCTTGTATTTTCTAATTCCCTCCACACAACCTCCCAACGCCCTCCCTTCCCCTGCGTCCACCCATGACAGGTGATGTGTATCGTGACAGGTGTCACCCACCCATGTGGGTGAAAGCAGGGGAGTGTTATGAGGTGGCATCGTTGGCGGAGGAGGCGGCGAAGTGCTTTGCACAGGCGTGGGAGGTGGAGAGGGCGCTTCTTGTGTGCTCCCAGAGCCGGCTGTACAATCTTGGAGTGACACTGCTGCAAGTGTGGCAGGGACAGGTGGGAGAGGGAATGAGAGCAGCCAAGGGAGAGCAACAGCAGCAGGAGGGGGAAGAGGAGAAGTGGAAGCAGAGGGATAGGCTAGTCACTAGGAAGAACGCGGAGTTTTTGCAGCAGGCTGCGATGTACTATTACAGGAAGAAGATGAAGGGGGAGATGATGCGGTTCGTGCTGCAGTTCCCCTCGCTAGCAAAGAAACGGCAGTTCTTAGAAAGGAGAGACTTTTTTGACGATCTACTGCAGATCGAGGTTTCTGAGGGGAATTTTCAGCCGGCAGCTGAAATGATGCTCAAGAAGGGGGACATGGTTGGGGCAGCGAGGATGTTTCTCGGGCAGAAAGAGTGGGGGCGGGCGTTTGAGTGTGCGATGGGCGCAGGTCGTGTGGCAAGTATGTGGGCGAATGGGAACAAGGGCTGGCCTTTGAATGCCCCTGAGCGGAAGCCAGAGAAACAGGAGAAACAGGAGAAACAGGAGAAGCAGGAGAAGCAGGAGAAGCAAGAGAAGCTAGTGGGAAAGGTAGAGAAGGGGAAGGATGAGAAGAAGGTGAAAGGGAAAGCAGGAAAGGGGGAGGTTGTTCCCAGTGTGTGGGAGGGGAGGGCCGAGGCGGAGGAGGGTGAGAAGGAGGAGAAAGGCAAGGTAGAGACGGCAGAGGAAGAACAGAAGGAGGAGAAAGTGGAAAAAAACATGGATGGGAAGGATATGGATGCTCTAGAGATAGCTGTTGCTGTGTGGGCGAGGGAGAGGAAGGCGAGAGAGCAGACAAAAGGGATGGGAGAGAATGGAGAGGAGAGTAGGGTTGGAGTGGAGTTGCAGGGACTGGGTGGGGAAGCTGAGAGAGGGGAAAGGGAGGTGGATGAGAGGGAGGGGCTAGAGGCACTTACCCTGTTGTGGCTGCGGGGTTTCCATGCTCAAGGCGGTGTAAAAGGGCGTGAGGAAAAGGAGGAAGTGCTGAGGAAAAAGATAGAGAAATTTTGGCAGCTGCTGACTCGCTGCCGCTCAAACGAGCTCCTGAGCATGGTGGGGGAGATGGGGAATAACGCTCTGCAGCATGTATCTGCATCTGTGTCGGCTAAAGGGGCTGGGAAAGGTGAGGTGGTAGCAGCGGAAGGGAAGGAGGGAGAGGGGGTTGAGGAGGAGGAGGATGAGGGGGAGTTGGAGCTGGGTGTAAGGAGCCTTGCTGCTGAAGTGCTGGTGAGCTGGCAGGGCCTCCAGTTGAGCATCCAACGGGCTAAAGCATCTCTTACTCATCCCACCAGCACCCCTCTCTCTCGCTCAACTGCCGCGCCCTCCGCCCCTCTACTACCTTCTCCCGTCAAGCCTGCTGCTAACCTTCCCTCTCGGCCTGCAGCAGCACCAACTGTGCCTCTCCGACCTGGATGGCAGAAGGAAGGGGCAACCCAGGGCAATCCACAGCAGTTGCCGCAGCAGGAGCAGGGGCAGAAGGAGAAGCAGGAGGAGTTGCCATTCGAGGCGGATTTGAGGGAGGTGAAGGTGTGGTGGGGACGGTGGAGTGAGAGGGTTGCAGCCATGGTATCAGCACTGCAGAGACTGCAGAGGCGCAGAGAACTACCCTCAGATGCGCCCTGGCTAGAAGCCACCTTCCACCTCCTCTCCGTCTCCTCCCCCGCCTCCTCCTCCTCTTCCTCTTCCCACTCCGCCTCACACGCTCTCGCCGCCTCCTCTGCCCAGTCTTTTCTGGTTGGGCTGTCGTCTGCTTATTGGCTGAACACGGTGCGACCAGCAGTGAACAACCTGCCAAATCAGGGCACGCGGGGGGAGTTAGCGAGGGAGCCTGCAGCCAGGGGAGGTGCTATTTACTGGGCGAGGCAAGCGAGCGAGATGGTGAAGGAATGTACGGCTGTGATGCAGCAGGCGTTGAGATCTCTGGATAAGGGAACGGCTAGCAGGAAGGAGCAAGTTTGGGGGGCGAGCGCGGGTGCGGTTGGGAGTGTACCGCAACAGGGGGGTGTGGTGAGGGATCGAGCGTGGCTGGAGAAGGAGAAGGGGGAGGCGGAGGATAGGAAGCGAGCACAAGAGCTTCATGTGCAGCTGGAGCTTTTGGTGGAAGTGTTTGAGTTGCTTCAGTTTGCAGTAGACCTGTGTGGGGGCGGGAAGGAAGAGCAGAAGCAGCAGCAGGATGGGGAACAAGGCAAGGAGGTGCAAGGGTCAGGAGGATCGGCTGAGGAAGGGGGAATCGCGCAGATGGCAGGGGAGGTGGAGCTTTGGAAGGAGCAGCAGAAGGGGGCGACATTGCAGCTCCTCTCGCTGCTCTTCCCTGTCACCAGCCCTCTTCCCCGTTCCGTGGCGTTTGTAGTGGCACGGTGGAGGGAGGACGAGCGAGCACGGACCTTGATGCGCCAGTGGGCTTGCTCGTGCGTGCAGACATGCGTGGTGGAAGGGTGGAAGGAGGCACAGCGACAGCAGGAGGAGGAGCAGCAGCAGCAGAATGATGCGAGCACCGCACACAGAGCAGCAGGGAGGCAGCTTGGACTCACAGACCCACTGGTATCACCAGGGTCGTTCTCCCAGCTGATGCAAGTGCTGCCATATCTGGGGCACATGTGGATGCGCAGGGAGTGCCAGGGCCTGATTGCGTTGATGCCAGCAACGAGAATGGATGTGTGCGCACGATTGTTTCAGGGGGCGCAGTGGGAGCTGGCAGGGCAGGCGCTTGCACTCCAGCACCCCACTCTGCTCCCTGGAACCGTGGCTCTTAACTACTGGGGCTCTGCTCTCTACCATTTGTACGATGTGAGTGCGACCTGCCTTTCAGCAGCCATTGTTATGATGCTCAGTGCTTGATTTGTTGATTGCTTGCTGTCTGCATTGCATTGCATTGCACTATCTCATCCACTTCTGCTCTTGCATTGCATTGCACTATCTCATCCACTTCTGCTCTTCTCTCACTTTGCTCCTGTACTGTCTGTGTGTGGTTGCATTGCTTGCAGTGGTGCTACTGGGATGTGCCCAACGGCTTCGTTTCCTTTAACGTGTTCCTCAGTCTGGCTGAAAGAGCAGTCGTCCACATGTGCGCAGCCATCACCAATCTCAACAACCTTGTCGTTCCCACCTCCCTCGCCTCTCTCCATCTCGAAGGCAAGCATTACTCCAACCTCTGCACCCACATGCTCATGTGGCCGTTCAATCGAAACCCATACAGTGTGGCTCGAATTCACGACACCATCCTCTTCCCTCTCCTCCATATCCTTGTCCGCTTCTTTGTGTTTGAGACCGAAACCCTTCTCTGGTGGCTGAACAAAAGCGGCACTCCCCCTGCTGAACATGGCTCCATTTTCCTTCGCCTCCTCGTCCTCCTCGCCTTCTCTATCTCCAACGCTGACTATCACCATGGTCCCAAGTTCTTCTCCTACCTCATCAACCACCTCCTGATCCTCTTCTCGCCTGTCGATCGGCCGCCCAATCCGCTTGTCTCCACCCTTCCCCTGAAGCTGCAACTCGATCTAGAGGACATGTTCAGGAGGAACTACCCTGCCCCCACTTTCAACCACTTCTATCGGACCCTGGCCCGCCACATGTGGGCCATGCGCGATCCTTGGGTGGTGCTTAGACGGAAGGGGGCTCGGATCATTCCAAGTCATGTATGGAAGGCTGAGCTGCTGCATGCGGATGTGGAATTCACAACACAGGAAGCTGCTACTGCTGCAGCTGGTGGTGCAAATGGTGCTGCTGTGAACCACCCTGTGTTCTCTCTTCAGAAGCTCACAGGGTACCGGGTTCCGCTGCTGGGAGGTGACAGTGGGGATGCTTCTGCGGCTGCTGATGGTGCGGAAGTAGGAGCTGCTGGTGAGCCCAAGGTGGGAGCTGTGTCAAAGACTGAAGAGGCAAAGGCAGCAGTGGCTCAAAGCGAAGAGGTTTCGGAGCGTGGGGAGGAGTGGGGTGGTGATGAGGAAGGGAGAGCAGGCACGGACGGCGGTGATGGTGGTGGTGGTGATAAGGGTGCGGGAGAAGGGGATGGTGTGGAGAAGAAGGGTGGTGAGATGAGCGAGGGGGCGAAGGAGGTGGAGCAGGAGCTGAAGAATGCGCAGCTGCAGAACGATGAGAGGGAGGAGGTGGATGGCGTCAAGATAGCCCTGAGGATCACACAGCAACTGCGCAACTGCCTGCAGCAGGTAGGATAAGCCCAGGCTGTCCAAACTGCGTGCTGCTCACTCTGCTCACTCTGCTCGCTCTGCTTGCTCTCTCTTTATGCTACTCTTTATGCTATGAAAGCCCAGGCTGGGGTTTCAGTTCTCTCACGAGCCTGGATCACGATGGAAATAGCTGTCAGGCCATGGCAGTAACACCAAGCCATGCTTCATCCATCCTGTACGAGCTCACACATGCATTCAAAGCAACCCTTCATGATCGCCTCAACTGCCTATGTTTTCGCGTCCAAACCTTTTGTTTGCTACGCAGGCTCGTGAGCGGCTGCAGCAGGAGCTGTCGCCGCTCCAGCAGTGCAGCAGGGAGGCGCGGCGGGTGTTGACAGCCAGGCTGCAGGCAGTCGGTGCAATCGAATGGGCCTTTTACCTCAAGGAGTATGAGGAGCACGCTTGCCCTGTCAAGGTATCTGCGCTCTGCTCTCCCTGCGGGTTGTCCACATGTCTTGTACTTGTTTGTGGCTGGAAATAGTCACATGTTGGATACGTTGTAAAAGGTCTGGTACTCACTCTCTTTCCATCCTTTTCAAGCAAACAGGATGCTGCTCGTGTTTTGTTGACCCAGCAACCCAGCAGCCGCTGCTGTCCTTCCTTCTCCTCAGTCTTCTTTATCCCATGTTGTCACCTTGACTGCACACCATGTCAGCTACTCACTGTCACCTGTGCCGATTTCTGTATCACCATTACAGGTCGAGGCCGACGCATTCCTAGCCCTGATTCACGAGGGGGTGAGGCAGCTGAAGCAGCTGCTGCAGCAGGATGGCCAGCAGCAGCGGAAAGGGCAGGGGCGTGGATGGTCGGAGGAGGAGGCAGAGAAGAATGAGGAGCTTCTGGATGAGGCTATGGATGCAGCAGAGTCGCTTGAAGCAGCTAACCAAGTCATCCACCACTCGTACGTTCTTATCCCCATTATAGTCGGCATGACTACCATGGCATCACCATTGTCATCATGCCCTGCACGCTTAACACACCACATTTATTCTCCGTCTGCGTTTTCTTTCTTCTTGTGTGCTCCATGTACTTACCCTTGTTGTTCTGAGCTTTTCTGCTTTCTTGCCGCATCTCTCACACGCGTTATGGTGCCCCACTCTCAGATATGCCAGTCCCGTCTCCTATCAACCACGCCTCACCTCACCACTTCTCCACCCCATCCCACTGCATCCCATTGCAACCCACCGAACCCCACACCCTCCCCCCACAGCCACAATGGGCATGCCTTTGCCAATGTGGAGTGGCTTCACAAGGAAGCTATCACCCGACTCACCAATCTCCTCTCCCAGCACAAGCACCTGGAGCAACCACTCAAGCAGTTGCTGCGTGCAACAGAGAAGCAAAGGGAGGGCGTACAGGTTGGGTCTGGCAAGGGTGGGAGTGGGGCGGGGAAGCAAGGAGGAAGCAACGGTGTGCAGGAGTCTGGAGGAGGGAAAGGGAAGGGGAAGAAGGGAGGGGGTCGCAGTGGAGGGAAGGATGGTGGGGGTGGTGGTGGCAAGGGAGGGAAGAAGCAGCGAGGCGGCAAGTCGAAGAGGTGAACTTGATGAGTTGTTTCAGAGGCTGATGTTCAGAGCTGCAAAGTAGCAGAGTATGATTGTGAATGTGAAGCTGTTAATATCTCAGCATGACAGAAAGTAGAATGGTCAAGGGTTGCTTTACTGGCTATAGGGTGGAATTGTTTGCTACTCCAGGCAAGTTGCATGTTGCTCATGCAACAGGTGTGCATCTGTAGAATGCATACGGTAGCATGTACAGTACTGTAGAAGGGGATCTATTCATGTGAGCAACCACTGTGCAATTTATGACAGACTACACTCACATCTACCGTAATCACCACTACCACAGAATGTTCTACATCGGTACCATACGTGGCCTAGATAATCAATAATGACCACTAGCACTCACTGATCTTTCATATCATGGGATGGGTTCAGGGCTGATTTTATAAGGGTAATTACCCTGATTTCAGGGTGATTACAGGCTTCTCACCTGGTGGTCCCTGCAATTTCAGAATTTCTGACTTGTGAACACTGATCCATTCAGAATAGTGCTTTAGCGAACCCTGAAATATTGTATCTAGGCTCAGAGTAGTGTTCTTACTGACTCTGTCAATGTAGAGTACGCGTTCTGTGGACTCTGAATTTGACCTTATCGTTAGGAAGTTTCTCGGAAATTTCTTACCGATAATCCCCCTTCCGATCGATCGCAGTACAGCCAGCGCGTGAGCGACGGACAGCAGCATGTCTGATTAACAGACGAATACACTCGATGGTTGTTACTTTCACAAAGTCCGAAAAGGTTGTTGTACTGTCGTAATTGCGTGTGCGTGAAGTTACCAGCACTTTTTTGTGTTTCGCCAGCACTTTTTTTTTTTTTACCAGCACTTTTTCCCCTGTAATAAAGAGCGCGTTACTACTACGAACTTCGATTTTCGACCCTGAACAATCAGAGTTATATACTTTTCAACCCTGAGCCATCATGGTAGCCAGGGCCCAAAATAGGTTTAGGGTCACTCTTTCAAATCAGGGTGGCAGGCCCTCCGTACCCTGACTGTTAGGGTTTTTTTTCTGTACACTGTTTACAGCAGCCTAAAATTTCTGGTACACTGAATTCAGCAGGGTATTTTTTCCAATACACTGTTTATTTCACGGAATCTTATATTCTGCTAACAGTCCATACACAGTAAAATGCCATGAAAGCAAACACACGAGCGCGCTTGCAGCCGCACTGCTTCTACGTGGGCGCGCCAGTGGGCATACCGTACAAATGGTCCAGTGGGACCGTGGTGCATTTTGTCTTGGCGCGCACTGTGGCGGAATCCTCGGTAAAAGTGTAGTTGGGCCCGTACCCTGATACAGCCAGTGTAACCGAAATTGTTACCAGAGTAGTTTACAACGAATCCTGATTTCATTAGGGTAAAAAACTTCATAGCCTGATTTCACAAGGGTAACTGCCAAAAGCGGCCTACCATCAGGTCAAAAAGGGTATTTTACCCTTGAAATTTGGGCCCTGACGGTAGCATCATTGTGAAAAATGTGCACTCATAATCGAGGGGAATTGTTTTCCCTGGAATCAGGGGGGCCTAATATGAAACGTCAGCCCCGGATGGGTTGGGTTTGCTTGAGGGTGCAGTAAGTGAATGAGGTCTACTGGTACTGAAGATTCCTACAGTAGGTTTGCCTTGAAGAGCAGCAACAATGAACAAAGAATGTAATGCAAGCAGCATGCTCGGCTTAGCACACTGCACATGACAAACCAATTCCATCTGCTTTGCAGAAGCAGGACATTTCCCTCTAGGATCTCTTTACCCCCGATCAATCCCAATCTCCCCAGTTCCTAAGCGTTGCTAGACTAAAGCTGTTCCTAGGAAACAATTGAAAAACAAATACCCTTTTCAAGCACGAAAGCGAGGCCATTCGTCCTGAGCTTCTGGTTCGGCTGGACACTCCCCACCAGCTGTCACTGCTCGTTCAATAAAACCCCTCCTATTGCTGCAATGCTGTTCCCAGGCCGTTTGTGGCCTAGCCTGTTTGAGGAATAACTGGGCACAGCAGACAGCACAACCCTTGCCTTGCACAGCAGGAGCAGGCAAATGAGCAGGCAAGCGCAGGCGCAGGCGCAGGAACAGCAAATGAGTGGCAGGTGATATCAGTCACTAAGCACCCCGAGACAATGCAGCAGGCAGTCTCCCCTGCTGCTGACCGCTGCAGCAATGAAGCAATAATCGGACCAGATCTTCCATCCAGACCAGAATCCCCCGGTCTCTGTCCTGCCCTGCTGCGCTGCCCGTACACCTATGGCTACGCTGTTACTACAGTCAACTGCTGCTGCTGCTGCTGCTGCTGCTGCTGCTGCTGAAAGCACGGGCTCCTATATCCCTGAAAGAACACCATCTTACATGCATCATTTATCCTCCTCCTGTCCCTTCTCCCAGCACCCTCACTTCCCAACCTCCCCATTTCGCCCCCCCACCTTCATGGATATTTCAAACGTCTGTTGGTCACCACGCCCCTTCCCAAGCAACCCCCACCCTCCAGCAATTCAGCCCCCACCGGCTCCTCCAGCAAATCAACCCCCATCCGCTCCTCCAGCAAAATAACCTACTCCATCCACCACACCCCAACACACATGATCCGCATTCATCTTCCTGCCTCTAAACAGCACCGAATCTTCACCCGCCCTGCCCCCCTGCCCCCTCGCCCCCTGTCGAGTCCCCGCCTGCTCGTGTGAGCTCTGGTAACGACGCCCCCATGGCTGCTCGCTCGCTCCGCCGCTTCTCCACGAGTGCTCTCAGGAACTCCATTACCCGCACAGCATGCTGTAGCCCTATCATGGGGTCGATCACCTGCACGCCACTCCACACCACGCACACGCACACACACGCATACACACGCACACACACGCGCACACACGCGCACACACGCGCACACACGCACACACACGCACACACACGCACACACACACACACACGCACACACACACACACGCACACACACGCACACACACGCACACACACGCACACACACGCACACACACACACACACACGCACGAGGAGAGGTGATGAACGAGCGAAGTGAGCGTGAGGGGTTGTGTGGCACTGCATACGGTCACCCGCTGTTCACTGCGAACCAAAGCCTCGCACAACTCCGACAGATCCGCCAAATGTTCCGCGGAAGCGCCCGCGCGCACACACCCCCATCGTCAATCATGAATCGCGCGCGCGAGCACACACACAGGCATCATACCGCGAGCGCACACAGGCATCATCCCCCTCACCTGGGTCATGTTGGGCGCAAAGACGAGCGCGATATTCCTTGCGTTCATCTTGTTCTCCGCCTCGTGCTCCACCACATCCGCCATGAGATTCACCACCCAGTCTAACAGCTCGCGATGGATGGCCGGCAGCGTCGCCGCCAGCGCTGTTGCCGCCGCCTCCTCCGTCGCCCCCGCCACCTGGTGCGGCGTGAACAGGTCTAATAGCCCCTCTGGTAGCTCGCGGAACCACGCCTGCGCGGCGCGGAGCGGTGCGCGGGGGTTGAGAGGGGTGCATGGTGGGGGAAGTCAGGGAAGCCGCGAAAGTAAGAATCACGCAGCGCAACCTCGCATAGGCTCTCCACATGCGTAAAAAAAACTGAGCAGTGCGGAAACAGCACGAAAGGAGAGAAGCTGTGCGCCGACGCTGAGCCGCCGCGTCTCTGCGCATGCGCTCTGTGTCCACCGGTATGAGCAGAAGCACGAGCCGAACCCGCCCCACCCCCCCCATCCTTCCGCCTCTCCCTTCCCCCGCCTCCCCCCTCTTTCTCCCCTTCTCCGCCGCACACCTTGATGAGCCCTGCGAGGCTGTGCACGTCGAGGTTGGGCGGAAGCACGCCCGAGCTAAGCTGCGACCGCACGCCGTCCTCGTCCTCCATCTGCGCCGCAATGCGGAATATACCCTCCACCTGCGCGCGCGCGCGCGCGGAGGGGGACGGGCGGACGGGGAGGGGAGAGTACGCAGAGGGTGAGCAGGAAGGTGAACGGGTAGGGGAGCGGAGAGGAGAGCGGACGAACGGGGAAGCGAGGGGGATAAGGAGAGACCATTTCGGAAAAAGGGCTGCGGTTTAAAAAGCAACGTGGGCAGCAAACGGGGTGGAGAGAACAAACCGGAAGGAGGCAGGTGGAACGAGGAGATAGTGACAGAGGTAGCATTACACGTCGAATAGGTACTCGCACGTCGAATGTGATAGTGCCGAGGAGACGCGAGCGCAGCAAGTCAAGATCAGGAGGAGTTTTTGTGCGCGCGTGCGGGTGCGGGTGCGCATGCGTGCGTGCGTGCGCGTGCATTTTCGCGCGCGTGTGTGCGTGCGTGCGTGCGTGCGTGCGTGCACTTTCGTGTGCGTGTGAGCGAGGGGGCGTGTGACCGACGGGGCATGTGGTGTTTACAGAGAGGCCGTGGAGCTGGTAGAGTCGCGACTGCAGCAGCAGCAGAATGGACGGCACGCTGGTGCCGTGCGCGTCCACCGAGTAGTGCATCGCCACGGGCCGCACGCCGAACACCGACAAACTGCGCCGTAAAACGCGGCACGTGAGAAGAATAAACCGCGATTGCGTGACGAGAAGTGGCGGAATGGGTGTGGGAGTCGGGGGGGGGGGGGGGGGGAGGGAGAGTGGAGAGGGGGGATATTGACGGTAGGAGTGAGGGAGGGAGGACTGGAGGGAGAGGGATGGAGAATGGGAAAAGCTACGGCACGGGAAGCCGACTGAGATTATGAAATGCCAGGAGAACAACGACGACAATCCATAAATGCGGATCGGAACCACGAAAACCCTGCCGCTTTCGAATCTCCATGTCACGATCTATAATTCCACTGAAAAAAAAAAAAAAAGAGAGCTCTGCTACATCCGTATTGAAGCGCCGAAGAATGCATGCTAGCGCCTGCATGCCGAAATTGGAAACGCGACAGGTGGGACGCCTGGGCATACGTAAGGAAGACATTATAAAAACGGACGCAAATGTAAGAGGGAGGACGAGTCTCAGGAGTTGAAGCGTGACGAAAGGCGAACAAGAAGGCTGTGGCGACAAGAACGAGGAGACGTCTGGCGCGAGAGAAGCACCTAGCGCTGGGCGGAACGGCGTCGACATGGGCGAGAAGTGTTTTAAGTCGACTCAAAAAACGAGACGTCTGGAGCGAGAGACGCACCTAGCGCTGGGCGGGACGGCGTCGACATGGGCGAGAAGTTCATCTGGCAGGCCGATGAAACCCTTGTAACGGTCGAAGGTGACGTGGACCACGTGCTTCACGTCGAAGGGCGCCCCTATCTCCATCGCCGTCCGCGCGTCCGCTGCTTCAACATCCGCGCACTGCGGAGAACGGAAGAGTTTCGACCGCAGCGCGCCGAGGGATGGGACGTTCAGCAAAAACTAAGGGTTCTCCGCTGGCTCCACATCCGCGCCCTGCTGCTCGCGCGGTCAGCAGTCGTTTGGAGAGACTAAGCTAATGACGGACGAAGGAAGGTGGGGGGGGAGAGGAGGGGGGTGTGGGGGGAAGCAGGAGAGAAGGAGACGGAGGAAGGTGGGAGATTGGGGTTGGACGGGGAAGCAAAGTACAGCATTAGTCAAACCGGGGGTTCATGTAATAGCATGGGAAGAGCAGCCATGACTCATATGTCGCTGTATAATTCGTGGTAAAACTGCAACCTCATACATTGTTGGAAATGGGCTCGCGTGAAGAAGACAAGGCGGATCGATGCTACGATCAGAAGCTAGGCTATCATATCTCTTGTACAGGAGACAGAGCATTTCGGCATTGAAAAAAACGAGAAGAGAAAGACAGCGAGAATGAGAGAGGGAAACAGAGAGAGAGAACAAGCAAGAGACTCAAACACTAGCAAGGAAAGCGGCAAAGTAACCCAACCAACCACCAAAGCCAGACTGACCGTTCTATTATAGCTGCACTTGTCCTAGACTCAGGATCTGCGCCTCAGAGCGTGATTCCTTAATAGGCTCATGTTTCCTAGCTTCTCCGGGACCTGCATCCCGAAGCACCCCACCAACTCGAAACGCGTGCGTCCGTTCCTATCCTCAATGCAAGTGCGATCTCAATCTCCGATTTTCGGAAATAATGTAGCACAGAGCGCACGGAGACAATGCTCAATCTCTCCTGCAGCCGCTGGACGGACAGGATCTAGAGACCTAGGGTAAGTATTAGTCAGCTTTAGTTGCCTACGTAACCCTAGCAGACCAAGCAATGCACTCTGGCTGGTCGGTGGGTTGGGGTAGAATGAATAGTTTGTTGAGAATTGGCGCGCGCGGGGCAGAAAGGGATAGGGGGAATGGGGAAGGAGGCTTGGGAAAAGAGAAGGGGGGGTGAGTGGTGGTGAGTGGGGGCGGGGGAGGGGGAGGTTGAGGGGGAGGGTGTTTCGGGCCTGAGGGGATATACGCGCCTGCGACAACCCGCTGTGAGGCCTAGCGGTCGCGGACATCGGTTGCGGAGGAGAAAGTGGGCTGGGGAAAATGGGTGCGGGCGGGTGACACGCCAAAATGAACGCCCTTCGCGCGGCATACGGGGGACTTGCGCTTGTTGCAAGCCTCTGCTTGTGGGGGAGAATACGTCGCGCAGAGGGCACTATCAGCTGGACCCTGAAATTGCCGCGGACATGTTCGCTTCCTTTTTGGCGGGTGGGTGGGGGACATTGAATGTGCGCATATTCACAAGAGCCGTGGCTTGGCAGCCATGCATGGATCTGGAACAGTTCATCGGACGAATAACGTACACTAGCATTTTGCCCAGCAAGTAAACATGCATATAAATATATTAGTCAGTAAATGTCAAGGTTATGTCAAGCATGGTAATCATGCTGCTCATTACAACGGCAGACCTACGATATTACTAGATCATGCCATACTCATGAATTTTGTTAGAGCGTCGAATCGGCTCCAACGACTTTAACTCCACATCATGTCCACCAAGTGCATCCTCTTCTTCCTCGTCGACGTAATCTTCCTCTTCCCCCAAATATGGAGCATCCCACCAGCCCCCACCTTCCAGCTCGGCCTCCCCCGTGCTCTCAAACACGTGCACCTCCACCACCTCATCAAACCGCACAGTTCGCCTGCGAGCGTTTGAGCTACTGCGGGAAATTGAAGTCTCTCGGAGGAATAGCACTGGCTCAGCTTCTGGCAAGCTTTCCGGAAGACCACGCACGGAGTTATTGTTCATATTGTACTGCTGCCCTCCCTCCACACTGGTGCGCACAGCCCCTTCACCATGCCGTGACCTCCTTGGACTGAGCCCTTTCTTCGATGCTTGTCTCCATTTCAGAACATCAGCTATCCCTCCGTCAAGATCCAAGCTGCCTGCACTGGACAGACACTCCTCCCCATCAAAGCTCCCAAACGCGCTGCTGCCACTGCTGCTGCTCCGCCTGCTGTGCAACTCAGGAGAGACTGACAGCGCTGACTGAAACAGATCAACACCACCCTCATCCTCACCCCCATGGCTCCCACCAGAAGGCACCAATGTATCTTCCGACAAGCACAATCCAAAAGGGCGATCTTCTGGAACAACATTATCCGGTTCGAACAAGAACAGACTCGGAAGGCTCTCTTGCCTTCTTCCAAGCGTGTCCTGCTTGGGAGCCCCCTTGGCTGGTAGTGACAGATGGCCGCGATGCCTGGGGGGCTTTGGAGAAGCAGTGGAAGGCGAGCTTCTGGGCGGACGAGGGGAATATGTCTGCTGCTTTGGTTGGACACCCACCACTGGTACTGCTACTGGTGGCTTGGATTGGAGTTGTTGCTTGGAGCTAGGGCTGAATGCGGAACGCTGAAGCTCCAGCGGTGACGACTGCTGGTGGCGCTGCGGCTGCACTGGTTCTCGTTGGCACGGGTTGAGGGACGGCAGCGCTTTCTTCCACGCTTCGTGCGCTTTGATGAGTAGTCGGGAAGTGAGCTTCGCTGGCAGTATGTACCCGCTTGACGGCTGGAAGGAGGCTGTGTCAGCACCTGATGTATGGACATGAAGGATGGCGGAAGAGGCACAGCAAGGGAATGAGGACGGACGACTCGACTTGCTACAAAGATGATGCAATTTTCCAAAAAAAAGAAGCACCACAAGCTCAAAAGGCGAAAAACAACAAAGAAGAGGAGAAAGAAAGAAAGAATGAAAGCAAGGCGCTTTGCAAGCAGCTGAGGCCATTTGGATGGTTGACTGCACGCCAGGACACAAAATATTCGCGTGGCGTACCTTGCGGCGCCATGTGTGTTAGCAGGTACACGTCTTCCAGCCACCGCCTCACACCGGACACAATCCCCTCGATCGTCGCCTCGCTCGCCTTCCGCATGAACCGCCACACATCTCCCGCTTCAGGATCATCCGTCGCTATAGTCACAACCACCCACATCATGCGGCCGTAGGTCCCGTCAGTATCATCGTCGCGGGTCGCGGCCATGCCGCGGCTCGCATGCGCCTCGGATTTCCCGGACAACGCGCCGTCAGAAACGGCTGCGATCTCGCTCGCGACCTCGGTAGCGTTGCCGTTGCCCCGAGATCCAGGAACGCATACTGTCATGGCGGCGAGGGGAATGACGCGTCGCACATCCCCCGTCCACGTCTCACTCAACCCTATTTCCACCGCCATCATCGGCATCGCTCCTGCCTCCGCGCAATCCACCTTCTCCGCCACCCCTCCCCCCTCCGCGGACAGCAGCGCGCGGGGAAGCTCCAGCGCGCACGTCTGGGGAAGGAACCCGCAACTGCAGGGCGCGGCGAGGGCTAGAGGGCGCGCAAGGCGGGGGGGAGAGGAACTAGGAGATCGACTGGCGGCGGAACGTGTGGTGGTGGTGGTGGTAGAGCCGGTCGGGGCGCGTCGTAAGCGGAGCGGCGTCGCAGGCTCGTCCGTCGCGACGTCGAAGGCCACGACGGAGCCGCGCGGCGTCTGACAGACGAAACGAAGCGGCGCGGGGCACGCGGATCGACGCGGCGACGGCGCAAGGAGCTCCGCGAAATTCGCGTGCTCCCTGCCCGGCGACGAGTGGGATATCGAGGGTGGCGAAACGCGGCCAGGCCGTTGCGCGAGGCATGGCGCGTCGGGATCGCTGGCGGAAGGAGAGGGAGGTGGGGGAACGGGAACGGAAGCTGGGAGTGGAAGCTGGTGCCATGGCGACACCTCCGCGCCGTGTGCGCTCGTGAACTTCAACCGATAGCCTGATGTTCCGGGTAAGCCGCTCCCGATAGAATCGCACTCGCACTGCTCCTCCTCCTCTTCCAATAACGACAAGCTCATGCTCATGCTCCCGTTGCTGACGATGCTGCTGCTCCTGCTCACGCTGCTCGTGACGCTACTGGTGCTGGAGGAACTACTCGTGCGAATCATCCGGTGACGATCGCTCCCGTCACTGGAGCTGCTACAGATGCTACTATTGCTGCCGCGGTCCCCGGTAGACTTTTGTAAACCTGGTCTGCCGCCTTTAGAAGATCGATTCCTTTCTGCGTCACCTCTAGGGCTGCGGCTCTGCTTGGAGCCGTCTTGTCGAGCCGTCGCACGCCGACGCCACTCGCGCGCAGCTTGCGACACCGTGCTGGCTCCTGCGACGACAGGCGACGTCGCCTCGCCCTGTGCTACGTCTGCGCACGCCGACCAGTTTCCTCGCGCCATGTCACAGCTGACTGCTTGACTATAGTGCTGCTTTTCCGCGCTGAAGTCACGAAGCGGGCGTGGAGCTTCTGATTGAGTTGGATAAGGGCTGGGGGGGTTGGGCGATATCGTCCGCCGCAACGACGTTCGTGAAGATCGAGGGGAACGTGCCGACGGCTGGCTGAGATGCGTCATGGCTACCCTAACAACGCACTGCTATCAGCGTGCCCTAACAACTTGCCCCGGTAATTTACAGCAGCTGCACCAAACATCTGAGCCCGTTACCAAGCTGCACCACCACCAAACATCAGAAAAAGGAAGCCACGAATCTGCCAAACAAGGTTGAGAGGGAGAGCGAAGGGAACCCTTGAACAAGCTTGCTCGGGCGACTGAAACTCTCCCCCGAACAAGAAACATCCCAACCCAATCCCACACCTGCAAAAGGCCAAGGTGAAGACAAAGAAGAATCGAAATGATGCAGCAGAATCAAATTGGTGATCGAAGCGCTCATTGTGGGGTCGAATAAAGTGAAGCGAAGCGATGCGCCCCATAATACTGTATCACTGCACTGTGCAACTGTCAGGGTTTCTCTGGTCAGGGGGAATGGTTGTCGTTGTGCCCTGGTTGCCGTTGTCTTGACAATCAGGACCCGCACTGAACAAAACGGGTGCATGAAGGAGAATATCTCCAGGAAATGCTGTGCAATGCAATGATTCATAAATAACCAAAAGGGAATTGAGGAGCAAATTCTTCGGACCGGACTACAGTACAACCCGCGAAGGAAAAAAGTGCACGGTCTTCTTTCTCAATTTCTCATCCTCACTGAGGCGAGTGTTTCCCGCTCGAGTCCAAAAAACAACGGGTGTTCGCGTGGAACAACGCGGCAAAAGCGAGGAATGACAGGCTGGATCAAAGGGACCAAGCGGAAAGAAATGTGCGGTGGGAAGCAGGTTGAGGGAGGAGGTTAAATTAAAGGTTAATTTATGAGGGAGGAGGTGACGGAAAGCTCAACCTACGAAAAAACAAAACAAAAACGGTTCGCTGAATTGTTTTTCTTGACCGTGGTCCCTGGGCTGGGTGTTTTGTCGATGAACCCTGGGGCCAGGGCAGGGAAACAGCAAGACTCCAGCAGGTGTCCAATCTAAAAACCGACACAACTGAATGCTTGAAACGGTGGGTGGGTTTGGCTGAGCCTGCAGGTGGTGTGAAAGGCCGTTGCAACACTCAATCGAGAAGCTGCAACAAGGTCAAACTTGTGTTGTAGGTTGTTTGTTCTGGATCAAAACACCTCTGACTGAAAATCAGTTGATATAGACTAAGGAAACATTCTACAAACATGAAATGAGAATAGTTAGTGAGCATGAGTAAACATCAGCAGTATTTGGTACCGTATGTACTGCTACATACTGCTACATATGTTCAAACAGATCATGATATGTATCATACCAATGATATGGGCGTGCGGACAGGCCCCGATGATGGCAGCCGGCTAACATGGGCTTGAGTCATAAAAATCCCACATTTGCTGCTGCAACTAGGTACAAAGTTACAAGCAGGCGGCATTACTCAAATTATTCAGAAGTCGTTTCCTAGCAGTAACCAGTGAGCCTGCTGGCCAATCACATGTAGCCATGCTGCAGTCAGAAAAGGAACTCAGGGAGTCGTTTTTGTACAGAAAGTGCAACAAGGAGTTAAGGAATACAAGTATTTGACTGCAGCAGTCACATCAAATGAAGTCACCTACCAGACCAGACACACAGGAGGAGGGGGGAATGAGGAGTGAATGAATGGGGACAGAGGAGGGACGAGTGGGGGAAAGTTGGCCAAGGAGGATAGGTGGATAGATAGTGGGGAGGAGGGAGGAGGTGAGGGAGAGAGGGGTGATGGGGGGGGCGGTGGTAGGGGAGGGGAGGGAGATGAGGGGTGGATGGGGAGGGAGAGGAGGCATGAGCAGGGGAAAGATGAGGTATGTGTGAGGGGAGCAGATGAGGGTCGAGTCAGAAAAGGGAAGAGGGGAGGAGGGGGAGAGGGGGAACGAGGGGTGAGTGGAGCGGAGATGAGGGTAGGTGCAAAAGGAGAACAACAGAGCGCGGCAGGGATTTGAGGGGGGGGCTTGGGGGGGGGGGGGGGGGGGGGGGGGGGGCAGAGGGGGCAGAGAGGGTAAGATGGGGAGAGAGGGGAAGATGGGAGAGAGGGGAAGATGGGAGAGAAAGGAAGATGGGGAGAGAGTTGAAGATGGGCGGAGTGAGGGGAAGATGGGGAGATAGAAGATGGGGGAAAAGAGGGAAAGATGGGGGAAGAGAGGGGAAGATGAGGGGAGAGAGAGGAAGACGGGGGGAGAGAGAGGGTAAGATGGGGGGAGAGAGGGGAAGATGGGAAGAGAGAGGGGAAGACGGGGGGAGAGAGGGTAAGATGGGAAGAGAGAGGGGAAGACGGGGGGAGAGAGGGTAAGATGGGAAGAGAGAGGGGAAGATGGGGGGTGAGAGGGTAAGATGAGGGGAGAGCGGGCGAGATGAGGGGAGAGCAGGGATGATGATGGGAGAGCGGAAAGCGGGGAGAGGGAGAGCGGAAACGATGAGGAGAGGGCGGTGAAAATTAGGGGAGAGCGGGGAAGATGAGACACGCGTGACGTTGCTAGTTTGGGGTATAAGGGGGAAAGGGAGCGGAAAGGAACATACATTCCTGCTCCTTAAAATTCGTGGTTGAAGCGGAAATATGGCACTCCTGCTCTGCTCTCAGCCCCAGCAAAAGAAATTTGCGACGATAAGGGGGAAGAGGAGGGAAGGGAAAATAAGGGGAAAGTGGTCGCCACTCCTATCCGTACTCAAATAGAGGCTTTCACCCGTCCCCGTCCATCCCCCTCTTCTCCCCTCAAATAGAGGCTTTCGACTGCCGTCCTATTCAATACCGTCTGCGTCAAGGCTAGCCGACGCTCTCCAAGTCGGCAAAACCCACTGTTTAATCGACGGTACGCGCTAAGTTTACTGATGCGTCCGCAATCGACGCCCTTCATCTGCCCGGACGAACATTACTAGTTCCGTCGGCAATCCACCAGTAAAGAAACTGTCAGTTCTGGAGCGCGCAACTTACATTGTCGTACTGATACTGCTCTGTCTAATATCAGAGCTGACTCTGCGTGCACGCCGCTAGACGGGTGAAGCGATAAGCACTAAGAAAGGCCGATAAGATCAGTGGCATCTGCTACGATTCTGAAATTGGTGCTGCAATTACATTGACTACCGCACTGATATCTGTGCTAACAAAGATGAGCGGGGAAACTGCTGGAGAATGCAGATTAGGGTGAGGTAAAGTAAGTCACACCCTCGCTATTGCATCTGTTACTGGTTAGGAAAGGCTGAAAGGCGTGGCAGGTTCGGAGATACCAGGTTCGGTTTCTTGATAATGCCGTGGCGGAAGTGCCAGGTTGGCGAAAAGACCCACCATTCCGATTGGTTCGCACAAATTTAGTCTCATCCACCCATTGTTTTTCCAGATGCTCGCAAAGGTCAAAGTGCGTCAGCTGAACTTTCCAGCTCCTCCACGCACGAATCCCACAACCAAACAAAAGCCGTCCCGCACCTCACGCCGAAATAAAAAAACTCATGAACCAACTAGCGCCACGCCAACCACCACCCAGAAAGCAACCCACCCCCGCACACCCCAGCCCCAACAAACCCCTAGCCTAAAAAATACGCGCCTTTAGAAAATTCGTTTGCACATACAGAGAATAGCAACAGATATACATATTTTGACCCAACTGTGTGTGAGTGTACATCATGAATTGGCTGGATGGATAAGTGGGGACACATTCCGAACCGCCACAACATCTTTCGCCACGCGCCCTCGGGGACTGTCCCCTGCCGCTTAGTCGGCGAGGCTTTTCATTGGTCAATGGCAAAAGCCACCATCACACCTCCATCCCATGCCACAAACAGATGAAATCGTCACCGTTGCTACACCACCGCCATCCATCCATTCGAAACACACTCTGCTTGTTGTCGCACCGCGCTCCCAGCCTAGTGTCAGTGATTCCCTCCCACCCGAGCAGTTCAATAGTGTCAACCTTTTCCCACCGCATTGCACCAAGGAAAATGCTTCAGCTTTCTACTACTAATGCTGCATTGACCCATCACATTTGGGCCGATGCCGCGGTAGGACGAACCATGGCGGCTGAATTGCTGATTTGAATTCAGCCTCATCCATTCATCCGCAGCAGCCTCCTCTTCCTTCTGTTGCAGGTTCTACCTTTTGCTAGCATGACTATTCAAGTTCTGTCAATGTCGTCCATTTTCATCCTTCTCAACTCAAACTCACGAAGGATTCTCAGAAAGCTCCAGCCCAATGAGCTTAGACTTCAGGCTAGAAGCTCCCCGGAGCAAGCAAAGCTACTTGAAGTCACCTAGTTGGTACACGGTGAAGCCCGAGGCACAGCAGCGTTGAGTTAGATTAGAGGTCGGGTGGGTAGATTAGAGGTCGGGTGGGTGGGTGGGTAGATTAGAGTCCGTGAGAGAGTGAGCTGCAAAGTGTCAAAGGCTAAACCGTGTGCTACTATGAATTATCGCGGCAACACCGCACGCCACGGAGCTTCTTCTGCAAGATCTTTTCCTGAAACTCGCCACGGAGGAGATTTTACTTTGCGATCTACGCTCCAAGAGCGGCTAAAGAGCGGATGGATCTTCAAACTCAAGCTTCGTAACCCAAGCAAAGTGGGACGCACTCAAGCCAACCTGAAGCCGACTAGTTTAACCCCAACTCAAGATTTGGCTCGGCAACTGCCGTCGCGGATGGATCCGTCTCGGCGACCGACTTGGCGACCGTCTTGGCGACTCGAAAGCGACTCAAGCGACAACACAGCAGCGATCACCGACGCTTCACGTGCTTCATGGTACCCCTGTGGCGCCTCCACTGCTGGTGCAGCCTCTCCCGTCTCCAGTGTAGTGGAGGTAAGTTCTGTTGCAGTCTCATCAACTCGTTTCACGTGCTCTTGGGAATGTTTCTAACTCGTTTCACGTTTTTTTCGTGCAGACGAGCGTCTTGCCGTTTATCGGAGCATCTTCTCTTGGCGAGCCGCCAAGATTCTTCCACGACGAGCCGCCTTGGCCATTCGAAAGCGACGATGCAGTCACGTTCAAGGCTTGACATCGCAGTCGTCGCCGAGATGTGCTCACCGGTGCCGCGGAGATGAGCCGGGATGCGGCAAGAAGGTCGAGTAGAGGTATGTGTTTATCAACTTCTTCCTGCAGCCGTCCTTTTATTCGTTTTGTAAACAGCTACTAGATTTGTTTCTAACTCGCGATACTTTCTTTCTGCAGACGATCATCTTGACGTTATGGGACGACTCTTTATGGGAACGATGTTCCTCCTTTATGAGTCAACATTCCTTCAAGCTCGTCACGGCGCCTCCCCTGTCCGTCGCGCCGCCAACAAATCTTCACCGACGCAGTGGAGGTAAGCGCTTCGTTTCAACAATCGCGCGTCGTTTGCTTTTCAGCAACATCCTTTCAACATCGTTTTAACAATCGACTCATTCTGCAATCCCTTTTGGGGGAAACAAGCTGACTAATCTGTTGCCGTCTCCCGCAGGTCCTTTAACGACGATTGACCATCGCCTTGGCGAGACGCGACTACTTCAGCGAGTCTTAGCGAGACGCACGGGAAGCACGGCGACGCACGGAAAAACGGATGGCGACGCACGGGGAGGCGCCTTTGGCAAATTCGCACGGGGAGGCGCCTGCGAAAGGCAGCGCACGGAGGAGCAGCACACGGCGCACGGAGGACTTCAAGCTACGCCGGCTCCCTCACATGGTAAGGTGCAGTTTCAGTTTCCATTCGTTATATTACCGGATTCTTACTTTCTTTTTCGTTGTTTTCTCTCTTAATGCAGGACCAGGCGAGCGGGAGCGGCGCTGGCGGCAACGGGACTTCAAGCTACGCCGACTCCCTCACATGGTAAGGTGCAGTTCCGATTTCGATTCGTTTATATTCCCGGATTCTTACTTTCTTTTTCGTTGTTTTCTCTCTTAATGCAGGACCAGGCGAGCGGGAGCGGCGGGACTTCAAGCTACGCCGAACTCCCTTACATGGTAAGGTGCAGTTCCGATTTCGATTCGTTTATATTCCCGGATTCTTACTTTCTTTTTCGTTGTTTTCACTCTTAATGCAGGACCAGGCGAGCGGGAGCGGCGCTGGCGGCAACGGGACTTCAAGCTACGCCGACTCCCTCACATGGTAAGGTGCAGTTCCGATTTCGATTCGTTTATATTCCCGGATTCTTACTTTCTTTTTTTCTTCTTTTTTTTTTTCTTACTTTCTTATTCGTTGTTTTCACTCTTAATGCAGGACCAGGGAAGCGGGAGCGGCGCTGGCGGCAACGGGACTTCAAGCTACGCCGACTCCCTCACATGGTAAGGTGCAGTTCCGATTTCGATTCGTTATTATTCCCTGATTCTTACTTTCTTTTCCGTTGTTTTCACTCTTAATGCAGGACCAGGCGAGCGGGAGCGGCGCTGGCGGCAACGGGACTTCAAGCTACGCCGACTCCCTCACATGGTAAGGTGCAGTTCCGATTTCGATTCGTTTATATTCCCGGATTCTTACTTTCTTTTTCGTTGTTTTCTCTCTTAATGCAGGACCAGGCGAGCGGGAGCGGCGGGACTTCAAGCTACGCCGAACTCCCTTACATGGTAAGGTGCAGTTCCGATTTCGATTCGTTTATATTCCCGGATTCTTACTTTCTTTTTCGTTGTTTTCACTCTTAATGCAGGACCAGGCGAGCGGGAGCGGCGCTGGCGGCAACGGGACTTCAAGCTACGCCGACTCCCTCACATGGTAAGGTGCAGTTCCGATTTCGATTCGTTTATATTCCCGGATTCTTACTTTCTTTTTTTTTTCTTTTTTTTTTTTTCTTACTTTCTTTTTCGTTGTTTTCACTCTTAATGCAGGACCAGGGAAGCGGGAGCGGCGCTGGCGGCAACGGGACTTCAAGCTACGCCGACTCCCTCACATGGTAAGGTGCAGTTCCGATTTCGATTCGTTATTATTCCCTGATTCTTACTTTCTTTTTCGTTGTTTTCACTCTTAATGCAGGACCAGGGGAGCGGGAGCGGCGCTGGCGGCAACGGGACTTCAAGCTACGCCGACTCCCTCACATGGTAAGGTGCAGTTCCGATTTCGATTCGTTTATATTCCCGGATTCTTACTTTCTTTTTCGTTGTTTTCACTCTTAATGCAGGACCAGGGGAGCGGGAGCAGCGGGACTTCAAGTTACGCCGAACTCCCTTACATGGTAAGGTGCAGTTCCGATTTCGATTCGTTTATATTCCCGAATTCTTACTTTCTTTTTCGTTGTTTTCTCTTAGTGCAGGACCAAGGGAGCGAGAGCGGCGCTGGCGGAAACGGGACTTCAAGCTACGCCGGACTCCCTGACATGGTAAGCTGCAGTTCCAATTCCGATTCGTTTAGAATCCCGAATTCTTACTTTCTTAATCTTTGTTTTCTCTCTTAATGCGGGACCAGGTGAGCGGGAGCGGCGCTGGCGGCAACGGGACTTCAAGCTACGCCGAACTCCCTTACATGGTAAGGTGTAGTTCCGATTTCGATTCGTTTCCTTTTCCAGATTCTAACCTTTTCCGTTGTGGGCTTTTCTCTTAGCGCAGGACGACCGGGAGCGGGAGCAAACGGCGCTGGCGGCGGCGACAAGGGAGGTCAACGCGGACTCCCTCACACGCGGGCGAGAAGCGGAGAAGCGGAGCGAGGAGGCCGAGCGAGGAGGCGGGGGCGATGTTGGAGGAGTTTGACTCCCCCCTCCCATCCGCCCTTTCCTGCGGGAGCGGGAGCAACCAGCACAAGCGCCAGCCATGTAAGATGTGTTTGGGTGTGGGTGGGTACAAGGCGTTTAGGAGCGATAGGCCCTCGATTAGGCACATGCACATGGGCGACACAGCTTGGGTTGGGGTCATCATGGCAACTCCTCGTGACAACCAACGGGAATCGTCCGATCCGAGGTGTGTTACAGGACGTTTAGGAGCGATAGGCGTTCGATTAGGCACAATCACGTGGGCGATGGGATGGGTGGTGGCCAGGTATGCCTCTTTTTTGTGACGGCTGGCCGTCATCCTGACAACACTGACAAGAACGGAGAATCGTCCGATCCGAGGTGTTAATTTATTAATTTATTTCATCTGCCCGTGTTTCTAGTTTTGACCGTTTGTGCCCCTACCAAGCAGGCCCTACGCGAATGGCCCTCACCTCATCGTGGTGCGTGGGTGTAACGTCAGGGGCTTTTGCCTCTGACGGCCAAAAGGGTCAAGAAGACCTTCAAGCTGCTGCTGTGGACGCGCAAGAAGAGTCAAGCTGCTGCGGAAGCGCAAGTCGATCTGCTCTGCTCACACCGAAGGCTTATTAGGGTGCTTAGAAGACTTATTAGCAATAAGTTTTCTCTTCTGACTTGTATCTCGTCATTATTAGAAGGAATAGAAGGCTTAGCAAGAAGTTTCTATTCTGACTTGTAGCTTAGAAGGCATAGGAAGAAGGAATAGTGTTTGAACTTCCCTCGTTGTGAAGTTAAATGATGAACGTTCGTATGAATAACACCTGGACAGAGTTCTGTCGTGAAATATTTCCCTCAGCCAGTGCGTTCCGCATGCCGCGTCGCGCCACACACTCGTCTCCAGCCAGAGCTTGCCTTTAGTTTCCTTAGGTCGCACATCCGTGCCGCACCAGAGCAGAGCAAAATGAGTGACGTCAATCGCTCCTCGCGTTGTCTCGAGGGATCGCACGAAACACGCTAGAGAGGGTCGACTTGATATTAGTATTAGTCATCGATGTGGGGGGATGCTAGCGCTTAATGCGCTGCCTGTTGCGCTACCTATTGCGCAACCTATTGCGCTACCTAGTAATGCGCTACTGCTACATACTTCTGGCGGCCGTCGCGGGGACACGGACGGTTTCGCCGAGATCGCACGTGGGCTTCGCTGGCGTCGCCGTTGTCGTCGCAGCGGGGCTGCCGTCGCAAAGCAGCGCGTTCGAGTGCGACGAGTCGCAGACCGCCAGGTACTCCGCGCCGTTCGATCTCTGAGTCCAGCGCGCGTCCCTCGTCCCTCCCCCCGTGATCGCCTGCTCCCTCCGCTAGCACACGCGCGCCTGCATCTGGTTCCCCCACTCCTATTCCCCAACGGCCCCCTACTCCCCCTTTCCCCCTCTCTCGCTGCTCTCCCTCCACTCCCCTTTTCCCCCTCTCCCCCTACTTCCCCTTTCCCCCTCTCCCCCTCTTCCCCTCTTCCTCTTCCCCCCACCTCCCCCCTTTCCGCCAGCATATGCCTCCCTTTCCGCCAGCATATGCCCCCCTTTCCGCCAGCATATACCTCCCCCCACTGCGTCATGCGCGCGGTACCTCGCAATGGGGAATCTCTGGGAGCAGCTGAGCAAGGCGCGCCTCCACCTGGGCGCACGCTCGTGCTGCCACGTGTCCGCAGCAGCCGCATCAGCGGCAACAACCTGCCACGTGGCATGCTGTGCTCCCCGCGTGCGCGTGCTTTGACCCAGTGCTGATGGGGCGGAGGAGGCAGGAGGAGGTGCCTCTGTGCTGATGGGGTGGTTCGTGCCGTGGGTGCGCGAGGAGCATCTCTGGCGGACTGTGCTGCCCGCTTGGGAGGGGCGAGGGGGAGCGTGCTCGGAGGAAGGGGAGGAGAGAGTCAACTCAAATGACACCTGCCTTGTCAGTCCCCTCCCAGCTCACATCGTCCCATGCTCCTCTTCCCTCCGCGCTTCATCACATTCATCTGCCCCTCACGCCATCCCGTGCCAGTCTCCCCTTGCCTTTCCTCATCACCTTTCCCCCTCATTTCGCTCCGCGGCGTACCGACACCCCACAGCACCCCTCTCCACCCCTCGGTCTCTCCAGTCTCTCTGCATATTCGCTTCTCGTGCCTCTCTCTGGTCTGTTCCCCTCCCAAGCTCGTTCATGCTGTGCCAAGAATCTTCTCCCAGAGACTCGGTGTGTTGGGGGGGTGGTGCTTGATGCTGGTGACTGTGACTCGGTGGGTGCTGTCCTATTGTCTGTGATGTGTGAGTGTGAGATGTGTGTATGCATGGGGTGCTGTATGAACGCTCTTCTGCATGCATGGTGTCTCCGTGCTGTGTGCAGCTCTGAGCAGCATAGCGGTCATCACTGGTAGAGGCAAGCACAGCGCTTCTGGGCAAGCCAGAATTAAACCTCCGGTAAGGTTGGGTGAAGGCGGGGAAGGGGAAGAGGAAGGGACAGAGGAGGAGGCGGAGAGTGGGAGGGTTTCAGTTCAGTGCATCAAATCATTTCCAGTCTGACTCTCTATAATGCTTTGGGAAGGTCCGGGTTACGGTTGTGAGGGTCTTGCTTTGGGTTACTTTCAAGCAGAGGTGATAACTCTGATGCGACAGTGTATGATGCACATAGAGCTATGCTGCACGTGCGTATAATGCACATGATGCTCTCAATCTGAAAAAGCTCACCTCACCATCCCACTGCTGCCACTGTGTGTATCTACCAGGTGCACTGGTACTTGCAGGAGAGAAGAGTGGGGTGGCAAGAGCAGAACACAGGCATCATAACAGGCCCTATTTGTAGATGACCACTTGAGTCCATGCAAGGCTGTTTGGCAGTTCTTGAGATGCCTCATAACAGGCAGCATCACAACCTACCGTACCTCCCGATCCAATTCCGTAGACGATCACTTCAGTCAGTCCATCCAGATTCCACACCACCCATGCTCATTCTGACAGGAGAGAGTCGAGTCAATCGGATCAAAAGCATTCACAGTACTCGTTACAACTTTGCCTCAATATCCATTCCCTAGATGATAACCCCAACAGGTCCATGCCTGGCATCGTGGTTGATTCTGGAAGGTAGATACCAGCATGGATGGCTGGAGTCACATACCGTAGGACGTTGCATGCTTGCAGACTTGCTGGTGACAGGGAGACCTGTTACCTGTAATTTTTTCTTGGGGTTTCCTCAGGCCCTCGCAAGAAGCAGAGACGAGAATTGGTCGGCCTGTCATATTACCTCTTTAGTGAAAATCTCCTTCGGTGTGGAATGGAAAGCGTACTGTACCATATGTTTCGTTGACCAATCGCCATTTGGTGAAACAATCCAAAGTGGTTCAATTGAAGTCCAGAAAGTGGTTCTAGTTTCTAGAGAGCTACGTATCTGTATCTGGGTGATGCAAGCAATCAGCAATCAGACACACCCATCCACCCATCCTTGTTCATCTTCCAGTCTCCAATGGTGACTCTATTTGCAGCTGTGCACCCATCTTGACATAACAATTTCCATCCAAGCTTTGTCCATTCACCTTGAGAGTACTTGATTCCCTTCCCCTTTCCATCCATCCATCCAACCATCCCGCCACCAGTGATCGACACTATTGAATCAGAGTCAACCAACCCAGGAACCCATGCTGACTCAACCCCAGTCAAAACCATCACTTTGACTGTATTTCCTTGACCAAGCTTAAGATGCATAGGGATTCACCCCACAATCCGGAGCAGTCAGCCTAACCAGGTGCGTTCGGATCGATCAATTAGACCGCAGCAGCAGCAGCTGGAGCAGCGGCAGCAGCATCAGGGGCAGGGGGGGGTGCCGTAGACACAGCTGGGGCAGAGCTTGCTGCAGCAGCATCAGGGGCAGCACCAGCAGCACCAGCACCACCAGAAGCGTCACCACCAGTGGCAGCATAGTAACCGCGACCGCGGCCGCGCCCACGCCCCCTGCTCCTCCCCCGCCCACGGCCAGACCTACCCCCCTGATTCCCCCCCGCCGCCCCTCCCTGTTCCTGCTGGTTCTGCTCCTGACCCGCCCCGCCCTGCTCCTGATTTCCCCCCGCAAACCCCCCTCCTTGCCCCTCATGGGCCAGGAAACCCCCTTCCCCACCGCCCTCACCACCCGCACCAGGAGCAGCCTCCCCTGCTCCGCCCCTCCCCCCACGGCCTCTGTAACCATACCCCCTGCCCCGGCCCCTGCCGCGGCCTCTCCCCCTGCCCCTGCCAGGCTGACCAGACGCATCTGCCGCTCCTGCCGCCCCCACTGCTGCCCCTGCGGCTGCTGCTGCATCAGCACCCTCTGGGGCCGTGCCTGGCGCTGCGGAGAGGGGTAAAAAAGGGGGAAACGGAGGGGGAGAGGGAAGACAGAAGAGAAAGCTGGAGGGAGGGAGAGGCTGGATGTGCGAAGCAATGGAGTGAGAAGGTGAGATAATGATTGTGATCTGATATGATTGCCTTGTTATGGCCTTTTCTAACAACTGGAGACGCAATGAGGGAATGGAAACGCAGGGGAAATTGTGCAACGTAGCGTATCATGCGAAGGATACTGAGCTTTGAGGCACCTAAAAAAAAAGTGCAAGATGCCATACCATGCGAAGGATACTGAGAAGCATCGCCCTGCTGCGAAGGCACAGCTCCTCCTGCTGCTGCCGCGCCAGGGAACCCCCCTGCTGCTCCCATAGCACCCCCTCTCCCCCGGCCCCTTCCCCTGCCACCCCGCCCACGACCCCTGCCTCGTCGCCCACCCCGCTCTGGTGGGAACAGGGAGAAGACAAGGAAGAGACGAGACACGAAATTAAGGATAAAAAACTTCTCATCTTATGCTGGCACAAAGAGAGGAGAATCGGGAACTCAAATGGTCATGGAAGCATGTAAAGGTAAATGTGAATGGCGCTCGTATTTTTTCAGACATGCATGGGCGGAGTGCTACTGCGGCAGAAAGAGCAGTGCAACAGGGTTTGGCTTAAGGGTCCCGAAGGGAGCGTAAAGGTGCTGAGTAGCAGGACACGGGTGCATGATGCATGGTGCGAGGTGCATGGTGCGAGGTGCATGGTGCATGGTGCATGGTGCATGTTGGATGGTGCATGGTGCATGGTGCATGGTGCATGGTGCATGCGTGAGGTGCATGGTGTGAGGTGCATGGTGCGAGGTGCATGGTGCGAGGTGCATGCATGGTCTAAAACACGTGGTCCGCGGCTGGCTTCGGCTGGAAGCGGGTGAGATAAGGAGAAAGAGCGCACCTCCCCCCTCTGCAAAGGTTTCCGGGAGTCGCGACATTTCCTCCGCTGTCAGTGGGGGCTGGTAGCTGCAGGGTTGAACAGGAGTGGGAAGAAATGGTAGAGGAGGGCGGGAGGAAGGGAGAGAGGGGATGGTGGGGTGGGGGGACCGCGGAAAAGGAGAATGAGACTGATAGGGGTTACTGAGATTGGTACAGGAGGGACACAAAGAGAGGAGCAAGACACGGAAGTGGGATTTGAAAGGGAGAAGTGCCTTGCGGAAGGTGGGACAAAAGCGAGGAGCAGATGCAAAGAAACGAGACAGGGAGGGAGGGTGGGGACGGCTAGGAAGGAAGAAAATGTGCGGCCTCAGGGGTGTGGTGTGGAGGAAACGGAGATCAGGAAGGGGAAGGGCCAGGGGGATGGGGGGAAGGAGGGGGCTCAAAGACCAAGTGCGTGAGGGGGGTGATTCCCTAATGTAAAAAAACGGCTGTGGCAGCAAGTGCAAAGAGGGAGTGTATGAAGGAACGAGGCGCATACCCTGGAGCGTTGGTGTCAAGCGGCTCAGTGGAGAGGGTGATGCTGATCATGGACACGTGGCGTGTGGTCTCCAACCTGCAACCGCAAATAGGAAATATTAATCTCGTTTCTCCTTTTTTTGTTTGTTTCTTCTGATTAAAAGGGTGGGCTGACAGCGGTGGGTGCGATAGTGATGGGGTAACGTTTGACTTGATTATTGACGCGACTAAAAGTGACATGGAAAAATGAAGACGGAACGGTTGAAGCGGGTTGTATCTACTGTAAAAGACGGGGTTGGTGATACAGAGAAGGAATGCGGGGGTTGGGGCTGGGGAATTTATGGTAGATCAATGGACCGAGGGAGAAGTGGGAGCATGGAGCAGCAGCAGCAAGGGCAGGGGCAGGGGCAGGGGCAGGGGCAGGGGCAGGGGCAGGGGCAGGGGCAGGGGCAGGGGCAGGGGCAGGGAGAGGGTCTCACGGCAAGAGGCCTTCTTCAAGAGGTTCCCAGAGGTCCGTGATGTCCGTGGAGCCTATCACAGTGCTCTGATGCAAGCCCGGGATACGACGCTGCTTGGACACACATGCACACATACGCGCATCAAACATGCACACATACGCGAATCAAACATGCACACATGCGCATCAAACATGCACACATGCACACATGCGCACATGCACACATGCACACATGCACATCCACACACACACGCATGCGCACATGCACACGTGCATCATGAATCACCACGCCATGACGTACAGGCGCAATAGAATGCCATCCCGATGCCCTTCCATGCCATGCCATGTCATGCCATGCCGGGTGGTACATGCAGTCACACAAGCCATGGCAATGTCAAACATGAACCCAATAAATCAGTACAACGGAAGCAAATAAGAAATGCAGAACATATTCACTGGCTGAGTTCTGCATCTTCCCCTTCGTCCTCCCCGTCCCCCTCCCCCAAACCCCCCCTTCTCCCTCCCCCATCCCCCCCTCGATTCTCCCTCCCCCACCCTTCCCCCCTTCTCCCCCCCCCCCCCCGTTTCTCCCTCCCCCCCCTTCCCCCCCTCGCCCCCCCCGTTTCTCCCTCCCCCACCCTCCACCCCCCCATCCCCCGGTTTCTCCCTCCCCCAACCCCCCCCCTTCTCCCTCCCCAAACATCCCCCTTCTCCCTCCCTCTCCCCCTTCCCCCCAATTCTCCCCTCCCCTCTTCCCCTCTTTTCCCTCTTCCCATACCACCCTTTCCCTCTTCCCCTCCCGGCATTCGCACATGCCCTCCACTCGCATTCCTCCCTCGCATCACACCTTCTCCCATTGCCCTTTGTTTCCCCCTTACCCGCGCGGATTCCGCCACGAGCACGGCCTTGCTGATTGCGCGCCCCATCGCCTTCACCACCACCTCCTTCTGCCCGCGCTCCTGCGCGAATTCACAAAGGCGCAAGGGGCGGGACGCGGAGGGAACGACGTGGGAAGAATGGGGGTAGGGAGGAAAAAGGGAAACGGAGGGAAAAGAAGGGGTTCGGGAGCGGCGAGAGGGCGAAAATGGGGGCAAGGGCAGCAGAAAGAGGAAACAACGAACGAGAAGTCAGGATCGGCAAACGGGACAGCGGGAGGCGTGTCAACACGGGCAAAAGAGTGGACTTTCTGGTAACAGGTAAGGCAGCATCTGGTGTGGCGAGCACATAAACATTGTTGTCCGAATTCATCCTCGTATTTCCAAGTTAAATTGCTGATACCAGATTTGTTGATACTAATGCGGAGACCGAATTCATCCACACATATCAAGTTAAGATTCTTGATACTACGTTTGTTGATACTAATGCGGAGATCACCATACCAAGAATTTTTAGACTGCAAGCCAAACATGTGCAATAGAGTCATCAAACATCACCCCCCAGCACCCACTGCCACCGAACGTCACCGACCATCACCGACCTGGAGGAGAGTGGCGGCGTAGGTGACGTAGTTGCGGACCTTCCCCGCGACGGTGATACGGATCTCATTCTCGCTGATCGGCGCCTCTGCGCGCGGCTTCTCCACGCGAGTGTACTTATCCATGGCGTGATGGCGTGCTTAGGACGTCTTTACAATGGTCACTTGTCCTTCAAGACGGTCGTTAGCGAGGGTACTGTTATCCAGGTAAATAGGTTGGAGAAGTTTTGGGGAAGGGATCAGCAAAATAGCAGGTGGGATTTGGTCGATGACGCGTGAATCAACCTGAAGAATGCAAAACGGCTGTTTGATTTTTTAGTTTCCAATGAGAGAACAGTAGTTGATCGAAGCTCACCTGCGCCAAAGAACTCCCTGAGTAGATGGAAGAACCTCGCTATTTCCGAGCAAGTTGCTAATCAGGCAAGAAGAGGGGGTATGAAAAATAAATGGTATGAAAAAGCTGATGGCGGTGAGTGGTCGGAGCGTCCACACGTCGTGAATACGAGTGGGATAGGAAATGCTGCGGCACGAGATGCCAAAACACGGCAGCAAATTGATTGGAGCGTAAGGTGAGGTGCTGGCTCTAGCAGGTTGATGAAGCGCGACCACAGAGAAACTCGGAATTTGAGAGAATCTGGAATTTCCAGTAAATGGAGCCAGGAGTGGAAGCAGGGAACTGAAGAAATCCAGCTAGCGAGGTAGATGTGTAAGGGCGACGTCAGGTTGTACAGCTTCCCTAAACTCAACTTCGTTTCGCAAAGATAGAACACGGTTAACCTTTAGAAAAGCTTCCAACCGTGTTGAACCGTTTTGAGCCACGATACAAGAATTGAATATCCGCGAGAAGTGTACAACCTGACGTCGCCCAAATCGAGATGATGCAAAAGGCGCCAGCTGGAGATGAGTGTAAGAGGGTCGAGGATGAGGGTGGTGACGTGTTTGCAATGGGATTGGAGCTGGACAGAATTAGGCTTTCCCATTGGATGAATTTGGGTTGATATGTCAGACTAGTGGCCTTCTAGAAAAGTCTGGTTATTGGCAGCACCACCGGGGAAATAATTTGTGGCTGTTACTCAGTTTACAAGCTCGCAATGCTCGCACGACAGCTTCTAGCATGCGAGCAGAACACTGTTCCTCGTTCACCCCCAACAAAAGTTCGCCAACAACCAGCCCAGTGGTTTTTCTGAATTCAAGAGACACTAAATGTTTCCTATCAACCATGCATGGCAGTTCACTCTTGCAACAGCACGTCAAGTACTTTAGGCGTTCTCATGATCCAAACAATTTTCATTACTCAAAAAGAGGAACCAAGTAACATCGATGGGAGATCTCCCTGCAAGAACCACAAGAGAGACACACACAAGAAACATGGCACGCTCCCTTCGCAGGCATTACCCTGTTCAGGTGCGAAGGGTTTTTCTCAGCCCACTCAACCAGACACAGCGATTATGGCATGGCACATGCATCCATAAGGGATAGCGATGCTGCTATTGCCAGCTGATGCTGTGTCGGAGAGTGGGCACCCCCGGTGCCAGGCGTATCAGTTCACGAACAATAAGGAAAAGAACAATGATACAGGAAGTGCCAGCACTGGCACCAGTCACCGGCTTCGACGGAGGGTGCATCCCATCCATCTTCAACCTGCACAGCAATCACAAAACCATAGTCAGGAAACGGTCTCAGCCAGAGCAGAAACAGCTGCAAACGCCTCTTACTGCAAGAGTCAGCTTCAATTGAGGTTGGCACCCGAGCCAGATGACTTGATGTAAGCCTCTGGCAGGTAAATCTCTCCACCCTTGTCCTGCTCCCCACTGATGACCTTCCTAGCCATAAGGAACTCAGCACTCATTTCCTCCATTCCTTTCTGAAACACAAGCCACCACCACAAACCACAGATCAGGATTTGGGCCTGTTACCATCTAAGCAAGAGCACTCTCAATCAGGAACTTTATCTGACCTGGACAGCAGCATCAACGTTCTCCCCATAGCCATGCTTGGCAGCATACTTGCGGACATCCTCAGTGATACGCATAGAGCAGAACTTAGGTCCACACATGGAGCAGAAATGGGCAAGCTTAGCACCATCAGCTGGCAAGGTCTCATCATGGAGGGCCTACAGCAAACAATGAAATGCTGTCAGTGAAATACAAGTAATCAATAGTTTGATCAACAAGTCAGCAAAGAGCAATACCTGAGCTGTTGTTGGGTCAAGTGACAGGTTGAACTGATCACGCCAGCGGAACTCGAAACGGGCCTTGCTAAGAGCATCGTCCCACTCCTGTGCATAAGGGTGCTGCTTCGCCAGGTCTGCAGCATGCGCCGCGATCTTGTATGCAATGACTCCATCCTTCACATCCTCACGGTTTGGCAGGCCAAGATGCTCCTGAAAGTGACGTGGATTACGCAAAGTGAGACAAGCCAGACAGGAATCTGTGATGTTGTCCTGCAACATCTCTGAGAGGATTTCAAGTGAGTATGTTACCTTGGGAGTGACGTAGCAGAGAAGAGCGGTACCAAGGGCACCAATGGTAGCAGCACCAATAGCTGAAGTGATGTGATCGTAGCCAGGGGCGATGTCAGTAGTGAGAGGGCCAAGCGTGTAGAAGGGTGCCTCGTTGCACCAGTCAAGCTGCTTCCTCATGTTCTCAGGAATCTTGTGAAGGGGTACGTGTCCGGGGCCCTCGTTCATGATCTGCAGGAAGAGAACGACCCATAATTTCATTCACTATCGAAGCCAGCCAACCATCATTCACCTTCTGAAGGTGATCATTCACAAGTGCAAAAAAGGGGGTCGCACAGCAACATACCTGCACATCCTTCTCCCAGGCACGTCGAGTCAGCTCGCCTTGGATGGCCAGCTCAGAGAACTGAGCCATGTCATTGGCATCGCGAATGCAACCAGGCCTGAGACCGTCACCAATCGAAATGGAAATGTCATATTCACGGCAAATGTCCAGGATCTCGTCCCAATGCTCATAGGCAAAATTCTCCTTGTGGTATGTGAGGCACCACTTGGCATGAATGGAGCCACCGCGAGAAACGATGCCAGTAAGCCGCTCGGCAGTCAAAGGAATGAACCTCAGCAGGACTCCAGCATGGATGGTGAAGTAGTCGACTCCTTGCTCGGCCTGGAAACGACATACTCAATAAGCTCACGCTTGTCCAATAGAAACTTAGAAAAACTCGGTGCGAGCAAGAACGTTACAGCACTTGCCTGCTCGATAAGCGTGTCACGAAAAATCTCCCAAGTGAGGTCCTCAGCAATGCCATTCACCTTCTCCAAAGCCTGAGAGGAGTTGCGAGTATGAATCATAAGCTCTCCAAAACAGAAGCATTAAAAGTAACTGCGTGAAACATTTATAAACACATACCTGGTAGATTGGAACAGTTCCGAGAGGAACGGCGGAATTACGCAGAATCCACTCGCGCGTCTCGTGAATATTATCGCCAGTTGACAAGTCCATTACTGTGTCGGCACCCCACATAGTTGACCACTTCAGCTTCTGAACTTCCTCCTCGATAGAAGACGCGACAGCTGAATTTCCAATGTTGGCGTTGATCTGCACATTAAAGCAAAGGTGTTCTTAATATAACGGAAAACACAAGTGCAGCACTTAATGAAGCATCGGCGCAACGGGCTTCGTACCTTCACCAGGAAGTTCCGGCCTATAATCGTAGGTTCAAGCTCGGGGTGACGCTTGTTGGCAGGGATGATGGCCCGTCCACGAGCAACCTCCGATCGGACGAACTCGGGATCCAACTTCTCCCTTGTCGCACAGTAGAGCATCTCTTCAGTAATTATGCCCTTCTTAGCGTAGTGCATCTGCGTAAAGCACTTGTCCCCCCGCTTTTCCCTCCTTGCGACCCAAGCCTCCCTCAGCTTTGGCAGACCTGAGAAAATCGCAAGAGATCAACGATTGAAAACGACGGGCATCTTTCGGCTTTCCGTTCTTGGCTATCGAAGCATACTCCTACGTATACACTAAAATAACTCACCTTCTCTGCAGTCGATGTTCTGGGGACCGCTGGTGTCGTACACATCGAAAGGAGGTTCCTCGCCTGACAGATGAACCCTCCGAAATGGGACGCGAAGGACAGTGCCCGTCTCCTCGTGCACAACTTCCCTGAAACACAAGATAAGAGGCAAACAAAGGTACGGCATACATGGGTGAACGACATAGAGGGCGAATAATGCTTCATGATAAAACGGACTAAATAACCGTACAGCGCATAAAACAAACAAGTCACCTGTATTCCTTCGTGCTAGAGGGGAAGCACTCCTCGAAGGATGGCATGGGAGGGACATCAATATCGCTGTCGAGGCTCGTAATTGTGGGCCTCTCAGGAGCTGCAATCATCCGCACCGTAGGCGCATGATGCTTCAGCACGGGTCGCTCGACACCAGCACGCAGCGCAGGAACAGATCCAAGAAACGAGCTCTGCTTCGCACTGCGGAGGCCCGACGTCTGCAGGCCATTTCGAATGATCGGAGTTGATGAGAGCGCGACAGCAGCCATTATGCGAGGCTCACAGAATGCAAGGGGCTTGTGAAGGTTTGGAAACGAATCTCCAGAATGAGCTTTTGTTCTGGCTGAGTAATGCTTTGAATGAGGGGAGGGGAGAAAAATATCCGTGGCTTCCTGTTGCAGGCAGCAGGATTCACTGGCACGAAGGGTTCTGATCTGATGGTAACCCCTTTCGCGTCATAAACTCGACTTTTCCGCCCACGGGGTGCCACTGTTGCAAGAAAGGCGGACGAGGAGAGGAATCTGTAAGCTGAGGTGGACGCATGCCAGCGTGGAAATCAAAGCAAAGGTGCGCCATCATTGGCCGGATAGCTTTGGATCAGACGAACTGACATCGGCATGTTGCATAGTCGTCGTGGCGCGCTGTACCATGATAAGCTATACGTTCTGGTGCAGCTTTCCCTGTAAATTTCATACAATCAACAAACATCAAAGTAGGCTTCACTATCATTTTCCAATTTGCAGCCATTTCTCTTGCTGATCATCACTGTGAAGCCTGCAAAGCATTATTCACTCTGTTTTTATATCGAGCGTTATGCAAAGAAGGCATGCATACTGACACGAGTAAGTCTTTAATGGGCTGTACGAAGGCAGAAGGTGTGTCTTATCTATGCCATTATGAGACAGTTAGCCGTGCCTTGCTGCAGAATCCGTGCATCATAGTCGATCCCACAATGCTCCAGCTTCTTTTTGAGCAGCCAGGAATCTGATGTCTTTGGTTGACGGTCCAGGATAGCAGCTGCCTCCTATGTTCCGCCACACAGACACCACATGCTGATACCAACCAAGTGACCTCTTTTCCTCCTTGTCCCCATGACCGATCCACACATGTGCTGAGCCATGTGATGGGGCCAACCCTGCCGCAGCATCCTTGGCCTGCCAATCTGCTGCCTGCCGAAGCAGGTCGTCAGCGTCAGCAGTGTCAGGCTCGGCAGACTGGTGGCGCACAGCGAAGCGCTCAAAGACAATGAAGGCTACGCCGGTGATGATGGCAAAGACCCAGATAGAGATAGTGAAATCCGGATAGGCTGGAATGGAGGTAGTGGGGGAGCCAACAAGGATAGTGCAGACAATGAGACATTTGGAAGAAGAAAAGGATTTTGATGGGCGCAAACCCAGCAACAGGTATACGCCCACCCAGGAAGTAGAATACAGGTTGTGCAGACTTCCCACATACCCCTAGTCATTCCGGCTTTCTGGTCGAACTGTCACAAGCTGAGTGCTAGGACTGTCATGTGCTGGGCACGCATTGAGCATGAGCAGAAGCTTACCACTCAGGTCGACAAGGCCGAAGGCATCGCGAATGGTGGCGGATGGGTAGAGCAGCAAGAGCGAGCAGCAGAGGAACTGCAGCAGGAGCACGGCGATAAGAAGAGGGCTCTGGAACAGGTGTGCCCTGAAGCGGCCAAAGCTCTGACTGACAGCAGCAGCCAGGAAGAGATACTGGGGTTGGGGGGGGGGGGGGGGGGGGGGGGGAGGGTGGAATCATGGGGTAAAGATGCAAGGAGAGGGTCACAGAAGAAGGGTGTCAAATAGGGGAAAGGCAAAACAAAAACAAAAAAACTGTGCGGATCAACACACGAACAGGTACGCACACCCCCAATTCCCCCTCCCTACCCCACACCCGCCTCCCCCCCCCCCCCCCCCTCACCCACACACATGGCTGCAGAGGCAAGAATGGCTTACCTGGAAAGAGGCGAAAAGGAAGCTGGCAGTGGTGTTGATGTTGACTTTGCGGTTGAACCCTGGAGTGCCAACAACTGGCTGCACATACCATGACTGGTGGCACACATGCAGTACAGGTGGAGGGTGCAGAGGGGGGTGGAGGTTGGGGTGGGGATGGAAAAAGGACGCTTCTAGATGAGGCTAATTGGAGCATGCAGGTAGAGGGTAGAGCGTGGAGGTAGGAGGAAGGAGAGGCAAGAGGACGCAAGAAGCAAGGAGGAGGGCGAAGCAGTGCAGGGCTGTCTTTCAAGTACTTGCATTATAAAAACAGCCTATCAGCTCCCCCCCATGCAGCTCCTACTGCCTCATTACATCCCATGGTCCCATCGTCCCCACACAAGCACAGCCATCATCCCCTTTGGAATACTCTGTTTCCTTCACACGCCCATACACACCCTCGTAACCCCCCTCCACCTCCTCGCCCCTGTCCGAGCCCACACCTGTTTCTGCAGGAAGGCAGAGGCGAGCAGCTGCGTGGCAACAATGAGGGCGGACTGGCCGTAGATGCCCACGAGCATGGAGAGCGAGAAGAGGTTGGTCTCTGGCAGGCCACGCGAGAGAGACTTGCGCGGCAAGAGCGTGGGGATAAGCAAGATCATTGGGAACACCAGGCCCAAATCTGGGGGAGAGAGAGGCGGGGAGGAAGGGGACGGGAACGGAAGGGTAGGGGGAGGGGAGCGGAGGGGAGGTGGAGGGGAGGGGAGGGGAGGGGAGGGGAGGGGAGGGGAGGGGAGGGGAGGGGAGGGGAGGGGAGGGGAGGGGAGGGGAGGGGAGGGGAGGGGATGGGAGGAGAGGGGAACGGAGAGGGGAATGAGTGCAGGTAGATGCACAAGGAGTAGGTCATGTGTAGTCTGGGGGAGAGGGAGTGGCAAAGGACGGGACACGTGAAGAAACGACACTCATTGCATATAGATTTTGAATCGGCTGAAAAGTGAGCTCAAGAGAGAGAGGGTCAGGACGTACCTGCCCAGAGGTACTGCATGTCCGTGAGCTCGAGGGCGAGTGGGTAGAGCACAACAATGGACATGGTCTGCACGATGGCATAGAACAGCATGTACTTGAACATGCTCGTTGCTGTCACCAGCGCACACCGCCCGTCCCTCAGCAGCTGGAGGGGGGAGAGGAGGACGAGGAGGGGAGGGGGAAGAGATTTGGGGGGGAGAGGAGGACGAGGAGGGGAGGGGGAAGAGTTTTGGGAGGATCCATGGGGAAAGGAAGAGCTGGACGTTGAGAAGGCATGGGAGGAGAGAGAAAGAGAGAGAGAGATACAGCAACAGAAGACGGGGATGTGGGGGGGCTGACAGAAAGAGGATGGGCAGGAAAGAGTGAAGGAGGTCACTGGGTATGGTGCAGCAGAAATGGCGGGAACGAACGAACGAACGGACACACACACACACACACACACACACACACACACACACACACACACACACACACACACACAACACACACACACCACACACACACACACACACACACACACACACACACACACACACACACACACACGCGCGCGCGCGTGCGCGCACCGGAACAAGTGCTCCAATGTGGGCCACATGAGTGGAGAACGGCGCAGCAATGCTGGGAGCTGCTGCTGCTGCATCCGAAGCCGCTGCTGCGGACTGTGCCACAGCCACTGACGACCTGCGCCCCCCTCTCAGTGGCGCTGATGCGGATGATGATGCGCCATTGACAGAGCGAGACGAGGGGAGGTCTGCTAGAGTGGAGTGACGCTTGGAGGCAATGCTGAGGCCCACATCTGCTGCCTTGAGTGCCGCACTGTCATTGGCACCGTCACCAGTCCTGAGGTGTGAGGAGAGGGGAAGTGGAGAAGGGAGGTAGAGAAGGGAAGTGGAGAGGAAATTTTGGACAAAAGGAGGGGACAAAGAGAAGGTGGATAGAGAGAAAAAAGACGAGGAGAGGGTAATGACGCACGTTTACAAGGCCTAGCAGGGCCAAGCATGCTCACATCATCAATGTAACGGATACTCACATGGCAACAGAGTAGCCGAGGTCACGGAGAGCAAGCATGAGATCCTGCTTGTTGCTGGGCGACATGCGTGCAAACACCCCCGCCCGGGACAGCACCGCTTCAAAGGGCGTGATTGCAGCCGAGGCAGGGGCGAGAACAAGGGCAGATGAGGAGGAGGAAGGGGCTGGGGAGGAGGAGAAAGGAGAGGAGGATCGGCGGGAGGGCTTGTGCAGCGAGGTGATTCGGTCGTGATGGGCTTTAAGTGCTGCGAAGGCTCGGCCTGTCACCACAAGGTCTGCTCCTCTAAGTGACGCCTCCAGCTGGGAAGGGTGGGAAGAGAATATGGGTATGGCCATGCAGGATACGATTGATGTGCTTTCGCGGTAATGTGGTGGTATGGATTGAAACATGGGAGCATTGGACGGTGGACAGTCAGTGCAGTATGATACAGCTCAAACGCGCCTAGGTCACACTGAAACAAACTGCACTGGCATGGCCCGCACCTGTGGAGCAGCCATGGCCCCGTCTGAAGAGCCCTTTTGCAGCACAGAGGCGGCACCCGAAGGCCCTGCTACAAGCACGTCGTCCAAAGGCACACTGCGGTGTGTCACCACGTCTTGAATCACACAGCCCGTGCCACTTGATTGCGTGTCGTCGGCTGTGTCGATGAGATAGGGGTGGCGTGTGGTGTGTAGGAGGTACGGCCCACAGTGGCTGCCGGAGGGAGAGAGGAGGGAGAGAGAGAGGAAGACATGGGAGAGATAAGGACGAGGCAGGGGTGGTGCTCGCTGTGCACTGAGCGGGAGGCATGGTTGTAGTGGCAAGAGGTAGGGGAGAGAAACGAGTGTCGGAGCTTGGAGGAATTGAGCTAGGGCATACATAAGGAAACGAGAGGGACCACTAATAAAGGCGGAACGAGAGGGAATTTGGGGGGGAAGGGCAGTAAGGTGTGGGAAAAATGGGGAGACTCAGCACATGCAACCGTGACGAACACAGGGGCATTCAGGGAATGAGGAGTGCGAGCGTGTGGGTGACGCGGGGGCCAGAGTGAGCGTGCGAGTGAGAGCAAGGGTGCGAACTAGTGGGAGAGTGGGAGTGGGAGTGGTCCGAGTGGGTACCGGCTGACAGCGAGGGCAGTGAGGGGGTTGTCTCCGGTGACCATGAGGCATCTGAGGCCAGCAGCAGCCAGGCAGTGCAGTACGGGCGTGGTTTCAGGCTTGATGGGGTTCTCCAGCACCAGGAACCCACAGAACACCAGCTCCTTCTCCATGTCTGCACGACTCGCCTCTGCCACCTGCATGGGGGTGCGTGGGTGGAGGGAAAGTGGGGGAAAGAGTGAAGGGGAGGGAGTACTGGACTTGATGGGGTGCTCCAGCACCAGGAAGGAGCCTGCAGGACACCAGTTCCTTCTCCACCACCTGAAGGCTTGATGTCTGCTCAGCTCGGCTCATCTCCGCCACCTGTGTGGTGCGTGTGAGCGTAGGGGAAGGGGGGAGGAAACAGAGAAGACCAGGGAGCATTGGGCTTGATGGGGTTCTCTAATACCAGGAGGAATGAGGGAGAGAGACGGCTAGATGGGGAAAGGTTAAAGGCCAGGGTGTTTTTGCTGCTTTGGCATTCTCACCTGCTGCAGCGTGAGGTGCGAGAGTGATCGCGAGGCCACAGCCAGCACTCTGCTGCCACTGAGCGTGAGCGCCTTGAGCTGCGCCTCAAAGTCACGCGGGAGCGACGCAGGCGTGCACAGGGGGCGAATGCTGCAATGCCGCACACATGCATTTCCAGCAGTGGGGATGGTGCACGCACAGGGGGTTGGTCGTTTGGAAGTAGAATGGGGGTGTGGGCGGAAGGGAGGGAGGGCGAACAGCAGAAGGGGGATGGGAAAAGGGCATAGTGAAGTCGACCAGGACTAAAGGGGGAATGCACATGGTGGTGGATACATTGAAGGAGCAGTTGTGGAAAGAGCCAGGAAAGAGAGAAGAGGCGCGTGTGTGTACAGGGAACAGAATGCATGGCAGGAGGCAGGCACAAGCGCCACACAGGATACCAAATTAAAACAAGCACATGACACACACAGCAATCACCGCACCTTTCAGGGGCACCCTTGACAAGCAGAGACATGGGCGCACCAGCAGCACCAGCACCAGCATCCTCACCACCCGTCCGCCGTACGACAGCTGGGTGCACCTGCAGCACTGCCACTGCCATGCGCCTGAGGTCCGAGTCAAAGTCAAAGCGCCGCAGCACAGCCAGCGCCGGCTGGGAGGAGAACGCAAAGGACGAGGCAGAGGCCACGGGGGGGAGGAGATGGTGCGAGGGATGGGGAGCGGAGGGGTCGGAAGGGGGAGGAGGGAGGAGGAGGAGGTCGACGGAGTGGGGGAGGTCCGGGTGGGACCAGATGGTGTTGATGTCCCAGGCGTTCGTGCTGCTGCTGGTGGTGCTGGTGGTGGTGGTGTCGGCATGTTCGGGGCGAGGGAGGAACTGCCAGCCTGAAGTTTGAGAGGGACGAAGGTGAGAGAAGAAGGGGGAGGGAGGGGAGGGAGGGGAGGGAGGGAGTGAGGGAGGGGACGGAGGGAGGGGAGGGAGGGGGGAGGAGGGAGAAAGGGAGGGGAGGGAAGAAGGGAAAGAGGGGGGGAGAGAGAGTTGGAAAAGAGATGTTGAGGGTCTGCTATTAGGTAGTGCAGGAGCAAGTGCATCCATAAGCAATACGCCCAACCAAGCAGGAACCTAATGCAACCATATGAACCCTTTCACCCTGATCCCAAACCGCACTCCCCCACCCTACTATTCCCTCCTACTCCCCCTCAACCCCTCCTAACCCTTACCACTGCGCCTGAACATCTGTATCTCGAGTGGGTCTCCCACAAAAAGACAAACAGAGCCGTCCTTCATGTGCACAACGGCACTCTCCTCACTCTCCCCGGCCTCCCCCTCCTCTGACTCAGCCGCTCCCACCCCACCACCCCACTGCTCCTGCTCGTCACTCCTCGGCCCTGCATGCAGCCTCGCGCCATGCGTGCCCCCATCACCCACACTACCGCTGCTGCTCCTGCTGCCCCGTTTCACCCCATCGTACCCCCACTCCCCACGCATGAGCCTACTCCAGAAGCCATCACCCCCCGTCCGCTCTGCATGCACTTCCATCTCGGGAAACGCATCAGAAGCAGAGGAGGCGGAATCTGAGCGGGAGGGAGCAGGCCCATGGAGCAACGACAGGCTGTGGCAGGCAGCTAGGGTGTAACAGAGCGATGCAGTGGGGCTGGATGCGGTTGAAGCAGGTTGGGGTGATGCTGCTGTGGGCTTCACAGCCTCGTGGTAAAGCTCAAGGAGGTTGGAGTGGAGGGAGGAGAAGGTGGGGGAGGAGGGGGAAGGGGAGGAGGAGGAGGAGACGGGTATGGCTCCAGAGATGGTGAGACCGTCGCGTGTGAGAGTGCCAGTTTTGTCGAAGCAGAGGAGGTTGACACGACCTGCGTTGATGATGCGAGGTGGGCTGCATGGGAAAGGGATGGGCAAGGATAGAGGCGATTGGGACAGGTCGAGGCAGAAGAAGGAAGGAGCAGCAGGTAGTAGACAACACGTGACAGGGAGAATGATGCAAGCAGGGGAGAGCACGGATGTGGAGGGAGGAGGAGAGAGAGAGAAAAAAGGGAAACGGAGTGGGGGAAAATGTAAGGGCGGTGCGTACTTGATGCAGAAGATGCCGCATGCTTGGAGGCGAGAGAAGGCCGTGGTGAGGCCGATGGAGAGCGCAAGAGGCAGGGCGGGCGGCACAGTGATGGTGAGGATGTTGAGAACGCTCAGCACCAGCTGCCTGGTGCTCACCTGCACGGATAAGCAAGGGGACACGTAGAGAGATTGGTGGTAGGGAAAGGCAGGCATGAGCAGGGGAGGAGGGTGTGGGGAGGTGTGGGCAGGGTGTGCAAAACGGATCATGCAAGGGCATGGGAAGGAGCTATGCAATACTCGCACACGATGACTGGTATTTATTTGTAACAATGTACGCTCACACTCCTGCACTCTGTTGCTCCGTAATGGCACACAGCACAGCTGCATGGTTACATGACACATCACACCATGCATGGACACACTCGCTTGCTCATGCACTCAAACTCAGCGCCCGCACACACCTTGTTGTACTGGTAGATAATGGTGATGGTGGCGGCAATGAGCAAGAAGATGAAGAGGTGATTTTGGAGTCAACTCAAAAGTCACTCACTCGCTCACACTCACACACCCGCCCACTCACGCCCTCACACCGGCGCCCGCACACACCTTGTTGTACTGGTAAATAATGGTGATGATGGCGGCAATGAGGAAGAAGACAAAGAGGTTCACGATGAACAGGTAGAGCTTGCGCTCAAAGTCAAACGACGTGGGCTTCGGGTAGATGATGGCGCGAACCAGCTCTCCCTTGGAAGTCGCATATCCCGTGCCCACCACCATAGCTGTCACAGGCATGGGCTGGGGGGAAGAAGGGCAACCAGAGAGTGGTGGGAGGGGGTGCAAACGTTCAAAAACAGCAACAAGGATGGGAGCGTGAGGGGTTGAAAGGGTGTGAGCGACCATAGCGAAGGAAGCTTGGAAACTGGGAAGAGGAAGTCGACGGTCTGCGAGGGGAGGTAAACATGGCGATTAACACAAGGAGAATGCCAAACAAGGTATGAGAACCCACCCGTCCTTGGTTTGCATTGGCGAAATTCCACACACAAGGCGGGGCCTCCCCGCTAGAAGACGAGGAGGGCCAGGTGGGCGGAGGGGTGGGCGGCGCTCTGAGCGCCCTGGTCTGCAGCACCTCTGTGCCTGACAGCAGGCGGTACTTGGAATCCGCCTCTGACCCTGGCCGTAGGCTGCAGGGGGAATGGGGGGAGAAACAAGTAGACGAGCAGGCAGACAGGCAGGCAGACAGGCAGGCAGAGAGGTAAGGATGGCAGGCAGGCAAAGAAACAGACAGCAAGCGTGTCGCAGGAGAAGAAGGGAGACTTGTCATCAAACACAAACAGAGCCGTACCCCTTCCGTCCCGCCGCCTCCCCTTTCCCTCCCCTCGCTTCCCTCCCCTCCCTCTGAGGAACCCCCTTCCCTTCCCACCCCTCCCAGTTCCATTGCGAAGCCCTCCATGCCCCTTGTTCCCTGCCTACCTTTGTGCTTGTGCAGAGAAGTCGAGAGGCAGAGCCGTCTTGAGCACGGGAGCGGATTCCCCAGTGAGCATGGACTCGTTGAGCACGCACTGGCCGGCCAACAGCACTAAGTCGCACGGCAGCACCATGCCCGCCTCCACCTGGGATGGGAACGGAAAGGCGGCGAGCGAGAGACAGGCAACGAGGCGGTGTTAGTAGGGAAGAATGATGAAGAAAGGGACACGGAGAGAGAGGTGCCTCTGGTGGCAAAACGCAAGCGGTGTGAGTATAACCCCATCCTTCCTCTCCTCTCCGCTCTCTCCCCGCAGCCCTGCCTCTAGCACTCTCCCATTCGTGGCCTCTCACCTGCACAAGATCGCCTGGGAGCAGAGCACTGGCTAGAACCTGTTCTGGCTGCAGTCTTGGCGCAGCAGAGGGGTCAGCGGAATCACGGCGCGCTGTCAGCCGCACCACAGAGCAGTCCGTCTCTGCTAGCCGCCTGGGAAGAGGGAAGATAGCAGAGGATGATGAGGGGGGCGTGTGGGGGAGTTGGTTGGAAGGGGGGTTCGGAAGGAGGGGAGAGGTGGTCGGGAGGAGACACGGTGGCATGGAGAGAGCGAGGAAAGGCCGAGATTAGGGCGTGAGGGAAGGTGACGAAAGGGATGGAAGAGAAGAGGGGGGAGATGAGAAAGGGTCTGAGTAAGGCAGCTTACTTGATGGCGAGCCTGTTGCGGCGGGTCTGGGCGGCCTCGTAGACGACTGAGGTGGTGGTGAGGAAGATGATGACGCAGGAGTAGAGGTAGTAGTTGATCTGGAACCACACTATCACACTGAACACCTGGAAGACAAAAAACGGCTTCAGCACCTCCCCTAACAGCAGCACCCTGCGCGGACGAGCAGAAGACAAGGGGGCATGAGGGGTGTGTACAAAGATGCAGACACAGAAAAGATTTGTAAAAGGCGAGCAGAAAACATGGCAGAAGGAGAGGGAGGCTCGTTCGAGGACGGAGATGGGTCGGTGGTTTTTTATGACGGATAACCTTCTCACAGGCACCCTGTCAAACACTCAGCAGTGAAGGCTGCAAGTCTCGAAGCGCAATCACATAACTCAGCACGAATCACACAGCATGCACGACACAGAACTTCGCACACAAAACTTCGCACACAGAACAGCGCACGCACCAGAAGCTGGGCGCATGCACATGCAGGATGTTCGGGCCGTGTGTGAGGAGGCGCCGCTCCCAGTCACTCACGTCTGCCACACAGCAAGGCATGAGATGAATGGAATTGCATGGCATGACATGGTGCCGAGCGGAAATTAAGGAATATTAGCAGAGCATGAGTATATCGAAACGGAAAAGGAGGATACGGGAATGAAGAGATCACAAAAGAAGCACGTGGTAGAAAGACGGGAACAGAGGTGTGAGCGGTGAGTGGCTCGAAGAGGGTTACGCGTGACGATTTTGGAAAAGGGCGAGAATTCGGTGGAAGAAGGGAAGAGCAGAGAATGATCGCGAAGGAAGAGAGAGCCTGGACTCGTGACCTTCCCCATCCCATCTCCCCTCCCAATTTGCCCTCCTTGCCCAACCCCCTCCCTCCTCCAAACCACCACCATCATCCCTCCCCCTCTCCCGTCCCACCATTACCCCTTTCCCCCCACCCCACACCCTCCGCGCACCTCCTGGGTGACTCGCCCCGCGGGGCTCCTGCATGGCGCAAGCAGCGCCATACTTGTGGAGCGCGGCGGGGGTAGAGGCGAGCTGGAAGCGATGGCGCTTCCACACCAGCGGCGTGCTGCTGAGCTCCGCTGCGCGCGTGGCGGACTTGGGCGTGCCGTCGAACAACCGCGCGGCCGCCGCCGGATCGAACCAGAAGCGCTCGCTGCGCCACAGGAAGGTTCGAGGAAGGGCGGCGAAGCTGATCTCGCAGCCCTGTGGAGGAAACGGTGAAGGGATGTGAGGAGCGGGAGTGGGGTGCAGAGGGGTGGGTAGAGGGGAAGTGTCGTGGAGGAAAACGATAGTCATGACCACGAGATGGCGTGGAAGGGAGAGCTGGAGGGAGCATATGCGCTTTGAAGAGATGGAGCTCATACATCAATGTCGCAGATGACCAACATACATCCCCTTCCCACGCAGGCGTCAGCAGACTTGAAAAGGACAAGCGCATCAGCTCCTCCCTGAAGACAGCACATGCGTCTCAATGGAAAGACCCGCAAGGTTCTCCCTGGACCTGCATACCCTGCCTACCGGACGCCTCGTGCTGGTGCGCGCCGTCTCGACGTCCACCCACCCACGGGATGGGGCCCAGGGGTCGACGGACTCGAGCGGCGCGACTGTCAGGATACCGTCGAGACTCTCCACCAGCACGTAGTCCGTGCTGACGTCGCCGGGAGGAACGCTGGTAGAGGGAATGAGGAAAGGAGAAGAGAATTGAGAGGCGAACGTCAGGGTACCGTCTAGACGCTCCTCTCCACCAGCACGTAGTCCGTGTTGAAGTCGCCGGGAGGACCGCTGGTAGGGGGAATTGGGAGACGAAAGGGGAATAGAGAGGCGGCCTTTTGAGATACCCGCTGTCAGGATACCGTCGAGGCTCTCTCGACCAGCACGTAGTCATTGTTTGACGTCGCCGGGGGGAACGCAGGTCGGGGAAATGAGGAAAGGAGAAGGGAATAAAGAGACGGCCTTCTGCGTCGACTGAAACGTCACCTCCGTCAGGATACCGTCGAGACACTCCACCGTAATCTGATTTGACGTCGCTGGGAGGAACGCTGGTCGGGAAAGCAGGGAAATGAGAAGCGAATAGCGACGCGGCTGTCAGGATACCGAGACTCTCCACCAGCATGTAGTCCGATTTGACGACGCCGGGAGGAACGCTGATAGGGGAAACGAGGAATCAAAAAGGGAATGTAGTGGCGACTGTCAGGATCTCGCCAGAAATTTCCAACAACACGTAATCTGTTGACGTCGCTGGACGGAACGGTATACGGGGAAGGAAGAGCGAGGAGCTGAAGACGAATGAGAACCACTTTTTAGTCGGCTCAAACAGGGGGGAAACCCATCAGCCAAAAGTCGACTCGCGCGAAATCAGCCAAAAGTCCGACTGCTCGGATAACATGAGGACCGTGCACCCGCATTGATCGCGTCGAACGGCACGCTGGTTGGGGAGGAATACCAATCAGTCGGACGATCAACGAGTTTTAGACACTTGTGATTAACGCTACTAGCGCCGATGCTGCCGGTCGAACCAAGCTGACGAGAAGAGCGATATGACGGAAGGGTCACTGGGGGAACGGGTGCAGAGGAATTCAGGCCTTGGCACAAGCATGTATCGGCACGTGATATGGTGTGAAACGAAGACTAGCTTACGCAAAACAGCGTGATAACGAAAATAGAGCAACCTGCAACTGACGGCGTCAACTATAGCAAAAGGATTCTGAAACGACGAAATAGTATCGTACCGCTTGAATCGCAGGGTGACGTAAAAAGCAGGGAACCAGCTGGATAGCAGCGGAACGATGCCGATGGATAGCACGGAGAGGACGACAAAGATGAGATCTCCCAAAAGATAGCGATGCCAGCACGAGATTGTCTTGATCGAGACCACCTGATGAGGGAAGGTAGTAGAATGGATGTTCAAAATGTCTACCGACACATTCTAATGATGGAAATCAGTCACATGGATGATAACATGATCCATAAGTTCTGGAGCAGGAAAATCGAACTGGAGAAGTTTTTTGTTGAAAAAAAAGGGAACTTGTGTAAAGAGGAGAAGCTTCACTACCATGACGAATAAAACGTGGTAGACAACATGTCAATAGAAGATCTTTAAAAGTGCTTTGCTAACCTCGTCTTCGTGGTGTCGGTCAGATGCTGAAGCTGCTCCGTTGGACGCATGGTCATCGTGACTGCTATGCGCTGCCGGTATTTCCGTTATCATAGAATCCAGCCATCCCTCGTTAGTAGCTTCTAGCGAATGCGATGGAGCCATTTCAGGTTCTCAGACTGGCAAAAAAATCGCGAGTTGAGCTAGAATGGGGATACGCAAAATGAGTGGTAAGGTGATGGCTCCTGGCCTCAAGAGCCTCAGTACAGCAATCTACGTAGCATACTACTAAGCAAAGGTGACGCGACGCGAGTGGCACGAAAATGATTGCGAAGACAATGCTAACGGAAACCGTAACCACATCAGGCGCTATCCAGCATACTGAAGGGAGTGCCTGTAAAGCACTGAACAGATTATTGTGGGGAGGGAGAGGCTAGAGACTGAAGTGAAATTATTGGAGCCTAGACACGGAGAGAGGTGGACACACAAATCTCTCTCTTGAGTGAGCTCAGCTGCTCAGGTGACAGTCGGCCGGCGCACATAGGAATTGACGACGGCGAGGCGAAACACTGGGCCCCGGAACGCGATGAGATTGGGAAAAGGGGAAGGGGCAGGAGAATCCAGGGCAGGCGCAGGGGGTGACGGGTGCGCCAGTCAAACCCTCCGCCAGCCAGGGAAAATAATGCAGAGCGGGATGAGCACAAGCGCGGCACCGTCTGCAACTGCGTCGCGGTGCGGAAGTGGCAATCCTGTGCGCGACTGCCCCAGAGAATTGCGCCACATCAAGAAACTCGCGCCTCTTCTCTGCCGTTTGCGCCAACGCGCCCCTTTACACCTTCAAGAAATCCTCAGCACAACAGATACCTTGACACGGCGGGCAACGCAAATGGTACTGAAAAAAATCGTGACTAGCGAGCTGTACCCTGGGGGGAGAAAACGCTTTGCACTCATCGCTTTGTAGGCTTCTTGAATGACAGCCAGAGCCCAAAAGAATGCCTACACGATTTCTCAACTTTTCATGTACCCTCCTCGCAGGGTGCCCCAAACCAACCCAGTTTCCAGGAGAAATGTTCCGCAGCACACAAGACCGCAACTCACGCAGGTGAAACCTGGAGCCCTACTGCCCCCCCAAACAATGATCTGGGAATGGAACGCGATGACCTATTTCACACATTTTGGCCAATTGCCTTATAACATAGCCACCCTCATTTGTTGCCCATAACACATTCCTACAGGATCTGTTTACTGTTACAATTATCTGACCTAGTCAATCCTATGGTATCATGGGAGGCCTTGAAAGGATTGAGATTCCAGAAGCCTACGTGGATGGCTGCAGACAACAGCTTCAGCACAAACCCACAACCGCATGCAATACACCGAGTGCAATCTTGCTAAATAGCGAGTGCCACCTGACTTGATGATAACAATGGCTTGCAAGCAATAAGTTGCAGGGCCTGTGCTAGGATTTAGAGCACCCTGAGCCCTCAGGGTAACTTTTGAGAAAATTCTGAAATGCCCTGATTTTCCAGGGCAAAATTCCCTGGCCATCCTGAAATTTCAGGGCACCAGCAGAAATTCATCCGGATGATTCAGGGCAAAAATTACAAGGCACTGGAGAGGATGGAGGGGAAGGCACGAAAGGAGCAGGTTGCTCACTGGTTTCACTGTTGGCTGAGCAAAAACATTGGTGGGGGAGGGGTGGGGACAGAACTACTAGCACACACACCCCCAGCCTCCTTCCTCCCCTCTCTCCCTCTCCCCTTCCACCCCTTTTCCCCTTCCCACGAGTCAGGGCATCCCTCTACATTCACCCTAACGCTTCAGGGCAAAATTTCACTGCCATTCTGAAATTTCAGGGCAAAACACATGGATCATCCTGAGGTCGCAGGGTAAATTTCAGCGTCATTCTGAAATTCCAGGGCAAACTTAAAACACCATCCTGAAATCAGGGTAATCAGGATGTTTTGCCCTGATATCGTGGGCCCTGATAAGTTGCATGAACCAATACAGTTCATCCCTTGGTGCACGGGCGCACCCTTCCGCACCAGCTAGCAACATGCATACTGTAGCAGCTTACACAGCCGCTCACTTGCGCAAGGACAAGCATGCTACAGTGCAGAACACTGGAGGTTGCTCCAGGGCCGGATTCAACACCCCCCGCACCCTCAGGGTTCAAGCACCCTTCTTTTTCACTCACCCACACAATAGGATTCAGCCCCCTTCACTTCCACCTACCCACCAAAGGAGTTTCAGCCCCTTCTCCTCCACTCATGGAAGTTTCAGCCCCCTTCCATTCCACTCATTCACCATAAGGGATTCAGCCCCATTCCTTTCAATTCGCCAACCTTGGCGCTTCAGCACCCTTCGCTTCCACGCACCCACCCAAGGGATTTCAGCCCCCTTCCCCTTCACCCACCCACCCTCAGGGTATAAGCCCCCATTCACCTTCCACTCACCAGCTATAGCGCTTCCAGGCCCATTCCCTTCGCCTCACCCACTGTCAGAGTATCCAACCACCAACCCTAGACATGCAATAATCTACCCAGAACCACCCATCCAACCACACACCAAACCGCAACCATTCACCCACCTACCAGAACCACCCATCCAACCCACACACCCACCCACCCAGCCAGACACCAATCAACAATCACCCATCCTACCCACACACCCCACCCACCCAGCCAGACACCAATCAACAAACACCCATCCTACCAACACACCCCACCCACCCAACCAGACACCTATCAACAACCACCCATTCAACTGTGAATCCACCCATCCTCACCTCTCACTCTCACCGGTCACTCGGTCCCATACTTCACTCTCTCACAGATGCCTCTCACTACTTATTGACCACTGACTCTCTCACCATTCACTCTTACTGCTCTCATCGCTCTCTCATCTCTCACCTCTCTCTCTCTGCTCTCAATTTCAACACACTCACAACACTCCGAACATTCGTATCCCACCACTCACTCGCACCGCTCGCTCACAACTCCCTCACTACTCACTCGTTCTCGCCACTGACTCTCACCATTCACTCTTGGCTCTCCAAACCCAACCAGTGACTCTCAACTCACACTTACACTAGGGCTTCACTATTCTCACACCTCAAGCTCATACTCTCATCGCTCACACCAGTCATGCACTCCAAACTCACTCGTCACTCACTCTTACCTCTTGCACTCTCACTACTCATGTTCAATCTCATCACCTCACACTGATCACTGGCTGTACCCAACCTCACCTCCACTCACTAACTTTCTGACCCTCCGCACAACACTCTCACCACTCAGCCGACGCGGCTGCTGCGGACACGCAGCAGCACGAGCGTGCGCCCCCAGTGGCGCGCGAGAGCCATGGCTTCCGCCAGGTGGAGGCGCGCCTTGCTCAGCTGCTCCCAGCGATTCCCCATTGCGAGGTACTGCGCGGATGGCGCCGCGGCTGGGGGAGGATGCGGAGGTAAGGGGGGAGGTGGGGGGAAGGGGAAGCGGGGTAGAGGGGAAGAGGGGTAGAGGGGAAGAGGGGGAGAATGGGAAGGGGGAGTAGGGGGAGAGGGGGAGTAAGGGGAGAGGGGGAAAGGGGGAGTAGGGGGCCGTTGGGGAATAGGAGTGGGGGAACCAGGTGCAGGCGCGCGATTGCTAGCGGAGGGAGCAGGCGATCATGGGAGGAGGGACGAGGGACGCGCGCTGGATTCGGGAGCTGCATAGCGCGTGAGGAGGTGAGGTCAGAATCCAGGCGCATACACGACTGTTCAGGCGCTTAAACAGATGAGGTGAGAGAAGGCGCTTTAACAGAGGAAAGGAGAGAGGGGGAGGGGGAGTACAGAGATCGAATGATGCTCAGTACCTAGTGGCCTGCGACTTGTCGCACTCGAACGCGCTGCTTTGCGACGGTCGCCCCGCTGCGACGACGACGGCGACGCCAGCGAAGCACACGTGCGATCGCGGCGAAACCGTCCGCGTCCCCGCGACGGCCGTCAGAAGTATGCAGCATCACTAGGTAGCGCAACAGGCAGCGCAATAGGCAGCGCATTAAGCGCTAGCATTCCCCCACATCGATGACTTATACTAATATCAAGTCGACCCTCTCTAGCGTGTTTCGTGCGATCCCTCGAGACAACGCGAGGAGCGATTGACGTCACTCATTCTGCTCTGCTCTGGTGCGGCACTGATGTGCGACCAAAGGGAACTAAAGGCAAGCTTTGGCTGGAGACGAGTGTGTGACGCGACGCGGCATGCGGAACGCGCTGGCTGAGGGAAATATTTCACGACAGAACTCTGTCCAGGTGTTACACATACGAACGTTCATCATTTAACTTCACAACAAGGGAAGTTCAAAAACTATTCCTTCTTCCTATGCCTTCTAAGCTTCAAGTCAGAATAGAAACTTCTTGCTAAGCCTTCCATTCCTTCTAACAATAACTAGATACAAGTTAGAAACTTATTGCTAATAAGTCTTCTAAGCTCCCTAAGCCTTCAGTGTGAGCAGAGCAGATCCACTTGCACGTCCACAGCAGCTTGACCCTTCTTGACCGAGTGAGTCTTGTTGCGCGTCCACAGCAGCAGCTTCAAAGTCTTCTTGACCCTTTCTTGGCCGTCAGAGGCAAAAGCCCCTGACGTTACACCCACGCACCACGATGAGGTGAGGGTCATTCGCGTGGGGCCTGCTTGGGAGGGCACAAACGGTCAAAACTAAAAACACGGGTAGATGAAATGAATAAAAAAATTAACACCTCGGATCGGACGATTCTCCGTTGTTGTCAGTGTTGTCAGGATGACGGCCAGCCGTCACAAAAGAGAGGCATACCTGACCACCACCCATCCCATCGCCCACGTGATTGTGCCTAATCGAACGCGCGCTCCTAAACGTCCTGTTACACACCTCGGGTCGGACGACTCCCGTTGGTTGTCAGGTGGAGTTGCCATGATGACCCAACCCATCGCCCATGTGCATGTGCCTAATCGAGGGCCTATCGCTCCTAAACGTCCAGTACCCAACCAAACCCAAACACATCTTACATGCCTGGCGCTTGCGCTGGTTGCTCCCGCTCCCGCCAAAGCTGCAGTAAAGGGGGGGACGGGAGGGGGAAGTCAAACTCCTCCAACCTCGCTCCTTGCTCCTCGCTCCGCCTCCTCGCTCCGCTTCTCCCCACTCCACAGCCCGATAAGTCGTCGCCCGCGCGTGAGGGAGTCCGCGTTGACTAGACCTTCCTTGTCGCCGCCGACAGCGCCGTTTGCTCCCGCTCCCGGTCGTCCTGCGCAAAGAGAAAAGCCCACAACAGAAAAGGTTAGAATTTGGAAAAGGAAACCAATCGACATCGGAACTGCACCTTACCATGTAAAAGAGTTCAGCGTAGCTTGAAGTCTCGTTGCCGCCAGCGCCGCTCCCGCTCGCCTGGTCCTGCATTAAGAGAGAAAACAACGAAAAAGAAAGTAAGAATCCGGGAATTTAAACAAATCGGAATTGGAACTGCAGCTTACCATGTCAGGGAGTACGGCGTAGCTTGAAGTCCCGTTGCCGCCAGCGCCGTTCCCGCTCGCCTGATCCTGCATTAAGAGAGAAAACAACGAAAAAGAAAGTAAGAATCCGGAAATTTAAACAAATCGGAATTGGAACTGCAGCTTACCATGTCAGGGACTCCCTGGAAGCTTGAAGTCCCGTTTCCGCCAGCGCCGCTCCCGCTCCCCTGGTCCTGCACTAAGAGAGAAATCAACGAAAAAGAAAGTAAGAATCCGGGAATATAAACGAATCGAAATCGGAACTGCACCTTACCATGTAAGGGAGTTCGGCGTAGCTTGAAGTCCCGTTGCCGCCAGCGCCGTTCCCGCTCGCCTGATCCTGCATTAAGAGTGAAAACAACGGAAAAGAAAGTAAGAATCCGGGAATATAAAAGAATCGAAATCGGAACTGCACCTTACCATGTCAGGGAGTTCGGCGTAGCTTGAAGTCCCGTTGCCGCCAGCGCCGCTCCCGCTCGCCTGGTCCTGCATTAAGAGAGAAAACAACGAAAAAGAAAGTAAGAATCCGGGAATATAAAAGAATCGAAATTGAAACTACACCTTACCATGTCAGGGAGTCGGCGTAGCTTGAAGTCCCGTTGCCGCCAGCGCCGCTCCCGCTCGCCTGGTCCTGCATTAAGAGAGAAAACAACGAAAAAGAAAGTAAGAATCCGGGAATATAAAAGAATCGAAATCGGAACTGCACCTTACCATGTCAGGGAGTTCGGCGTAGCTTGAAGTCCCGTTGCCGCCAGCGCCGCTCCCGCTCGCCTGGTGCTGCATTAAGAGAGAAAACAACGAAAAAGAAAGTAAGAATCCGGGAATATAAACGAATCGAAATCGGAACTGCACCTTACCATGTGAGGGAGTCGGCGTAGTCCCGTTGCCGCCAGCGCCGCTCCCGCTCGCCTGGTCCTGCACTAAGAGAGAAACAACGAAAAAGAAAGTAAGAATCCGGGAATATAAACGAATCGAAATCGGAACTGCACCTTACCATGTAAGGGAGTTCGGCGTAGCTTGAAGTCCCGTTGCCGCCAGCGCCGTTCCCGCTCGCCTGATCCTGCATTAAGAGTGAAAACAACGAAAAAGAAAGTAAGAATCCGGGAATATAAACGAATCGAAATCGGAACTGCACCTTACCATGTGAGGGAGTCGGCGTAGTCCCGTTGCCGCCAGCGCCGCTCCCGCTCGCCTGGTCCTGCACTAAGAGAGAAACAACGAAAAAGAAAGTAAGAATCCGGGAATATAAACGAATCGAAATCGGAACTGCACCTTACCATGTAAGGGAGTTCGGCGTAGCTTGAAGTCCCGTTGCCGCCAGCGCCGTTCCCGCTCGCCTGATCCTGCATTAAGAGTGAAAACAACGAAAAAGAAAGTAAGAATCCGGGAATATAAACGAATCGAAATCGGAACTGCACCTTACCATGTCAGGGAGTTCGGCGTAGCTTGAAGTCCCGTTGCCGCCAGCGCCGCTCCCGCTCGCCTGGTGCTGCATTAAGAGAGAAAACAACGAAAAAGAAAGTAAGAATCCGGGAATATAAACGAATCGAAATCGGAACTGCACCTTACCATGTGAGGGAGTCGGCGTAGCTTGAAGTCCCGTTGCCGCCAGCGCCGCTCCCGCTCGCCTGGTCCTGCATTAAGAGTGAAAACAACGAAAAAGAAAGTAAGAATCCGGGAAAATTAACGAATCGAAATCGGAACTGCACCTTACCATGTGAGGGAGTCGGCGTAGCTTGAAGTCCCGTTGCCGCCAGCGCCGTTCCCGCTCCCCTGGTCCTGCAGTAAGAGTGAAAAAAAACGAAAAAGAAATTAAGGATCCGGGAATATAAACGAATTGAAATCGGAACTGCACCTTACCATGTCAGGGAGTCGGCGTAGCTTGAAGTCCTCCGTGCGCCGTGTGCTTCTCCTCCGTGCGCCGTGCGCCGTACTTCTCCGCCGTGCGCTGCCTCCCCGTGCGAATTTGCCAAAGGCGCCTCCCCGTGCGTCGCCATCCGTTACTCCGTGCGTCGCTGTGCTTCCCGTGCGTCTCGCTAAGACTCGCTGAAGTAATCGCGTCTCGCCAAGGCGATGGTCAATCGTCGTTAAAGGACCTGCGGGAGAAGGCAATAGATTAGTCAGCTTGTTTCCCTAAAAAGGGATTGCAGAATGAGTCGATTGTTAAAACGATGTTGAAACGATGTTGCAGAAAAGCAAACGACGCGCGATTGTGAAACGAAGCGCTTACCTCCACTGCGTCGGTGAAGATTTGTTGGCGGCGCGACGGACAGGGGAGGCGCCGCGACGAGCTTGAAGCCATGTTGACTCATAAAGGAGGAACATCGTTCCCATAAAGAGTCATCCCATACCGTCAAGATGATCGTCTGCAGAAAGAAAGTAAAGCGAGTTAGATACAAATTTAAGTAGCTGTTTACAAAACGAATAAAAGGACGGCTGCAGGAAGAAGTTGATAAACACATACCTCTACTCGACCTTCTTGCCGCATCCCGGCTCGTCTCGGAGCCACCGGTGAGCACATCTCGGCGACGACTGCGATGTCAATCCTTAAACGTGACTGCATCGTCGCTTTCGAATGGCCAAGGCGGCTCGTCATGGAAGAATCTTGGCGGCTCGCCAAGAGAAGCGTCTGACTTGCTCTTCGAGCGCCTTCCGCGAGAGAAGATGCACCCATAAACGGCAAGACGCTCGTCTGCAGGAAAAAAACATGAAACGTGTAAGAAACATTCCCAAGAGCACGTGAAACGAGATGATGAAACGGCAACAGAACTTACCTCCACTACATCGGAGATGAGAGAGGCTGCACCAGCAGGGAGGCGCCACGGGGACACCATGAAGCACGTGAAGCGTCGGCGATCGTTGCTGACTTGTCGCTTGAGTCGCTTTCGAGTCGCCGAGACGGTCGCCGAGACGGATCCATCCGCGACGCCAGTTGGCGAGTCCGTCGTTACAGGCCCGCGACTTTAGAGTCCTCACGGCTTTCATGCTTGAAGCGCCAACGGCAATGAGACGGTGAGAGCTGAAACTTGAGTTGGGGTTGGACCAGTCGGCTTCAGGTTGGCTTGAGTGCGTCCCGCTTTGCTTGGCTTACGAAGCTTGAGCTTGAAGTACCATCCGCTCTTTAGCCGCTCTTGGAGCGTAGATCGCGAAGTAATATCTCCTCCGTGGCGAGTTTCATGAAAAGATCTTGCAGAAGAAGCTCGCCATCTAGATTCTTGCAGGTTTTAAAGTAATCGCGGTGAAAAGGTTGCCGCGATAATTCCTAGTAGCACACGGTTCAGCCTTTGACACTTAGCAGCTCACTCTCTCACAGACTCTAATCTACCCACCCACCCACCCGACCTCTAATCTACCCACCCGACCTCTAATCTAACTCAACGCTGCTGTGCCTCGGGCTTCACCGTGTACCAACTAGGTGACTTCAAGAAGCTTTGCTTGCTTCGGGGAGCTTCTAGCCTGAAGTCCAAGCTCATTGGGTTGGAGCTTTCTGAGAATCCTTCGTGAGTTTGAGTTGAGAAGGATGAAAATGGACGACATTGACAGAACTTGGTTAGTCATGCTAGCAAAAGGTGGAACCTGCAACAGCAGGAAGAGGAGGCTGCTGCGGATGAATGGATGAGACTGAATTCAAACCAGCAATTCAGCCGCCATGGTGCATCCTACCGCGGCACCGGCCCAAATGTGATGGGTCAATGCAGTATGAGTAGTGGAAAGCTGAAGCATTCTCCTTGGTGCAGTGCGATGGGAAGTGGTCGACATTATTGAACTGCTCGGGTGGGAGGGAATCACTGACACTAGGCTGGGTGCGCGGTGCGACAATAAGCAGAGTGTGTTTCGAATGAATGGATGTGGTGGTGTAGCGGCCCTCAACGGTGACGATTACATCTGTTTGTGGCAAAGGATCACATCCGATGGTTGCTTTTGCCATTGGCCAATGAAATGCCCCGCCGACTAAGCGGCAGCGGACAGTCCCCGAGGGCGGGTGGCGAAGATGTTGAGGCGGCTCGATCGAAATGTGTCCCCGACGTATCCATCCAGTCAACCCATGATGTACATTCATGGTACTGTACACAAAGTTGGGTCGAATTATGTATATTGGTTGCCATTATCTGTATGTGCAAACGATTTTGCTAAGGGCGCGTATTTTTTTATGGTGGGGTTTTGTTGGACCTGCTGGTGTGCTGGGGCGCGCTCGGGCTTTCTGGGTGGTGGTTGGCGTGGCGCTAGTTGGTTCATGAGTTTTTTTAGTTCGGCGTGAGGTGCGGGACGGCTTTGGTTTGGTTGTGGGATCGTGCGTGGAGGAACTGGAAAGTTCAGTTGACTCACTATTGTGCTATTGAACCTTATTCGGGCATCTGGAAAAACAATGGGTGGATGAGACTAAATCTGCGCGAACCAATCGGAATGGTGGGTCTTTTCGCCACCCTGGCACTTCCACCACGCCATTATCAACAAACCGAACCTGGTATCTCCGAACCACCCACCCCGTGCCTATCCAGTAGAGATGCAATAGCGAGGGTGTGACCAACATTACCTCACCAAAACTGCTTTCACCAAGAGTTTCGCCGCTGATATTGTCAGGACAGATCTCAGCGTGGTAGTCGATGTTATTGCAGCACCGATTTCAGAATCATTGCACGTGTCACTGGCGTTATCGGTCTTCTTGGTGCTCGCAGAGTCAGCTCTAACATCAAACAGAGCAATAAGTTGCGAGCTCCAGATCTGACATTTTCTTTACTTGCGGATTGCCGACGGAAATAGTAACGTTCGTCCGGACAAATGATTGTCGTCGATTGCGGGCGCATCAGCAACGTAGCGCGTACCGTTGATCAAACAGGGGGTTTCGTCGACTTGGAGAGCGTCGGCGCCAGCCTGGACGCAGACGGTAAAGAATAGGACGGCAGGTGAAAGCCACTATTTGAGGGGAGAAGAGGGGAATGGACGGGCGAATGCCTCTATTTGAGGACGGAAAAGGAGTGGCGAAAGGTAACAAGGAGTGGCGAAAGGTAACGAGGAGTGGCGAAAGGTAACAAGGAGTGGCGAAAGGTAACAAGGAGTGGCGAAAGGTAAGACGGAGTGGCGACCACTTTCCCCTTATTTTCCCTTTCTCCCCTTCCAACCTCCTTCCCCCTTATCGTCGCAATTTCCTTTCCCCGAGGCTGAGAGCAGAGCAGGGGTGCCGGCAGTTCCGCTTCGACCACAATTTGTAAGGTGCGTGGCGAGTCAGGAATGAATTTCCTTTTCGCTCCCTTTCCCCCTCTACCCCTACCTAGAAACGTCATGCGTCTCTCACCTTACCCGCTCTCCCCTCATTTTGACCGCCTCATCGTTCCGCTCTCCCCTCATCTTTTCCGCTCTCCCCTCATCATCCCTGCTCACTCAACATCTTCCCCTCTCCCTCCCTATCTTCCCCTCTCTTTTCCCATTTTACCCTCTCTCCCCCGATCTTACCCTCTCTCTTCCCATCTCTCCCCCCATCTTCCCCTCTGTCCCCCCGTCTTCCCCTCTCTCTTACCATCTTCCCCTCTCTCTTCCCATCTTACGCTCTCTCCTCCCATCTTTCCCTCTCTCCTCCCATCTTCCCCTCTCTCTTCCCAAGAGGGTGAATTTCCATTGGAGTGTTTGGTCTAAGGATAAGGGGGCTGAATCTCCGTAGGTGGGTGAGTGAGAGGGAAAGGTTCTGTAACCCCTGGATGAGCGAGAAGGACGAAGGCTGATGCAAGGAAGCGGATTGAAACCCCATGGGTGGATGAGTGACAACAAAGGGGCTAAAATCCCTTTGATGGTTGAGTGGAAGGGAAGGGGGCTGAAACCCTGTTTGGGGCTCCATCGAAGGTAAGGGGAGGAGAAACCCTCCTATGGCATGGTGCAAGTCAAGTGGTGATTGGGAGGCCATGTGGCAGGGGATGAGTTCTCAAGGCGTGTGGCGGGGGACAAGAGTGGCGGCAGGGAGGTGAGGGGGAGACCACGAGGAGGGCTGGAGGGCCAGCAGGATGGAGAGCGGCTGGTAGGGTTGGCAGAGGGGTGAGAGTGGGGAATGTGGCACAGCGCCTTTACTCCCCACTGCAGCTGCCGCTCTTGTGTGCGGAGTGGCCACTGGCCATGCCATGGTGTGGCATGGCATCTGCAGAGCAATGATGATGGATGGGCCCTGAATTGGAGGGGTGTGGTACGTATGTGCGGCTATGCCACTACATGGACTCTTGAATCAACCGAGAGTTTGTTCGTACGCCACGAATGATGCGTGTGCAGTTATCATTGTTATGAAGCGAGTTTTGTTGCCTTGGCATACCATAATTGTATTATATCGTAAGTGTATTTCATGTCATATGCCAGTACCAATGTACTGTACTGTGCCTTTCATTCATAAGAAATTCAGAACATTAGGGAATCAGAAATATCTGCAGTGCAGACACCAGCAATTGGCCGCTACAGGAAGAGGACAACATGAAGAGCAAAACCTCCCTCTAGGCAAAGAATGCCAGGCCAAGAGCACAGAACGTGAAGGGTTTCAGAATAGGAACAGGTACACTCGCATGGCACCGGTTACGAAAGTATGTGTTACCTATTCTCTGCTCAGCTGCCTAACCTGCTGCAGCTTACAGCCTAGGCATGTCTTCGTATCATCTCTATTGGGATGAGGCTGGAGACGCTGCTGCAGCAGCAGCAGGAGTGTCGTCGTGTTTTGAGGCGTCTTAAAACAAGCTTGCAGCCTCGCCATGTCTTTGAAGCATCTCTATTGGGATGAGGCCGGGGACGGTGCAGCAGCAGCAGGAGGGTCATCGTGGACAGGAGCAGTGGAGAAGCGCTGCTTCCTCATCCTCTCCTTCTCCTGCATGGCCATGTAGTCTGAATGCGACAGCTGCTTCTTGCCTGGTGATGGGGAGTGGGAGTGGGAGTGGGAGTGGGAGTGGGAGTGGGAGTGGGAGTGGGAGTGGGAGTGGGAGCCGGAGTGGGAGTGGGAGGACCATCGGTGGTATGGCACGAGGTGGCAGACAACGAGCACAAGGTGACAGCTGGCACTTAGGCATGTGACAGGTGGCATGTGACAGGTGGCACGTGACAAGTTCATTCATGTGCACGGTGTCTTTTGATGTGTTGCAGAAGAAGAGGGGGCAGCAGAAGGGCAGAGACGCATGGCTGGGTGAGGATATCAGTACCAGTGGTAGACAGGAAGAACATGCATACATGGTGATTTTCCTAGGCACCTCAAAAATCACCTCAATGCAGAGAGAGGGATGCGTGGCTGGGTAAGGACGTTGGTATTAGTGGTAGAGAGGAAAAGCATGCATACAGGGTGAGACAGGGACGCAAAGAAAGGGTAAGTGTTGTTTTGGTGTGGGGGTGCAGGGTGAAGAGGGGGGAGGGGATGGGAGGGCGGGAGGGGGAGGGGGAAAGGTATGGGAGAGAAAGAAGGAGGCGAGTACAATTGTTGAGCATGTGAATGTACGCATGTGAGAGCCAGCATGAGAAGATATGCAAATGCATGCCTGAACGTGCCACTAATACAGTTGTGTTACCATATTCTTCCATACCTGCCGTCATGTAGTACCAAGGAACATAGGATAGCAGGCCTATGGCGAACAGCCCACTAAACACATGCCTGCAATGGCCCGTGCACACACAGGAGACAGATGCATGGCACCAGGGAAGTCGGGAAGGGGTAAGAGGTGACGGGGGGTTGGGTCGGAGAGAGGGGAGTGGGAGGGGGGTGGAAGGGAATATACAGGAGCCTGAAAAGGCGTTGCGAGGGAATGTGCGGGTCGGGAAATGGGGGGTGGGGAGAAGAAAAAAGTTCTTATGCACACTGCAGGAAGGGAAAGCAGGGTGGAACTGAATGGATCCGAGGAGTAGGATGAGGTTTCAAAAGTTATCAAAAGGAAAATGATTGCAAGATGAGGAGAATGATTGCAAGATGGGGCTACGACATCCTGGGAGTGAGAGGAAAAGCAGTGCGGCTTGCGGCTGGACGGAGAGGAGGCAGAGAAAACCGTACGATCTCTTCCCGCTGAATATATAAGAGAAAACCCGCGAAGGAGCGGCGGTTGCGCCTGACATAGCTGCTGCCTTGGGATCAACGGAGAGGGAGAGGCCACAGAGGGCTCAGACAGCACTGATTCTCGCTGCTATGCTGATTGTTCTGCCGCCGTTGCTCCTCCTCCTTGATGCTTCACCCACCGCTTCTGCTCCAGCCGCGAAGCACGTATGTATGTCGCTGCCACTGTCCTGATCTTCTCGAAGAATCACTCCAATGAGAATCCTCAAGAGTCACTGAAGCTGATGCTACTGCTGTAAGACGCGCAGGCCGAAACGGCAGAAGCGGTGGTACCTCAAGTGGGCGTGTACTTGGATTGACGGAGCAGCACTGAAACAGCAGCACCCTTTCTTTAGGGGCTCAAAAAAAGGGCGTGCACGTGGATCGAGGGAGCACTGGACCAGCAGCACCCTGCAATGCCGCAGCAGTAACGATCGCGATTCGAGACAACCGCACACAGGAATATCGCGCTCAGCGAGGGCGCGGCGGCGAGACAGCGGGAGAATGAGGGGGGTGATGTGGTTGGCAAAAAGGAGGAGAGAATGCTGTATATGAGCTTCCAGCTAACGAAGTTTACGCAGAAATGTCGTCTACACTTTTGAACACGAAGGGGGTGCACCGATAACAAGAACGAGTATGCCAATCGTGTGCCAATTGTCATTGTGGTATGCTTTGGCTCTAGCATGCAGAACAACCTGTACCAGCATCACTTCCTCATCAATATATGGTACGGTATTTGATGCCTCAGCAGCGGCAAATAGACACAGTTACGGTGACCTGGAGATATTTATACATATGAAGGAGACTTCGCGTAAATTTCTACGTCATGACCCATGAAATACATTCGGGCAAATATAATCCGACAGCGGTGGGTGGGAGCCTTAGGTCTGCGATGTTGCCCAAGTATTTCTGCAGTAAATCACTGGACCCACCCAGCAATGCCGCTCACTCCATTACTTCAATATTTCGCCAATCCCTGCAACACAGCGAAACGCACAGCCCATGGGAGAGTGAGAGCTTGACTTCCTTTCAGCCTTCCTTGAAAACTAAACACCGTTCCGCAAGAAACCACACGTACAGTCAAACATCCAGCCACTCATACCTCGACACGTCATCCAGGTGCTCTTCAAAATCGCATAGTCGCCACTGCCGCCCCTCCTCCAGATAGCTCTGAAGAATGCCGGCCACTGTCGCCGGCCGCACACGCATCGTTGCTGCACTTGTGCTCCCCCCTGCTACAGCCGGCTTTTGATAGCGCCACACACGGGCCGAATCACACGTGTACAGCTGGCAGTGACGAGGACAGGAGGGGGGGGGGGAGAGGGGGAAGAGGGAGGAACATATTTAAGTCAACTAATAAAGGGGGGGACCCAGGGTACACAGATGAGGAAGGGGGTTGAGAAAAAGGGAAAGGGGAGATGGGGGGAAGAAGGGGAAAAGTACGTGGTTTAAGTTATGGGGTGGAAGTGATGGGTTCAACAAGTGGGGTCCTGTCTGAAAACGCCTCGATTACATTGTGGATTCAGCATACGTGCATCAAAGTTACCCATCCCGAACAGCCACTCACTGACATTGTTGCTTAAACGGCCTCACTCACATTGTGGCTTGGGGGGGCACTCACAATGTGGCTTGGGGGGGCACTCACTCAGTGACAGTACTTTGAGCACATCATCAGTGAGTGAGCCTCCACTGGTGCTGCAGATTCACGAGGCGTCTCAAGAAACCCCTCTTATACGTTGAGGCTTCAGCGCGTCAAAGCTACTGACTGAGACTGACTCTGACTGACTGTCTGACTGACTCACTCACTCACTCACTCACTCTGACTGACTGACTGACTGAACTGACTGACTGTACCTTGAATGCATGGTGAGCCTCCACTGGTGCTGCGGATTTTGACTCTGCTTCTCCTGCCGCTCCTGCTTGCCCACCCGTGCCTGTTCCCAGCAGCTGCTGCATCACCTTGGGGTCTAGCTGGCAGGGGGGGTGGGAGGCGGGGAGCAGGGCAGAGAGGCAAGGAGAAGGGCAGAGAGGCAAGGAGAGGCAGAGAGGCAGAGAGGCAGGGAGAGGAAGGGAGGCAGGGAGAGGAAGGGAGGCAGGAAAAAGGATTTTGAGCCGACCCAAAAGTAAACTTGCTGCACCCTTGCCCGTTCCCAGCAGCTGCTGCATTACCTTGGGGGTGGTCTAGCTGGAAAATGGCACGGGCAATGGGAGGCGAGGAAAAAACAGGGGGGAAGCAGAATGACAGGTTAGGGTGGGGATTATGAGAGACAGGGGGAGAGAGGGTGGGAAAGCTTTTGAAGGTTTTTGAAAGAAAGGAGGTGGCAAGTGGATGGGAGGGAAGGGGAAGGGGACGGGGATAGAGAGGAGAGATACAGTGCTGAAGTGAACAGCCAATGATCTTCCTTCAGCTCTACTAAACCCTGTAAATCATCACCCACACCATACACCCCTGGCATGCACAGCGCCATCCCCCACGCCCTGACCATCCCCCACGTCATCCACGCGCGCACGCACGAGCAGGCAGCAGGCGGGCGGGCAGTGCTTGGCAACGCAGTCCGCCACGCGCCTCGTGCCTGGGGCGAGCTCTGAGTCGACTCAGAAACCACAAAACCACCACGGATCTCCCTTCGGCCCTACTGAGCACTGTGACCAGCACCAAACAACCACCCACAGGCATCCCCCACGCCGTTACCCATGCCACCATCTACACTCTCCCTTCACCTCAACTCAACTCCCTGCCCATCCCCCACGCCCCATCCCCATCCCAGTGCACGCACGAGCAGGCAGCAGGCGGGCGGGCAGTGCTTGGCAACGCAGTCCGCCACGCGCCTCGTGCCTGGGGCCAGCTCTGGCGCGTCCACACGCTCGTTGGCTGCGTACACGCCCACCACCACCATGCCGCGCGATACCGCGTACTCCTCAGCCTGCCGTGGTTTGGGAAATGGTGCAGAGTGGGTGTTGAGCGCACAGCACAGCATGTAGCAAGGGGTGTGGCACTGGCGCGTCCACGCGCTCGTTGGCTGCGTACACGCCCACCACCGCCATGCCGCACGATGCCGCGTACTCCTCAGCCTGCAGCGGTGGGGTAGACGGGTGGATGGGCACAAGGGACATGGGTACGCTGGTGCCCGGGGCCAGCTCTGGCGCGTCCACGCGCTCTAGTCGGATCAAACTAGAGGGAGGGGAGTGAGCGATCACGATCGGCCATAAATGTCCCACTCTCGCTACTACTTCTGCGAATTCTCAGAAGCCGCTCTTGGCAACTCTCACAAGCGCCGCTACTTCCACAGCCCATACCCATCCTTCCCTCTCCAGAAACGCCCCTTCCCTCCAGCTTCTGAAGCGTCTCAAATGAAACCTCACCCAACCACCCTCGCTTGTCATGACTCGCCCTGACACCTCACTCCGCAGCCCTGATCGCCCCCTCGGCCCCTCTACTGCTTTCTCAGATAATCCCTCTATCTGAATAAGCGCCATTTCCGCTGTACCTGTGCGCGCGCCAGCTCCGCTGTACCTGTGCGCGCGCCAGCTCCGCTGTACCTGTGCGCGCGCCAGCTCCGCTGTACCTGTACGCGCACCACTCCCACTGTACCTGTGCGCGCACCACTCCCACTGTACCTGCATGAGCGCGAGTTCCAGCATCGGCAGCAGAAGGCAGCCATGGAATAAAGGCACCGCGTCTTCTACCTCTACCTCCATCTTCCCCGTGCTCCCGCCAGAGCTCTCCGCGTCCGCCGCTCCTCCGCTGCCATTCTTGCCCCCCGATCCTCCGCCGCTGCTGTCGCCGCGCACTTTGCCTATTAGGACGCCGAGAACCGGTGCGTACGGGAACTTGATCGAGTGCAGTGATGCCTTGATGTACGCATGCTGGGATACAGTGTAGCTCATCGAATTTCGCCTTATAACGAGCCTGGATTTGTTTGTAACGAATAAGATCCCACAAACAGATTGGAATCGAGGTTTCCAAATATGATCACGGCGGCTGCAGCCCCACAGTAACGAAACTCGAGACAGCCAACAACGCGGACGGATCGGCTGGAAATTCTCAGAACATGCCCGTACTACCAACAGCTCGTGACGTGGTGAGGAAATGGCGGCGGCGGTAAATCTCCTCTAATCTCTGCTCTAACCGAACAAGTGACGGAAACGCGGCAGCGGGCAAGCAATATAACCCTGGAGAACCAAATCCCTGGAGGAGGAATCGATGAGCATACAAGTCTCAAGTAACACCTGATCGACTGGATCTGGAAGTGTGAGCCTGCGAGCCGAAACACGAACAGGGTGGAAAATATGAATGTTGGCTTTGCAAGGGGTTGGCCTGTTTGCCTGTGCGAGGCTGTGGTGCGGTTCTGTGTTGTGCAGCGACCAGGGCGGAGGTTCCAGTTCGATCGCGCTGTAACGGTGTTGGATGCGTTTCACTTGGGTGAAAAGTAGTAAAGAGACTTTTAGCGTGGTGGCGAGTGAACCTTCGCCATCGTTACAGATTTCTCGGTGCCAATGGTACAGTGTACTATTATTATACCGGTGATAAACAGACGTCAGATCAAGACATATTGCAGATAGTTGTCTGCCTTTTCAAGGCAGCAACATTACAGAGATCTGCAAACCATTCTAAACGAAAATCAGCAGCACAACAAATCCAAAAAATGGTAGCGTTTAACAATCACCCAAATAGTCAGCACCACTTTCCAACCACAAGCAGCCCTAGAAACCATCCCCCAATAAAGGTCATCCACCCATGCCACATCAAAAGGAACATCTACCGTAAAAGGCTGAGCACTCTAGCTGGCAACCTTATTCCCAGAGACAACAAGAGGCCCAGCCTTCTCCTTCCATGCCAACTCAATACACAACGCCTGGAGACCCTCCTTCCCCTCCACTGCAACCCTACCCCTCCCCTCCTCCCCTCCCCCTCCCCAAAACCCACCGCTCAAACAGACACAAGAGAAAACATGGGGATATGGAGCAGAGACCAAGAAAGCCCACTGTTTCCCAGCAACAACACCCCAAAACAAGGTTAGTGAGATTAGCATTAGCATAAATAGTCTGCCACCACCATCATTGAAACCACCCCAACCACCATACCACCCCCCCTCCCCTCCCTCCCTCGATCCCCTCCCTCCAGACACCACCCCCCTAAAAAACCTCCCCTTGGTCCTCCTGCGTCGCCTCGCCCCTTCCTCACACCGCTTCCACCCACACACCCACTGACAACCCCCAACTGCTCAATACACCTACCCCATGCCCTTTTGATGACGGTGGCGTCTGCAGCACTCCACGCACCACAGCCAGCGCTGACTCAGGGGTCCACTCAAGACGCACCAGCCACACGCCACCCCCTGCACTGCACCAGCCACACACCACAGCCACAGCCAGCGCTGACTCTGGGGTCCACTCAAGACGCACCAGCCAGATGCCACCCTTCGGGCTGCACCAGCCATACACCACAGCCACAGCCAGAGCTGCACCAACAGCCACACGCCACCACCAGCAACGCTGAACCACCACACGCCACCGCAAGCGCCGAACCACCACACACCACCACCAGCAACGCTGAACCACTACACTTCACAGCCAGCCAGCTAGCCAGCCAAACAGGCAGCCAGGCAGGAAGTCAGAACCGCACGGTCCTCATGACTCGTTGATCTTGTCTCCTATTTCTTCACAAGTATGCGGTATAAAGCCGTGTCCCCGTATAAACGACACTTGTTGGGTGCAGCAGCAGAAAGAGCAAAAACCAGGGTAAGGGGGGAGGGAGGCACGCAGGGTACAAGCCAGACCTGCAAGCCCGCAGGTTCATCATGCGCTACCCTGACCCGTTATCCTCCGTATAAGATGACTCGTTTCCCGGTTTCATTCGTTCATGGGACACCACAGCTGCACCACGTCCTCTGTGCATTGGAGATGGGCCATTTCCTCCTCGTCCTTGCCCCTCCCACCACCGCTCCTGCCACCACGCCTACCACCACTGCCATTGCCACCACTGCTGCTGCCATTGCCCCCGCCATTGTCACCGCCGTTGCTGTTACCCTGCTCGGTATCATTCGTTGCAGGGTTACCAGGCGCAGGCTGGGAATTGGTTGAACTGGCAAGAGCAGCAGCGGCACCACTAGCAGCAGCTGCCCCAGCGTCTTCTCCTCCAGTAAGAGCAGGAAGAGGAGGAGTACCACCACCAGCAGCAGCAGCAGCAGCAGCAGCAGCAGCACCAGCAACAGCAACAGCTGAAGGTGCAGGAGAGGCAGCGGCAGGGACAGCACCAGAAGCACCAGGACAGCCACCATCACCACCAGCAGCAGAGGCGGCGGCGGCAACAGTAGCGGCTACTGCCTCTGTCCCTCCGACTTCCATCCCTTCATCCTCAGTTCCTCCCAGGCAGCGTCCCTTGTTTGACCCATCAGCCATCACTGCAGCACCAACAGCAGGCGCTACTGTACCATCACTACCACCATCACCACCAGCATCGCCACCAGCAGCAGCAGCAGCACCACCATGCATAGTATTAGCCGCCGGCGCTGATCCAACATGTGTTGGATCGACGGGCGCACGTGCAGGCACAGGCACGGTAGCAGCAGCAGCAGCAGCCACAGCAGCAGCTGCTGAAGCCGTGCCAGTAGCAGCAGCGGTGGCAGTGGCAGCAGCAGCGGGCTCGAGTATAGAAGACGTTGTGTTGGGAGCGCTCAGAAGCATGCTCCCCGATCGGCACACCACCACTGTATCGCCCATACCACCCCCTTCCTCCTCGCCGTCTCCACCCATCCCTCCTCCACACACAAGAGCATCCCCATCGCCATCCCCATTCCCATCCCCATCCTTATTCCCATCCTGTCTCCTAACCCCATCCCCACGCGCAGCCCACTGTGACTCGCTCCTCATTCCAATTCTTTCCCCATCCTCTTCCTTCACCCTTTCTCTGGCATCCCCACCACCAGCCTGGTATCCATACGCAGGCTCACCCTGTTCTCCCCACTTCGCACCGTCCACAGCCATAGCACCTTGCCCCCCACCCTCCCCACCCGCTCCTGCATCCCCTGCTCCCCCCATTCCCCCCATTCCCCCCATCCCCCCCATCCCGCCCATTCCCCCCATTCCCCTCACGTCCCCCATCCCGCCCATACCCATTGCCCCACCAGAGACATGCAGGGGGGAAAAGAAATCCTCCTCTCCCCCCATGCCGCCTGCGCCGTCCATGCCGCCCATGCTGCCGCCCATTCCGCCATCATTGTCTGGCAACCATTCCAGCACTTCTAACTCCTGAAGCTCCAGATCGTGCACTGTAGCAAGCCCTGCGTCCGTCCACGTGGCACCCACCATCTCCGCACCCCCGCCCATCATGTAGTCCACGTCAGCATGCGGGAGAGGCGCGGGGGAGAGGTGGAAGTGCGGGGGACGGGGATGGGTCGGAGGGGTAGAGGCGACAGGAGTATTGATCGCTCCTGGGAAGGGAGGAGCTGCAGGGCGGAGGGGAGGAGAGGCATACGAAGCAGGGGTAAGAGCAGCAGGGGGAGTGGCAAGGGATGCAGGAGCAGGTGGGAAGGAGGAGGGTGGGAAGTTGTTTGCAGGCGCAGAAGAAGGAGCAGGGGGAGCGGCAGCAGCGGGAGCAGCGAGAGCAGCGAGAGGGGAAGGAGGAGGAGGAGCAGGAGCAGCAGGAGCAGCAGGAGCAGCAGGAGCAGCAGGAGCAGCAGGAGCAGCAGGAGCAGCAGGAGCAGGAGGAGCAGCAGGAGCAGGAGGAGCAGCAGGAGGAGGGAGAGAGGTGAAGGGCTGCTGTGTACGAGCAGCACTCTCGAGATTCACAACAGCAGCATTCCCAGTCAAAGGCTGCTGCTGCTGCCCTTGACCCTGCGCTTGCCTCTGCCCTTGCCCCTGTACTTGCCCCTGCGGTTCATTCCCCTGCCAGTTTCCCTTAGTCTCGCCAGTAGCAGGTGCGCATGGGGAGTCATCAGCAGCAGCAGAAGCGGCAGGAGGAGTTGGATGAGGAGCGGGAGAGGGAGCAGCAGAAACAGGGGGAGGAGGCAGAGGAGGGCGGGTGGGAGTGGACAGGGGTGCGACAGAGGTGCTGCTACAGCGAGGGAGATCATTGCTTGTAACGGGACCAGCAGTACCGCCGCGAGCAGAGGAGGAGAGAGGGAGCGAACCAAGGGCAAAACTACCCCCACCACCACCACCAAGGGGAGCAACACCAGCAGCAGGGGCAGGGGCGGAGGAGGCGAAGGGGTCCCCGTGTTGCTGGCTGTGCTGGTGCTGGGAGAGAGGGGGTTGCATGGTGTAGGTGTAAGAGCTGTCACACACGGACTCGGATTTGTGAAGAGACGAGAGGTTAGCGGGAGGGTTGACAAGGGAGAGTGAGTGGGAGCGTGGAGGAGCGGAGGTAGCAGGAGGAGCCATTGGCGATCTCTCTTGCTGCTGGAACTGTTGCTGCTGCTGCTGCTGCTGTTGCTGGTACTGCTGTTGCTGGTACTGCTGCTGCTGGTACTGGTGCTGGTGCTGCTGCTGCTGCTGGTGCTGGTAATGCTGCGGCTGCTGCTCCTGCTGCTGACGCTGCTGGTACTGCGGCTGCTGCTGCTGCTGCTGCTGCTGCTGCTGCGGTTGCTGCTGCTGCTGCTGCTGCTGCAGCTGCTGCTGTTGCTGCTGCTGCTGCTGCTGCGGCGGCTGCTGCTGCTCGTACTGATTCGGGAATTGATGGCTCTGCATAATAGGCATGTTCTGAAGTTGCTGCTGTGCCAATTGCTGGGACGGACCCGTCAATTGCATATGCTGCTGCGGCTGCTGTCCTGACTGCACCATCGCATTCACGGGAGAGCTTGGCATAGTGCAATGCTGCCTGCTCAAAGGGGAAGGCGAGTACTGCTGCTGCTGCTGCTGCTGCTGCTGCTGCTGCTGCTGCTGCTGCTGTTGCTGCTGCACCTGCACCTGCTGCTGCACCTGCTGCTGCACCTGCTGCTGCTGGGGCGGCAGCTGCATTGGCGACGGTGGCGATGGTGACGCGCCTATCTGCTGCGGCTGTTGCTGCTGTGGGACCAAGGTGGGTGAACCATAAGCCTGCTGCTGCGCCTGCTGCATCTGCATCTGCTGCAACTGCGGCTGCTGCTGAGGCTGCTGCTGCTGCACCTGCTGCGTCTGCTGCTGCTGCGGCTGCTGGTTCTGTTGCTGCTGTTGCTGCTGCTGCTGTTGCGAGCCTTGCGTCAGCGGGTTACCACCATATCCCCTTGGCTGACCCAGCGCATTCCCTCCTCGGTAAGGAGACGACACCCCCCCACCCACGTCCATCCCTCCCGGGCCTACCCCATCCATGACCGTACCCCCTCCCTCACTCATCCCACCCATGCCACACTCGTTCCTGGCCCCATACGCTTGGTTTCTCCCGCGGGGTGCGCCATCCGCGTTATTGGCGTTCCCGATAACGTGGCTCACGGCGGACGGGCTCGCTTGCATCTGGCTCGGCATTCCCAAGGTCACGCTGGGTGCGGCGCTCATGCTAGGCGTGCCACTCCGCCCCGGATCCGTAAAGTACGTGTTTGATTCGCTCGGCGCGCAGCTCACCCGCTCCCCCGCTCCGCCGGTCTCCCCCGCGCCCCTGCTGCTTGCGCCCCTCCCCGCCATTCCAGCCCCACCAGCGGGGCTGCCGGCAGCAGCAGCCGCGCCCGCGGCGGGTTTAGCGGCGGATAAAGCGGTAACCTTTCGGTGCGCGATATTTGAGAGCCGATCCACCCATCCCAACCCCTCTGGCAGCAGTCGCGGTGACATTATCGTCGCAGGCAGCGGCGGAGACGGCGCCACGGGCGGCGCAGCCATAACCGCCGCAGCGGGGGACGCCTTCGGTGACGGTTGCTGGCCGGCGGAGGGCGGAAAAGTAAGCGGTCCGGGGGACAGGGGCACACCCCATTGGGGGGCGGGAGAAGGGGGAAAGCTGGGGTCGCGCAGTGCGCCAGTCTGCGGCGTCCTTCCGCCCGGCGCGAGCGCCGCGGAACCGACTCCGCCGCCGTCGACATCCATGGCGGAGGGCGGAGGCGCGCCGTCCGGGGGGGGAAGGACGTCCTTAGTGAGCGCGAGGCGCGGCGCGCTGAAGCTGCGCTTGAAGTTGCCTTTCTTGGGCGGCATGGCGGACCTATTACTAGCCTTGGCCGACGAGTGCGTGAGCGAAAAGCTCTGCGACTTGGTCAGCTGCTGCGGCGACGACTGCTGCTGCTGCTGCGGCGACAGCTGCTGCGACAGCTGCGACGGGTACGGCGACTGATGCTGCGGCGGGTACTGCGACGGTTGCTGCTGCTGCTGCTGCTGCTGCAGACAGCAGCGGCGACGGCGACGGCGTGGACGACAACGGCGACAGCAACGACGACGACGACGGCTGTCGCGTCGGGACGCCGTAACCCAGCTGCGGGGGACGCGCGACGAGCGGGGAAAGCACTCCGGGGGACATGCTTAGCCCCATAAGCCCCAGAATCTTCGCCCCGCGCTGCCCCACCGGCGGAATCATGCTTGCGCCGCCCGCGGCGGGGAGGACATGCGCGCCCAAGGGGGTGGGGAGAACAGGCCGGATCCGCGGAGCGAGGGGGAGCAGGCGCGGGGAGGAAGCGGTCGTGGCGAAGCTGCCGGATTTGCGCAGCTGGTTGGGGGAGCGGGGGGACGGCGGAGGGGCGACGGAGGGCACTCCGGAGCATGAGATCGAGCGCTGGAGAGGAGATCGGACGGTCGACGGCGGCCGGGAGACGGGCGATCTGTCGACCAGCTGCAGCTGCTGCGGCGCCTGTCGCGACTGTCGAGACTGCTGCTGCGACTGCTGCAGCGGCGACTGTAACGATTGTAGCGGCTGTAGGGGGTGCGGGAGGTTCTGGGTACTGCCGGGAGACGCGGTTTCATCGACGGTAGGCAGCGCGGTTCGCGCCGTGGGGCTGGGAGTAACGGGCGGCTTGGTGACGGCGAGAGACGCTGTAGGCGTGCCTAGCGCGGTCGTGTGCGGGATTAGAGGGGCGGCGGGTGACGCCGGAGACGCCGCTGCCGCCGCCGCCGCCGCTGCTGCTGCTGCTGGTGCTACTGCCCCTGCTCCTGCGGCTGCGGGGGCGGTTGCTGGCGACGCGGATGCTGTCGGCGCATTTCCACTCTGCGCTGCGAGCAACGGCGACGCGGTAGCAGTAGCAGCAGCAGCACATGTCGCCGTCGCCGCCGCCGCCGCCGCAGCAGGCGCTGACGCCACGACTACCGCTGGAGCCGATGCATCGCGCATCGGCAGCATTGCGCGGCAGCCGTCGTCGCTGGCGCCGTCGCCGCAAGCACTGACCCCAAGCATGGACTCTGGCGGTCCGGATTCAGCCCGCTGGTGGATCTCCGCGGAAGGCGGAAGAGGAGCGACGGAAGCTTCCGCGAAGGAGAGACCCTGGATTGGCTTCCATCGCCCGCCGCCGCCGTCGCCCCCGCCGCTGCTAGCGGGAAATGAAGGCGGTGCTGGCGCGAACGGCTGGGATTGTTGCTGCAGATTCGGCTGCTGATTCGTCGGCGGATTCGGCTGCTGCGGAGGCGGCGGCCCCTGCGCGGGTTGCGCTTGGTGCTGCATAGGATTCGTCGAGCAGGGTGCTTGTGCCTGCGACTGAATCTGCGACTGATTCTGCGACTGAATCTGCGACTGAATCTGCCGCTGTAGCGGCAGTTCGCTGCAGATTTTCTTGGCGCTCCAGGAGGTGCAGAGAGGGCCGTCGGCGCATTGAGGTGCAGGGCCGCTGTAGATATAAGAATGCTGCTGCTGCTGCTGCTCTGGATGGTGCGAGTGAAGGGGAGGAGAGTTGAGCAGTGGCGCTAGCTGCACTGGCGACGGCGAATCCTGCGGCGGAACAAAACAGAACAACAAAAACAATAACAGAATGGGTGAGGGTCAGGGTTTTCACTTCAGAGGAAAAAAAGTAGAAAAAGAGGGATAAGGGACAAGGAAGTCCAACCGACAAACAGATTGAGGCAGGGCCTGACCATTAGAGGAGCCGGCTTGAGGTCAACGTCTCTCGACGGAGTATCTACCGGCGGCTGGCCGTCAGATCCTGTGTCCATTGGACCGCTCAGGCCGGCACCGCTTCCCGATGCGCTCGTCACCGCGGCCGCCGCCGGCGCCGCAACAGGCGGGGCTGGGGGCGAATGCGCGTCGCAGCAGTCGCGCGATTCGGCTTGGCGCTTCCGCTTGCCGTTGGGGCTGCGACCGCGACGGAGCGCAGATTCGCAGAAATGCGAGCCGAGTCGATGAGAGAGGTAGTTAGGGAGATGGAACAGCAATGAGGAGATTACGGTAGGGGAAAACGGGAGGAGAATGCTGAGGATTTTAAGGCGGTTGCTTTGGCAAAGATAGGGGAAAGGATGAGAGAGGATCTAAGATCACATGCTTTCAGGCTATCAACGTCGTGTCCTTACCTTGTGCAATCGATAGGATTCGTCGGTTCTGAGGATGTTGCGGAAAGCTGCTGGCTTTCTCTTCCCACCGCTGCGACCGGCTCAGTCGGATTCGCCTGTTTTTTCAGAGTTACTTGTTCGCCATCCGCAATGGTAACCATTTCGTTGCATTCCGTCATGGGATGATCTCGAGCAGCGCTTCCCTGATTCGGATCCGGGCTGGGGAGCGCGAGATGCGGCAGCTGCGATCGACCAGCCGCATTGCTCGCCGCGAACCTCGGCACGGGGGGGGTGTGCGGGGAGAACGGGGAAGCAGCGCTTGGGATCGCGACAAGCGCAGGCGAGAGCGGCGGGGACTTGGACTGCAGAAGCAGCGCTTGCGCCGGGGAGTCCCACCTAGAAAGGGCTTTCTGAGAAATGACTTGCTGGAGGGATGACGAATACTGGGATCCGGTAGGATGGGAACCGGCGGGTCCTGACGTTTTTGACGGGCCGGCTTGCGGAGGAACGGTCTCTGATAATAATGAGCTCGATGGCCGGTTGTTAAGCGGCGAAGACATGGATTTGATACGCGGTGGCGCGGCGCAAGAGACGGCGCGGGACTCGGGGACGGTGGTGGTGGTGTTGGTGGTGGTATTGTGGCTGACGTTGATGGATCCTGGGCTGTTAGTGGGAGATTGTATGCACTGGAACGGAGTGGATGGGCTGATCACAGAGGCCATTTACGGGGAGATGAATAGATAAATAGATCCGACGGCTGTGCAATGCGAGAGTGTTGCATGCCGTAGAATGCGCTGGTTTTCACAATGAACGAAGTATTCTAGGCTCACGGATTTCAAAGGTTACATGAGAGGGTTAGCACCCTTCCGCGGGTTTGGATCTAGTCATTAGGCGGCGCACCTAAGCCTTCTAGAGCGCTTAGCTGATCGTCACGCATTGCAGATCTAAGGGCCTAGAAAGCGGATTAGTGATGGAAAAGGCAAGTAATGCCACACATTGCCATATGTCTGGCGGAGAAGCAGGGGCAGGCAAGGCGTCAATTTGTGTGGAGTGGATTGAAGAGGTGCTCTTGATGGGCGGTGGTTTGCCCAAAAAGCCGCGGAATCCGGGGAGGAAGTGAAGAGTGTGGTGGAAAGGCCTCCATTGTTTCCACCAGCTCTGGCCAGATCAGCGCAATTGTTGGGGGGCCAGAAAAAGGCCGCTGGTGGGAGGATCCCGAGGAGGATGGCCTCGAAGTCTTCTCGTCGCGTAACCTAACGCGAACAGCACAAGACCAATGGACAGAGGGGTAAACATAGCAGAAGGTAGACAGGCACTCTCTAGGGCGCCTGGCCAGAGCCGCGTCCGTCAACAGATCTCGTCGTCCGTCCGTCACCGTTCGCCACCCCTCGCTCTTCTCTGTCCCGTCCCGTCAGATTCTAGCGAATTGCGGGCCTGCCGCCTCCCGTGACCACACGCGATCCCTACATCTCAGCCTCAGATCTTGACGACCCCCTCGTCCAAGTGCGGACTGGCATCGAATCGCGTGCAGCAATCAGGGTTCAGGACCCATCTAGCGGTTCGGGGTGCGCTGGTTGTGGTGTGGCGGCTGCTCCTCAGAAATTGCCCTGATTGGAGGAGTTGGTGACGAGGCCTTGAGCGCCTAGAACAGCCCGCCATTCAAGCCAAGGGAAACTTGGCCAATGCCAGGCGACGGCTGTGACATGTGCTGACAGAAGCATGTGGATGCTAGTGCTAAAAATGTACGGGTATTTATTATATCCTGCCCTCGTGAACGCCGAGAGAAGGTGCCAAGCAGGTACTTTTCTGTGTAGTTTAGGTTCCCGAACCCGTAAGGTCTCACTTCAACCTTCATGAGAGACAAATCGCTGGTGGGTTTGGGTTGCGATTTTGAGCACTCCAAACAACGGAAGTCTAAGTGGTGTTTGAATTCGGAATTCCCTTTTCGCGGGTACTAGACGTGGATTCTTGCTCATGTCAACAACGCAATCGTGGAAAAACAACGTGCAAATGGTTGGCTCACTCTCCTGAGATTCGGCGCAGATCGAGGAGACGAGCCTGCTCGACACGCAAGCAGGCGCCCGAAGCTGTAGGCTTGTGAAATCCGAACCTCAGACACATCAGGCCAGACATGAGGTGCCACCACAGCGCGCCAAGCAACACCCGACAGTACGATGTCCAAGTGGCGGCTGGGAAGGAACAAGCACAGCGGCAGGGTCAGGAAACTTCTCTGTGATCTCGACCTCATCCACAAGGCCAGCAGCCCTCAAACCCAACAACACAGAACCTTGGAACTTACAGCTGTGGTCTCACACAAAATGGCAGGATACAGAAAAAACGACAAAGACAGGAGGGTGATATTTAGGAGACAAAAAAAAAAAAATGTTCATGCTCCAGGCTATCTGTACCCTGGATTTATGAACCACTCGGAAACCCTTCTCACACCTGAGCCTCCCTACATTAACGACAACGTGTAGTGGAACACGTGGGGGTCACAACCCCGATGCTGATGTCAGCAAACCACTTGCAGTTATCCCCGCTAATCACGGGCAGCCTTTCCAATCGAGCCCTTTGTTGTTGAGGGTCACCCCATTGTACCACATTTGACAATACCGGACCAAACCCAAACCAAAACGCATCGGCGCGGAAGCTCCGTACCAGAACTCCCCAGAAGCAGCAAATCGATACACCAAGAAGCAGCTGACACGTGGATCTTGCCCAGTAAGTGTGACTATATTGTGCGGTACAGCAAAAAGGATCCATCTCTGTACATAGGCGCGAAACATCTCTACGTGTCAATGCGTGTTATATGAACATCACAATTCTATGCACTAAATTACCCATCTATTTTTCTATCAAGGGGACTATTATGTCATTCAATATCTTGTTTATACCATTACTGTACATTCTGACTAACACATTTAATGGTGGTGGTTGTCAGATTGTTGCTTGGCATACACGTGCAACAATGCCATCAAAAGAGCGACACTTAAAGCCATGCATGCACATCCTGTATGCACTGGGTAGAATCCCGCATCCGGTGGTAAGTCATGTTGATGTGAGGGTAACCAGTTGGCGAATTATTATCCCCCCTCGCAATTCATGTCAAGAAGCCCAAGTTGGGGCACCAGTGCTGGGATGGGCCTGGCTGGGCTGAGTCTTTTACCCTTGTTCCCATTCCTAAGCCTAAAATGGTACGGACACCTCAACAGCCAAAGGGAAACTACACCACTTCCTGCCTACAATCCCATCTGCTACGGCAGTTAATGCGTTGCGGCACTGCATTGCCGTGAGCTACTGAGCCTGGGCGGAGCGGGTCCTGTGTCTGCATGTGCACGACTGGCAAAGGGGGCAACAGAAGGAGGAGAGAAGAATTGCATGTTACTGGAACTGAGGGGCTGTAGGAAGCTGCTGCTGACAAGGAGCAGAGCGCGGCACAGCTGAGCACAGCAGAGCACAGCAGAGCACAGCAGAGCACAGCAGAGCACAGCATGGCACAGCAGAGCACAGCACAGGACAGCACCGCTTGCCGTGATTCAGCACAACATGAGACTTGGCAGGAGAGTATGCTTTGAGTGCGGACAGCATTGAGAGTCTGAGGAAAATGTAACGAGCCAGCATGATACACTGTGATTCAGGAGGAGATTTGAGAAGATACGTGGGTGTGGTGTGTGGTAGTAGTGAGAATAACAGATTGGCATGATACAACAGTGAGACGGACAAGAGGGCGGGCACATTGTGATGGGACGGGACGGGACGGGAATAGTGACATGGCAGAATGTTTGAGGCGCCTTAGAAATGGAAGCACACATTGTCATGGGACGGGAGTAGCGATACGGCCAAAGTTTCAAGGCGCCTCAGAAATGAAAGGGCGCATTGTGACGGATGGGGTTAAAGATATGCTCTTTTTTTTTTTTTTCCTTTTTTTATTTTTTTTTCAAAGATGCTTGATTCTGCTGTGCTCCTCTTTGTGGAGCGTAGAAAGCATTACGATGGGCCGGTTAAGCAGACATGCACCGCCTCTGACGCACCACCATACATACCACGTACCAGCCTTTGTGATTGCCGCTCGCCCTGTTTCATCCAGTAGTTTGTATGCCACTCTGCTCGCACATGCATATATGCATGCATTCACATATGCACACATGCACACGTGCACACAAACGCACACACAAACACATGCACATGCACTCACACACCCGTGCCCACACCCACACATTTACACCCACACATATGCCCATGCACACACTCACACACACACGCAAAGCAGACGAGAATTGAGACGAGTGCAAGGGGGGAAGGGCAGAGAATTATCCCCAGCTTTATCACCCCCTCAACCCATCACCTCAGCATCCCAGCATTCCATCACCAAGAAACACCACTAACAGAGTAGGCTAATCAGGAGTACCGCTCCCAAAGCATTTCGCATCAGCACCATTAACAGAGTAGGCAAGTAGGCTAATCAGGAGTACCAAGAAATGGAACCAACCCACCACAGAGCTAGATGGCAATGCCTCCGTATTTCTCAAACACCGTAAAGCATACCTCCAATGCTGCCCCTCCGCCCTGTTGCCTCTCCTCCCCGCCTTGCTCCGACACCCCCACCACCTCACCCCCCGCTCCCGGCTGCCCTTGCTGCCCTTGCTGCCCCTGCTGCCCCTGCTGCCCCTGCTGCCCCTGCTGCCCCTGCTGCCCCTGCTGCCCCTGCTGCCCTTGCTCCTCCCCCTGCTGTCCCGCATCTAGCGGACCCCCCGCAATAACCTGCTGCCCCATCTGCTGCTGTGCCTGCTGCCCCATCTGCTGCTGCTGCTGCTGCATTAGCAGATGCTGCTGCTGCATCTGCACCTGCTGCTGCTGCATCTGCAGTTGTTGCTGCAGAGCCAGGGCATGCTGGTGGGGCATAGCAGACATAGCTGGGAGTTGTGCTCCCATGCCTGGATGTGCGTATGCAGCAGCGGGAGCAGCACCGTACATGTTGTAACCTGCTGCTGCAGCGTAACCCATGTACGCTGCTGCTGCGGCTGCTGCTGCTGTTGGGTCCTGGGGTAGGCCGTACGCTGCTGCCGCCTGGGGGAACAAACGGAAAGAAAACGTAAAGGTGAGAGACACTTGTAAAGAAAGAATCTGGGTTTGAGGCGCTTCAAGACTAGACTGCTGTTGGGTCCTGGGGTAGTCCGTACGCTGCTGCCGCCTGAAAGAGCAAACGGAAGACAACAGAAAGGTGGGAGACACTTGCGAGAAGTCTCATAAGAGAAGGCGGGAGAGGGGGTTCTTTTAACCGCTTGCTCTCCATTTGTCATGTGTGATACGGGTCGTTTTCCGAAATGACAAGCAATGATCACGTATTAATGACCAAACAATGACACACAATAAATTGACGCACCTGGGAATCGAACCCTGCAGCGTTGGGATCAAACGCCCCTGGAGGTGGGCCGTACTGGGCTGGGTAGAACCCAGCAGCAGCAGCAGCAGCAGCAGCCACCTGTTGCTGCTGTTGCTGCTGCTGCTGCCCCCATGCTGCCGCGACTGCCATGTTGGGATCTGTTGCTGCTCCCCACATCTGTTGATGCTGCTGCTGCTGCTGCTGTTGCTGTTGCTGCTGCTGCTGTTGCTGCTGCGGCTGCTGCTGTTGTTTCTGCTGCTGGCCTCCTGAGGACTGCTGCTGGGGCCGCTGGTGGGTGGTAGAGGGGGGAGGGGATGGGGGAAACGAAGGGAGGGACGTCGAGAGAACAAGGATGAAACGAGTTTTGAGGCACCTTACCTACCACCCTTACTTCACCTCAAGAGAAATGTGACAATTTCTGGGGCGCCTAAAAAAAAAAGGCACATTGCACACATGTGAGCGGTGACTATGGGAATGACTTGTGAGTCGACTCAAAAGTCAGCATGTGAGAGGTGACTAAGGGAATTTCAATATCACCTGGCCCAGATGACTCTTGAGTCGACTCACAAGTCACTAAAAGAAACTCACTGCACCTGGCCCAGCACCTCTCACGCGTCCCCCACGCCCTCACCTTCCCCCACGCCCTCACCTTCCCCCACGCCCCCCTCACCTTCCCCCACGCCCCCCTCACCTTCCCCCACGCCCCTCACCTTCCCCCACGCCCCTCACCTTCCCCCACGCCCCTCACCTTCCCCCACGCCCCTCACCTTCCCCCACGCCCTCACCTTCCCCCACGCCCCTCACCTTCCCCCACGCCCCTCACCTTCCCCCACGCCCCTCACCTTCCCCCACGCCCCCCTCACCTTCCCCCACGCCCCTCACCTTCCCCCACGCCCCTCACCTTCCCCCACGCCCCTCACGTCTGTGTTGTGTGCACCCTCCTCACCTTGCCGGTGGGGTTCCTTCCCCAAGACAGCCGCGCTGCCTGCTGCCCGATCATGGTGCCGTGCACGCTGCGAATGGCCTCCTCTGCGTGTGCTCTGGTGGGTGCATGAGACGAGAGGGGGGAAGAGTGGGGAGAGGATAGGGGGAAAGGAGGGAGGGGACAGGTGGGAGAGGAAAAGAGGTTGGGGTGAGGTATGCTGGCCGATCATGGTGCCGTGCATGCTGCAAATGGCCTCCTCTGCGTGTGCTCTGATGGGTGCATAAGGGGAGGGAGAGGAGGGGGAGGAGAGGGGAGGGTAAGGTCGGGAGAGGAAGAGAAGAGAGGTTGGTTGAGACCTGCTGGCCTGCTCGTTTGCTGGTCTGCTGGTCTGCTGGCCGATCATGGTGCCGTGCACGCTGCAAATGGCCTCCTCTGCGTGCTCTCTGAGGGGAGGGAGAAGAGGAGGAAAGGGGGAGGAAGGGAGAGGAGAGAGGGGAAGGGCAAGGGAGGAAGCGAGGCTTGCTGAGTAGGACGAGGCAAGAAGCTCCGGGAACTAATTTTCAGTTGACTCAAGACCCGGCAAGAAGCTTCCGAAGCTCCAATAGAGCACCTGGCCAGGTGATTTCCCAGGCGCCTCCGAAACTCCAGATAGAGAAGCTGGCCAGCACTGCTCTCTACCTCTCGATCTCTTCACCCTTGCTGAGAATCCTTACAGAAGACTCTCGAATCTGCTGAGCAGCACCACTCTCAACACCGCACCACCATCCAGAAACCCACAACCACCCACAACCACCCACAACCACCCACCCACCCACCCACCAACCCCTGCACCTCTCTCTACTCCCCTCAGTACCTTTGCCGGAACTGCACAAAGCCACAGCCCTTGCCAAATGGTACCTTGACGTATACAAGCTCCCTAAAAGGGACTGCACCGCACTCCACCGCACTCCACCGCACTCCACCACACTTTACCTTTGCCGGAACTGCACAAAGCCACAGCCCTTGCCGAAGGGTATCTTGACGTATACAAGCTCCCCGAAGGCTCCAAACACACTCCTCAGCTGCTCCTCACTCACACTTGCATCCAACCCCCCCACAAACACCTGCAGTTGGCAGGCGGGGCATTGGCAGGAGGAGAGTCGGCAGGGAAAATGGAAGTGGGGAGTGGGAGAGAAGTGGTTAATGGGTGGTTGGGTGGAATAACCCCCTCAAAGGCCGTTTGCTCCTCATTCACACTCCCGTCTAACCCACTCACACCACAAACACCTGCGGGGCATTGGGAGGAAGGGCGTTGGGAGGAAGGGCGTTGGGAGGAAGGGCGTTGGGAGGAAGGGCGTTGGGAGGAGGGGCGTTGGGAGGAGGGGCGTTGGGAGGAAGGGCGTTGGGAGGAAGGGCGTTGGGAGGAAGGGCGTTGGGAGGAGGGGCGTTGGGAGGAGGGGCGTTGGCAGGAGAAGTGGAAGTGGGGTGCGTAAGAGTCTAAGAGACACGAGCAGGGGGTGATTGAGCAGGGTGGTGGGGGGATGAAAATGATACGGGGGATCACGGATAGAGAAAGACCGAGGAGGAAAGGAGAGAAAGGCTGTGAGTGAGTGCCAAATTCTTGTAGAGGCAAAGAGAGAGAATCCCAGGAGGGACTTCAGGAGCAGATTCGTCTCACAGTGGTGTTGGATTGGAAGGATCGTCTACCCCCCCATGCCCGTGCCCCCCTTTCAAAAGCCCTTACCCTGCTTTTTAGAGGCGCCTCAAGACCCCCCCTTCAAGAGCCCTTACCCTGCTCTCCACATCTCACAGTGCTGCTTCAAGGGTCGTCTACCCCTCCATGCCCATGCCCATGCCCCCTTCAGGTCTTGAGGTGCCGCAAAAAGTCTCCCCATGCCTGTACCTCCCTTCATGAGTCTACAAAAGAACCCATCATACCTGCTCTCCCATATCTTACAGTGGTGTTTGACGGGTCGTCTATCCCCCCATGCCCGTGCCCATGTCCCCCTCCCTGCTGCTGCTGCTGCTGCTGCTGTTGATGCTGCTGCTGCTGGTGGTGGTGGTGCTGCTGCTGGTGGGGCAGCTGCGCCTGCTGTGGTGCCACTCCCACTGGAACTCGCGAGAGCAGGCCTGTTGGTTCAAAGGAAAGGGGGATGGTTCATGTCGGATGGTTGGTGGGAGGAAGGGGGGCAACTTATGAGGCGCCTCAAAAGTCCACTCCCACTGGCACTCGCGAGAGCAGGCCTGGTGGTTCAATGCATTCATGTCGGTTGGTTGGTGGGAGGAAGGGGGGCAAAGGAACCAGGATGGAGACAATGGGGACGGTATGGGGGGAGTGGGGGGATTGGGGAGGGTGGGGTAGGGGAAAATCGAGCGGGGGAGGGGGGAGGAGGGAGAGGAACATCGCTCGCGGCATCACAAAACAAAAACTTCTGAGTCGACTCAAAAATCACACAGCTCGCGGCATCACAAAACAAAAACTTCTGAGTGAAAAATCACACAGCTCGCGGCATCACAAAAGGAAACGGCTGCTGCTGCATCTGCGGCCCCTCCCTCCCACACGCCCCATCTCACCACCAGCCATAGAAGGCGGCAAATCAGCAGCACTGGCAGCAGCAGCAGAGGAGGCAGCGGCCTTCTTGGGAGTGGCGATGGAGATGCGCATGGGGCGCGAGGAGCAAGAGCAGTGCCAACCCCACCAGAGCCACTCCAGAGCCCCTCCCCTCCCCCCCCACCAGGCTTCATCTCACCAGCAGTTGCAGGCGAGGCGCCCCCCCCAGCAGCAGCAGCAGCAGCAGCAGGCAGAGGAAGAAGCAGCGGCCTTCTTGGGCGTGGAGATGGAGATGCGCATGGGATGCGAGGAGCAGTACTGCCCCACCCCACCAGCCACGCCAGTGCCGGCCCCCCTCTTCCCCCTCTGAGGAGCAGTACTGCCCAAACCCCCACCAGCGTCCCACCAGAGCCTAAGCCCCGTCTCACCAGCTGTGGCAGGCGAGCCAGCAGCAGCAGCAGAGGACGCATTAGAGGAGGCAGCGGCCTTCTTGGGCGTGGCGATGGAGATGCGCATGGGGCGCGAGGAGCAGAATCAGCCACACCACAGCCCCTCCCCAAGTTCCCACCTCACCACCAGAAGCCCCACCTCACCGGCAGTAGCAGGCGAGGCACCCCCAGCAGCAGAGGCAGAGGAGGAAGAAGCAGCGGCCTTCTTGGGAGTGGCGATGGAGATGCGCATGGGGCGCGAGGAGCAGTACTGCCCACTCATCTCCCCTAGCGCACGGTCCCTCTCCTCCACCGCTGCGAACCGCACAAAACCGTACCCCTTGCTGCGCCCTGTAGTGTTATCCATAACGACCTGGGGGAGAGAGCGGGGAGGGGAGGGGGAGGGGAAAAAGGGGAGCGGGGGAAAGGTGAGCGGGGGGAAGGGGAGCGGGGGGAAGGGGAGCGGGGGAAAGGGGAGCGGGGGAAAGGGGAGCGGGGGAAAGGGGGAAAAGTGGGGGGAAGGGGTCAGTCAGGCTGGAATTCAGAGCAACGCACCTGGGCGCCTCTCCACCCTCGCCTCCACTTTCTTTCTTTCTCCACTTTCTCGCGGCCGCACCAGAAAGGAATGGTTGGATTGAAGCCTTGCTAAAAGTTCTCCACCACTGCACTGCATGCCTCTGCTCCGCTCTGCTCACCTTGGCGCCTCGCACGGAGGGGTATCGTGCACGGAAGGTCTCTGTGAGCAGCTGGTCCGTGACGTCCGCTGCTAGGTCGCCCACAAACACACTGTGCTCTGGCCCGTCCGATTGCCTGGGAGGGGGGAGAGGGAGGGAGAGAGGGGTAAGAAAGAAAGGTGTAAGGGGAGAGGGGGAGAAGGGGGGAGGGCGGATCGAGAGAGGGGGAGGGGGCGTGAGGCGTTTCGCTGGAAGCTGCTTTTGACAAGCCTCATGGACCAAGAAGCAGCTGGTCCGTGACGTCCGCTGCTAGATCGCCCACAAACACACTGTGCACCGGCCCGTCCGATTGCCTGTTGAGGCCGAGGGAGGGAGGAGGAGGTGTTGAGGGGGAGAGGGGATGGGGGATGACGATGGCGGGTTACCACGTGCGCCCACAAACACACTGTGCTCCAGCCCGTCTGATTGCCTGTTGAAGCGAGGGGGAGCGGGAGGGAGGAGAGGGGAGAGCAGATGGGAAGGAAAACACAAACAATTCTCACCGCCAGTCGTTCATGCCAAAACTCGCACAGTCATTGCACATCTCCCCTCCTCTCCCACCCACCCTCCTCTAACTCCCTCTTTTCCCGCTAACCATCAGAGCTTCCTCCCCACCCCCCATCCCCCTCAATCTCTCATCCCGCCCTTCTAACTCACTTCTCCCCCTCTCCCTTCCCCTCCCCGTGCCCTCCCCCTTCCCTCGTCTCCCCCTCCCCCTCACCGGCGGTCGTTCATGCCAAAGCTCGCCCAGTTGTGTCGGAAGGGCTGCTGGTCGGTCTGAGGCATGGCCGTGCCTGCATACATGCCCAACACCCACTCCCGTGTGCTCCCCTTCCCCCTTCCTTCCCATTTTACCACCCCCCTCAATCCTATCTCCCCTCCCCACTCTCCTCGACCTCCTCATTTCCGCTCCCCCCTTCCCTCCGACTCCCTCTCACCATCGCTCCCCTATCCTACCCACGCCCCCTCCCCCCTCTCCTCACCGGCGGTCGTTCATGCCGAAACTCGCCCAGTTGAGTCGGAAGGGCTGCTGGTCGGTCTGGGGCATGGCGGTGCCCGCATACATGCCCAGCACACCCCCCGCCACTGCATGCGACGACAGCTCCACAAACCCGTACCCCTCGCTGTACCCCGTTGCCTTGTTGCGAATGATCTTCACTGATTGCACCTGCGGGGGGGGGGGGCAAGGAGGGACAGGAGGGGGGCGAGGTGGAAGGGGAGGAAGCGGAGGGGGCGGTGGAGCCTGGCAACTCATTTGGGAGGCGCATGTACCACACGGCTCCATGCCTCTCCACAAACCCGTACCCCTCGCTGTACCCCGTCGCCTTGTTGCGGATGATCTTCAGTGACTGGACTTGCGGGGGAGCGAGGGAGGCAAGGGGGTGGAGGAGAAGCGAGAGGGGAAGAGCGAGCGGCGGAAGAACAGGGGAACGGGGGAGAGGGGGTAGTATAGGGGGGGGGGCGCAGCGGACCCGGGGAATGAAGGGCAAGAGAGGGGACGGAGGTTGTGTGGGGAAGGGGGTAAGGGAAAGGGAGGCAGAGGAGGAGGCGGAAGGGGCGGCGGAGAGTGAGTGAGGTACGGGCGGTGGGCCGGCGGTGGCAGCGACACGGCTCTCCATGGCTCCGAAAAGGTATTGTTGAGGCGTCTCGAAGCTGTGCGGCACATCGAGACACACACACAGAGACGGACAGAGAGACGGACGGGCAGACGGGCGGACGGACGGGCAGACGGACGGAGGGACGGACAGACGGAGGGACGGACAGACGGATGGACGGACAGACGGACGGACAGACGGACGGACGGACGGACAGACGGACAGACGGACGGACAGGCAGAAAAGACGGACAGACGGGCGGACGACAGACGCATGTACCCGCGTTTGATCACAAGGCACGTATGAGAATTCTCAGATGTGATTCTGGAAGGCAGGAGAGATAGTCGCACCAGAAGGGCGCATGCAATCGCGGAATGCGCATCACCCCGTCAGGAAGCGGGAAAGGGCGCAACGCGCGCTCGAAAGGGCAAAACAAAGTGAGAGAAAGAAAATCGCGCGCGCCTGACAACGCGGCGTGTGCAGTGCGCGCCGCCGCCGCCGCCGCAGCCTACACAAATCCGTTCTCAATCGCAAGAAAAAACCACGCCGGGTCGTCGAGCATTCGCCCTCCCAGTCCACAGGCGCACAGCGCTTCCAATGCTTCCAATGCTCCCAATGCTTCTCTTCTCAGATAGGGGCGCACAGCGCTCCCAATGCTCCGCTCCTCTCAGTCCACGCTTGAGTCGACTCAAAAGACGCGGCACCTCAGACAGGTAAGTTTTGCTCCTCTCACTCTCTTATCGCTTCGCTCACCCTCTCCTCCCGACACTCCTCGACGCTCCTTCACGCTCCCCCGGCATTGCATGCCCTTTCAACCTGTTACGGTCCCCCTCCCCCCCACTGCATTCAATCGGCCGTCGCATCCCGCCCCTTTTTCTCCCGGCTATCCACGCTCTCCGCTTCATTGCCCCTTTTTCCCACACCGCCTCTCCCCCAATCCCCTTCATTTCCACCACAACCCCGCTTCCCGCATATCCCAATACTAATCCCTCCTCTCGTAATAACCGATTTTCGTTGCCCCTCCACCCGCCACTCACCTCACCTCACCTCACCTCACCTCACCTCACCTCACCTCGCCCGCAAACCGCCTCTTCCCGCTTATCGCCTCCCTCGGTTTCCCCTCCCCTCCCCACCCGGTTCACCTCCTCCGCTCGCGCGCATCTCGCCGGTGCGCGCCCACTGCGCTCGTGCGCGCCCACCCCACCCGTGCGCGCCCACCCCCCTCTTGCGCGCTCACCTCGCCCGTGTGCGCGAAGCAGTTCCAGAGATAATTCTCGTCCATCCAATACTGCAGATCGCCCACCCACAGCGTCTTAACCTCCTCTTGCCCTCCACCCCCGCCGCCGCCGCCAGTGCCGCCGCCGGCGCCGCCGACAGGGGGCGGCGCGGTCGGGGCGCTCTGCTGCAGAAGAGAAATCGACGGCTGCTGCTGCTGCTGCAGCTGTGGACCGACCGGCATTTGCGCGCCGGGCCACACGCCGTGAAGCACGGGCGAGACCTGCTGCATGGCGATAGAGTACGGCTGACGCTAAAGCTCCTAATGCAGGCTTTGATGCGCACCGAGAAGGCGAAGCGGGGTGCTGGAAAGGCGACGCAAAATGTACAATTCGCGGGGGGGGGGAGAGGGGGGGGGGGGCAATGAGGAGGAGGAGGAGGGGGGAAGGAGTGAGACGGCTGAAGGTAGAAGAATTCACGCGTGGGTGGCGGTCAGCAAATTATTCTCAGGTCCGTGAAATCGTAGCGACGCGACGGGCGATTGGTGACGGGAACGAGAAATGCTAATTCTAATGCTAATGCTAAGTAGAAAGATGATAGCGACGAACCGCGGAGGAAGTGACGCAGGAATAAGAGGATCGAAACGGAAAAAGGTCCTCGATGGAATGAGTAGGAGCAGCAGAATTTAAGCGTTTTTAATGGGAAAATGCGGCACCACACGGGCGGCGCGATGCTTTCGGGACTAAATGCCTTCACAAAATGGCCGAGGGAAAGGGGGTTTTAGACCAGGGTACTCGCAGTGAGGGGATGGTGCGACGAGATTGAAAGCCGGAAAACACGCACGCTCGCGTGACTGCGTCGACTGAAATCCTCCGTGACCACCGGAAGTACCAGGAGAGTTAGTGTATTTCTCTGTGATTGTTGTACTTAAGTGCCGCATTCAGCGCCCAAGACGGTCACGCCACACGCGCTAAGGAAAGAGCCCTTGGCAGGACTGGACCGCATGTGCTGCTGCTGGTGGGATGGGATGGGGTGAGGCGAGCAATTTCCGCTGGTGCCAGATAGGGCGAGGGATGGAGGTTGGTTGGTTGGTTGGAATTGGGGAGGTGGGAGAGGGCGAGCGAGTGAGCGAGCGAGTCAAGGATGGCGTGAGGAAGGGAGAGGGGCGAATGAGGCGAATTGGGGAACGGGCGTGGGGCAGGGGAAAGCGTGGAAGAAGGGGAGGGAGGGGGGTGGAAGAAGAGAACCAGGCAGGTGAGGGCAGAATGTACAGTGAAATGTAATGTGGACAGACAGCTGGTGGGTGGGTAGGAGACTCGTGGAGATTCGAAATCAGGTCAGAACAGATAAGGCGGGCAGGTTGACCAGGAGACGCTGTTCAGCCAGCAGCAGATGCTGTTTGCAAGCAAATTGGAAAAGAATCACAAACAATGGATTTTTACGGATGAGCTGCGGGCTGTTTTCGAGGAAAAAATGGAGTTTCACCAGCTGACCTGCAATGCAATTGAAGCGACGCAGAGGAAAGTGTGAAACCAAGATTTTTGGACTCAAATCGCATGGTTATGGCTGGTCCAAGATTTTTGTTTCCGACACTGCCTGACGAAAATCATTTTCGGCTTCGCGCGCGCACATCGCCCAAGACCTTGGCTCTGTTCTGTAGGCCCTGGCGGCGGGGGAGCGAGGGGAAATAGGTAGCTTCCCCCTCCTTCGTTTTTTGGTCCGGAACGGCCAAACGTTTTGCAGACGGTGCCGAACCAGCCATTTCCCCTCCGAACCTGTGCAGGGGAAATGGCTACAGAACAGCCTTTTACCCCCGTGGGTTTTTGGCCTATACGAAACTACCGATTTCCCCTCCCCACCTTCCTTCTCTGGCAAAAAACACGCCACTCGCCCCGCCATTCGAAAACTGCTTTTTCAGGGCTTGGCGAGAGACAAGGGAGGGAGGTACGGGGGGTGGGGACACCCCGCATCTACCCTCGACGGACATCCCCTCCAGCTGCTCGTGACCCATACAGAAAAGCACAACCCTTGTAAAAAAAGAAACGCGCTGAGTTGGTGGTCTGCTGCTGCGGATGTTTGAGGGCGCGTTTCTGGCTAGTGTCAAACTTCCGGTCTTCCCGGGATGACACGAATCTCGCCCCACAGCTCGCCCCACTTCGGGTCTTCCCTAAAAAATTTGCCCCTGGCTCGGAAAACACGAAGTTTGGCCGGAAGTTTGACACGCGCCAGGAACGCGCCCTGAGACGTGATGGGAAAGCTGGGAGTTGGGTGTGTATTCCGTTTTTCTAGCCCTGCACCCCCTCTTGCAAATGATTACCCTGCAATTTAGGGTTGGGTCCATCGTTGTACCCCTGCCAATGGGGCACGAAGAAGAGCAGGTAAATTCGCCATTACCGTCGGCAGTTTCCGCCCTCGCTCCCGAAGTTTCGCGCCTTCGGTTGTAGCGGTGTGGAGGTGATTTCGGTTGGGAAACTGCGTAGGAACCCGGGTCATTTGCTTCGCCCCCCTCCTCCCCCTTCGGGCAAATGCCTACAGAACAGAGCCCTTGTCAGGCCTGCCGCAAAGTGCACTGACTGCGCGCAACACGAGGTAAACTGCACATGCAGAGAGACCGCGAGCGTGCGGTCATGGAGTATGAGGCGCAGGGGGGGGAGTTCCGCTTCCGAGGATCTCCGCCGTGGCAAGGGTAGGTTTGCGTGGCGAAGCCAGTGGAACTGACGTGTGATTACGTGGCAAGGCGTTGGATAGAGAACGATGGGAGGAAAAGCCGCAAGATTGGATAATGTCATGCGACGCGGGCTTCTGCAGGGGAACAGCTTCAGACGGAATTCAGAAGTTGATTTCTGCCCATCGCAGCGGGGCAGTTCAGAAAAGCATTGACACCTCGGGTTTGACTCCATGGATGCCTTTACACACTCTCCCTAGCCTGTCAGGAGGCGAGTCTAGAAATGTGAGACCTGACAATGGTGAAATGTAGCAATTTCAGCTCTAGGAATACGGCAGCTGTGTCATTACGACACATAATGTACAGAAAAACAAGAACATGATTTCCATTGCACCACCTTACACTCTACATCAGCATGTTGTGCAAAAGGGGATAATGAATAGGCAACCATTCAGGCGGGTGCAAGGTAACCGACCAGCCCACTTCAGCCGCCAAACGTCTTGCCAATCCAACTAGACAATTCAGTACAGAATTTCATCGATAGAGATGAACCCAATGACAAGAATAGCCAGCACCACTAGCGAAGTGACCCATAATGGGCTGCGGAAAGGCGATGCATGCTGATTGAGAGGGTGTGGCTCGTTGCGACGAGCAGAGTCGTCCAAATCTTGCGGAAACTCCTGATTCAGAATGCTGTGATGAGCAAAAGAGATCAGGGCGGGCAAGGGGGCAAATGTCATTTGCATGAGCGGATAAAGGAACACGGTAAGACGGTTTGATCGTATACGATGACCCAAACCAGGCATGGGCTAAACGAGAACTGAAACGTGAAAGAAATGCATATGGCAAGCTATTGAAGCATTACAAGACGAACAGTAACACCAGGTAGGTACAATCAACAGTGTCATGTCATGCGTTCATGCAGGGATGACATACCCAGGAATAACTCACCATCGCGATCGGTACACAAGGCATGCAGGAATGATGAACATGACTGCTGCTCCTGCGTATGCTCCTGTTACTCCTACCAGCGAGTTCACGTTTACCCCGTTGTGCTGCAAGCGTGGAGGGGAGGGGTGGAAAGGCGAGAGGGGGGGGGAGGGGGGGGGAAGGGGGGGGGAAGGGGGGGGAAGAGGGAGAGGGTGGGGGAAGGGAGGGAGGAGGAACATCGGGGGAGGGGGAAGAGTTGGAAGGGGAATGGGAAAGGTTGAGAAGGAGGTGTCCGAAATGACAGGTGTGCTGAGAGACTTGTGCATGTGCATCGTGTTTACGTGGGAATGAGGTGGCACAGAGGCGAGAGAGGAAAGACGAAGCAGAAGCACAGAGGAGAGACAGCGAATGAGTGACACGCTCGTGTACGAGGGAAAGAGAGAGAGGAGAGGCGAGACGAGGAAAGACGAAGGGAGGGGCGAGGAGGGCAACGCGTGGATGGAATGGAAGGAGAAAAAGTGCAACGGCGACATTTCAGTACCCCAGAGTCGCATACCACCATAAACCCCATCACGGCCCTGCACCTCTGCAATCAAACAACATGCAACGGGAGGCACCGTTGCCAGCAGCACCACCATCTCTCTCCCCCACGCCACCCCTCCACGCCACCCCCTTCTTATCGTTCCCCCACACCCACACCTCCATCTCCGATCCCCTCCCTCCCCCACCTCATACCTCTGCAATCACACAGCATGTAATGGGAGGCACTGTTGCCAGCAGCGTCACCATCACCCTCCTCCACGCCACCCCCTTCTTATCCTTCCCCGATACCCGCACCCCCTCTCCGCTCCCCCCGCGCCGCCTCCAGGGGAGTCAGAGAAGCGGGAGGGGCGCGGGGGGAGGCGGGGGGAGAAGGCGGGGGCAGCGGGGAAGAGGGGGGAGCCCTTGGGGAAGAGGAGAGTGAGGAGCGTGTCGAGATTGTTGCGGAGGGTGATGGTGAGCATGGGGTAGTTGGAGGAGAGGGTCACCACTGGGGTTGGGCATGGGGGAGAGATGGGGACGGGGGAGAGAAGGGAGGGGGGGGGGAGCGGCAGGGGAGCGGTGGAGGGAATGGGGGAATGGGGGAATGGGGGAATGGGGGGGGGAGAGGGGGGGGGGGGGGAGGGGGAGGGGAGAGGGGAGAGGGGAGAGGGGAGAGGGGAGAGGGGAGAGGGGACAGGGTGCGTGTTAGAGCATGTACAAAAGAAACAACTTTGCAGGTTCTGCAAAGCTCATGCTCCCCTGCGGAAGAGAGGGGAGCCCTTGGGGAAGAGAGGGGAGCCCTTGGGGAAGAGAGGGGAGCCCTTGGGGAAGAGCAGAGTGAGGAGTGTGTCGAGGTTGTTGCGCAGAGTGATGGTGAGCATGAGGTAGTTGGAGGAGAGGGTCACCACTGGGGGAATGATTGGGGAGTGATAAGAAAAGACGGGGGATGTATGGGGAGAGTTGGGGAAGCGATGCAGGGTAGGTGTTTGGGGGGGGGGGGAGGGGAGGAGAAAGGACATGGGACGTGTTAGAGCACGTACAAGTGCGAACAAATCTGCTGGTTTCACGAGGCACAGCCATCCACCAAGCATGCATGCAGATAGCACAGACAAAGGACGAGGCATGCAATTGGGAAGAGGCATGCGCCTGGGAAGAGGCATGCACCTGGGAAGAGGCCTGCACCTGGGAAGAGGCGATTTCAGAGTAGACTCGAAAAGAGGCACGCACCTGGGAAGAGGAAGAGGAGGTCTCCAATCCAGCCGAACTTGGCTGGGGAGAAGTTGAACGTGATAGGGTCCTCTGCCCCCACTCCTGCAGTACAGGACGCACATGCCAGCCAGTCACACACACACATGCACACGGTATCATGCATCACACACACCCACCGCGTGCGCACGCACACACACACACACGCGACAGGGACAACGTACACCAACAGCCACACACACAGCAGGCAGAGGGAAGGCACGCACACAGATTTGCAATGCAATGGGTAGATGGTCGTGCATGCTCAAAGCTGGCTCACTTGCACAATCACACAATCGCACAATCGCACAATCGCACAAGCACGCATGCTCATCCATGGTTCGTTCGTGGCACACCCCACTCCCACGGAGTTTGGAAACATCTCACTCACTCACTCACTCACGCACCAAAGGCAATGCCGCAGGAGAGGAAGAGCAGCAGGTAGAGCAGGAAGACGCCCAGGAAGGCCGATACAAGAACCACACGGATGAACGACTTCTCCCTCATGGGCGTGATGATGCCGGGAAGGCTGGGGGGAGGAGGGACGGGCGGGTGGGGGAAGAGGGGGGAGCGGATGTTAGGGTAGGGCAGGGAGAAGAGAGAGAAGAGGAGGGAGATGAGCACCACACGGATGAACGACTTCTCCCTCATGGGCGTGATAATGCCCGGAAGACTGAGGGAGGTGGGTGGGTGGGGTATGGTGGAAATTGGGATAGAGGGGAATGATAGAAGCGCTCAACATCACGCAACATCACGCAACATCACGCAACATCACGCAACATCACGCAACATCACGCAACATCACGCAACATCACGCAACATCACGCAACATCACGCAACATCACGCAACATCACGCAACATCACGCAACATCACGCAACATCACGCAACATCACGCAACATCACTCAACTCACGTGCTTGTGGTTATTGAGCAAGAAAAACTCTCAGGGAGCACGTTTGAGTTGACTCAAAGGGGCAGAGTCGGCCGGGAGGGGACGGCAGGAAATGAAATGACGCAAAGTGACAAAGTATGGCACTGATTTGTGGTGGGGTCGTCGCCTGTGGCGTAGAGTGGTCACTCACCTGTGGTGGCACATGAATGCATACACAGCGCCACCAAAGAGGTGACTTTTGAGTCGACTCAAAAGTCACCACACTGATTTGTGGGGTGGTCGTCACCTGTGGCATAGAGTGGTCACTCACCTGTGGCATAGATTGGTCACTCACCTGTGGTGGCACATGAATGCATACACAGCGCCACCAAAGAGGTTCGGCAGAGCTCTGCAGTCAGACAGGAGGGGGGGCAACGCAAGGTTGAAAAAGGGGGATAGAGGGGGTCGAGAGAGGGGAGGGAGGAAGGAGGCGAGGAGGAGGGCATAAGAAGGATAGGAGGAGGAAAGGGGAAAAAGGAGGGGGGGAGGAAAGGGGAGGAAGGAGGGGACGAGGAAAGTGGAGGAAGGAGGGGAGGAAATTATGAAGATACTCGTATGGAAGGGCAGGCACAAGCGCACCATAAAAAAGGTAAAAAGGGCAATATGCAGGGTAGAGAAAGCGGAGGGGAGAAAAGTGGGAGGAAGGACGGTGGGGAAGGGTGGTGGGGTCGGGGTTACAAACAGAGAGCAGGAACCACCAAGCAAGGAAACCACCAAACAAGGAAACCCACCAAACAAGGAAACCACCAAGGAATGCCGCTGTCACTCTTGAGAATTCTCAAACAAAACAAACAGGGCGCAGAACCAACACACAGAGGAACGTTAAGTGACAGGCAGAGAGGAGAAATGCTGTGCTCGACCTCCACCCAACATCCTCAAGAGATCAAGGCAGAGAGGTGAAGGCGAAGAGACAAAGATGCAGTGAGGCAGTGAGGGGTTGAGTGAGGGAACGAGGGTGGATGGGTGCTTACGTGACTCTGAAGTTGGGCACTCCTGTGGTACGAGGCCCTTCCGTGTATGTCACCCATGCAGCGATCACAATCATTCTGTGGTGGAATGGAAACGACATGCAGGCACAGGGTGACAGGTGAGGGTGGTAGTGTCATGGTATGGGGTGACTGAGGCATGGGGCAAAGGCGCGAGGGCATGGCGCGAGACAGCATAGCATGGTAGTACGCGCAGGGCGTGAGAGGAGAGGAGTGCATGGAGGTGTGGTTTCCGAGAATTCTCAAAGTGACCCCTAGAACAGTGTGAGGGAGGCATGGTATGGTGGTGCGCACAGGGGGCGAGGGGAGTGCGGCTGCGTGGGGGTTGAGGTGAACACAGGAGAGCGGCATTATGAGGGAGAATAGAGCGTTGGAGGGAAGAGGAAAGAGGGTAGAGAATGGGGAGGGCCGAGAGTGAGGGAGAGGGGGAAGCAACTAAGATCGCAGGACCGAGGTGTGTGTGGGGCGTTGTCACATAATTTGATCGGAAAGAAAATGTCACTGCTTACGTTGTAATGGCAGCGTTTCGAATGACCTGGTTGTGTGGCGATGGGCGTACAAATGGGCAAGAATGGGTAAGAAGGGTGTAAATGGGGGCGGCAGGTAGGGAGGAGGAGGATGCGGGGGGAGGGAAAGAGACAACCATGATTTATTGCACAGATGTTGTACACAAAGTGTGAAATGCACTGCAGTGGAGTGGAGTGAGTGGAGTGGAGATGACATGCGGTGGAAGCAAAATTATGGATAAACCATAGTAGGAAAACAAATGGGCCTTCTTGAGCAAAGGGCACAGAGCAGAGGAAAATTTATTCACACTCGTAGCCACGACATTCCCTCCTGTGCTGTTTTGAGACGTCTCAAAACACTTCTTCAAACATTCCCTCCTGTGCTGTGCCCATTTCCCCCCTTTCTCACTCATGGCCTCTAACCATCCAAGTGACACAAATTCCATTCCATAACATAACGTGATGTCACACATCATATCCCCCAGCCACGCACACCCCACCAAACCTGACCACACCACACTGCACCACATCGCACGGCATTGCATGGCATGGCATAGCATCTTACCATAGTGACTATTTGCAAGGGCTTGGTCTTTTGGAAGTCAAAGAAGCTGTGGGGAGAGAGGGGAAAAGAAAATGGGTGTGAGCAACGGGCGGAAATGGGGGCGAGATTAAGGGGGAGTGAGCAACCAGGGGGCGGAGAAGGGGAGGGAGGTGAGAGAGAGAGCAAGATGGGTGTGAGCGATGAGGAAGGGCGGGACGAGAGAAAGGGTGGGAGAGGAGGGAGGGAGGAAGTCAGGCAGGCAGGCAGGCAGGCAGGCGGGCAGGCAGGCAGCAGTGAAGCACGGAGCAGCAGCAGCAGCAGAAACGAAGGGGTTGGTGACAGAGACAAAGAGGGCAAGGAAAGCGTCAAAAGCCCAGGGAGGGGGAGAGGAGAGGAGAAAGGGGGGGGATGGAAGGGAGTGGGAAGAGGTCTGAGCGCCTCACAAAAGCAGCAGCAGCAGCAGCAGCAGCAGCAGCAGCAGCAGCAGCAGCAGCAGCAGCAGCAGCAGCAGCACGCACCAGAAGGGGACGATGACAGCGACAAAGAGCACGAGGAAAGCGTCAAAGGCCCAGGGCGGGGGGTTGTCCGGGAAGAAGAAGGCCACGAGGGAGCGCGGCACAAACGTGCAGTAGATGGCCGCATCGCCAAACAGGTACAGCTGGTGGGGGTGAAACCGGAGAGAGAGAGATGGAAAGAGAGCGAGGGCCGCAGGGAGAAAGTCATTGGGTCGACTAAACATTGCGGTAGATGACTGCATGGCCAAACAGGTACAGCTGGTGGGGGGGCGGGAGAGAGACACAGAGAGAGGTAGGGGGGAAAGAGGGGGAATTGGAGTTGGTTTGGGGTTGGAATTGGTTGGGGGGAGGGGGTTGGGTGGAGAAGGAGCAGAAGGGAGTTGGGCGGGAGATGAAGACAGCAGAGAGAGTATCAGTCACGAGACGAATGTGAGTTGTAATAAACAACGGAGCATTCGTTGAGTAGAGTGCGTGAATTGCACAAAAGAAGGGCAAACTAACAGAGGGTATATGAAACAGAAGAGCAGAGGGGGAGCGAGTTACAATCAGGGGGACTATGTGGAAGCAGATCCTCCGCCGCCAGTCACTCACTCACTTTTAAGGGGCTTCTAAGGCCTTCGCATGTCTAAGCGAGAAACACAGGGAGAGCGACTCGATCGACTCACAATGAGCGCGATGTAGAAAAAAATGCGGCCCCAGTCACTGAAAAACATGTCCTGCGGGGGGCAGGCAGGGCGCAGGGAGGGGTTGAGAGGAGCAGAGAGGGGCACGGAGGGGTACAGATGGGCGAAAGGACTTGAAAAGGAGGCGCTAACAGGGAATGACCAATAAAGACAGAGGAACAAGGATTTTTATTTCAGTAGCCAAGAAATTGGCTATGCTTGAATCACCTTTAAGTTCTCAAAGAGGAACCACAAGGGCAGAGAGGCAAGGGGGAGGGATGGGAAAAGGGGACCACACACAAGGGCAGAGTGGCTATCACACAAGCCCAACCAACCCCTCACCGCAATCCCAGCCAATCCCCTCACCGCCATCTGGGCCATTTCCATTCGCTGGACAATCTCAAACGGCCCTCCTCCGCTGCTGCTACCCGTCCCACTCCCTCCCCCACCCCCCCTCTTTCCGTTTCCCCCTGCCTCTCCCCCTCCCCCTGCTCCCCCAGCACGTGCACTGCCCCCATCGCTCTCGGATCCCCCATTCAGCATTGCAGCCGTCTCCCCATCGCTGATCAACGGCTCTGTGTCTGACACGTACTGCCCGTCCTGCACACGCGGCGGCAGGGCGGCAGGGCGGCAGGGCAACATGGCAGCATTGCATGGCGGCATGGAGAAATGGTGGGAGAAACACAGGAACGTCACGCATCCAGGAGGAGAGGTGTAAGTTGACTACAAGAGAAGTAGGGGAGGTTACATTACAATATTCCTTTGCACAGACGGCGTCACAACACAGGCGCGCTTCTATTCTACAGCACAGTAGTCGGCCCAAAAGCGCGCAACCCACCTGTGAATGGCGTATGACGCTGAGGGCATTCGCCGCAGCCATGCTCTCGATCATGAACGTCACTCCCACGAAACTGGCACGCGGGGGAAGGAGGAACGGAAGGGTTGGCGGCGGGGGGGAAGGGGGGGGGTTGAGACGCCTCAAGACTCGTATGACGCTGAGAGCAATCACCGCAGCCATGCTCTCAATCGTAAACGTCACTCCCACGACACTGGGCGGGGGGAACGGGAAAGGGGAGAAGAGGAGGAGGAGGGGGAAAGGGGGGCGAAGGCATGGATTTGCTTTGAGTTGACACAACAGACATTTGCAGCAGCCATGATCTCGATTATGAACGTCATTCTCACAAAACTGGCACGCGGGGGAAAAGGGTTGGGGAAAGAAGGCGGAGGGAGGTGGGGTGGGGGGCGTTGTTGTGTATGCGTATAGGGGAGGCAAAGAGGGCACGGGAGGGCCAGGGGGAAGGGGGCTGGGCGGATGGAACATGGTTGGGTGCATGCATACATGGTCAGGCAAGGCACAATGGGGCTTGAAACGAGGCAATACTGAATGAATGGCGTACGAATCCGAATTGAAAGGAAGGAAACAATGAAGCATAATGAAAGGGAAAGAAACGGTATGTAGGAGGGTGGGAAGGGGGGGAGGGGAGGGAGGGAGGACCAAGAAGGGGGCGGCGTGGGGGGCAAGCGTGAAGGAGAGGGGAAGGAAGGTTGAGGGGGGGGGGAAGGGGAGACTGTTACTGAAAAGAGGCATGTGGTTTGTGAAGGCAAAAGGAAATTCGTACCTGGTGAAAGCAACGAGAAGAAGAAAAAGAGTTCCAAGAACCTGGGGGGCCGCGGATGCAAAAGGGGGGAGGGGGGAGTGGAGCGCAAAGAGAGGGGGGAGGGCAAAGAGAGGGGGAGGGAGAGAGGGAGGGAGGGAAAAAAAAGGAGGGCAAGAGGGGATCGGAAAGGCGGTCACAGGAGTGACAGAGGAATTGAGAAGGTCATGTAAGTCAACTCAAAGCTGGATAAGACAGGAGAGGAGAGACGATAATGGGGATTGATGTGAGGAAAATGGAGGGAAAATTCTGGACTACACATTAACTCGAACAAAGATGGGAATGAGAAATCTAAACCAGGGGAGCATGCAACCAGTCTCCTGTTAATAGATCAGGAAGAAAATCGGCTCTTTTCCAAAACGACAAAAAATAGTCGGGCTCAGAGGAGTAAATGGGAACGGAAAGGGTAGAGTGAAGGAGCAGTGAGCACGCACCCATCCTCCTGTTGTGAGCACGGACGGGAGGGCGAGAGCCCCCGTGCCCACGATCAGGTTGAAGACGTAGCTGCGGCGCAGAGAGGCAGGCAGACAGGCAGACAGGCAGCGAGGAGAGGGAGGGAGGGAGGGAGGGAGGGAGGGAGGGAGGGAGGGAGGGAGGGAGGGAGGGAGGGAGGGAGGGAGGGAGGGAGGGAGGGAGGAAGGGAGGGAGGGAGGAAAATACGGCATGGAGGAAACGACACGGGAGGGAGGGTAGGGCAGGGTAAACCCAGGGAGGAACGAGTACAGATTGAATCTCCACGGAAATGACACAGGAGGGGGTCAAGGGAGGGGGGCAGTCAAATGAGAAGGGAATACTGGGGGGCGGGTTACGAAAAGAGGTGCGCGCGGTGAATAGAGCAGCAGGACGAGGGGGAAAAGGGGGGAAGACAGGAAAAGGGGGACATGAAAGGGATGCAGTCACTTAGCAAGCGCGGATCCGCGACGGAAATGGGAAAAAGAATCAGACGACCCAATCTATCGGAAGCAGTTTTCCCCACGCCCATAATAAGCCACCCCTCATCCAGGTTCGGAGCTAACCGAAAATCGTCATTCAGAGCTCTCAAAGTGATTCCAATATGGTTTCCTAAAATGAGTCGTCTCTAAAATCACCTTTATTTTTTAAAAGTCGCCAGTGTGATAAGGTGATTCGAACTCCGTCCGACCTAAAGGCTTACATGAAGGCGATGCGGGGGCTGTAGGTCGAGCCGTCGTCATGATGACCGCCGGCCATCGATGAGATGGAACCGTCAGAAACCGTCGGGAAACGTGAGAACCGTCAGAACCGCCACGAATCGTCGAAGATGACTCTGAAAACGATCGACGAACGCGTTGGATCGGATGTTCTTCAAACGGTGTGTGCGCTGCAGCGAGAGCAGTGGATTTAGACCGCGACGCGACGAGACGACGAAAATATACGACCGCAATGGCCGCCACTCTTCTTCAAATCTAATCCCGATGAACGATCGACGAATATCAGTAGCTACTCCGTCGTATTCGCGGGACTCCGCAAGGCCTGATTAGCTGTAACAAGATACCATTTTCGAAACCTCCTTGCTTCCACGCCTGCCTCCGCGCCTCTCTGCCTGCCTCCCTGCTCTCCTCCCTCCGTGCCTCCCTCCCTGCGTGACGTAGGTTTGAAGTTCGAGACTGGATCTCGTCTGCTACGACCACTATAGACTGCTATGTCTGACCGTGATTACTTATTCACCCATATGGCTCCTCTTCTCCACGAAAGCTCAACTAAAAGACAAGGTAGCCCCGGAACCTCGGAGCTAAGGAACCAGAGGAGCTCAGTACCCGCCTGAAATGATTTTACGGCAAGAATGGTGAGGACATTGCTTTACTGGTGGTACCAGCACTGGGCTCAAAACGTTGGAAGCTGGTAGCGAATTAGGAGCTTTTCAGGAGCTTTTCAGAACAAAAAACTCACAGGTGACAGGACATGTGTTGTTTTGCGTGTCAGAGCGGTTTGTTAGCAATTTAGAACGTTGGAGTAGGGTTTTGTCTGAGCAAAGAGACGGAAACACCCGACAACAACAAAACCCCGAACACGCCCGCCCGGCTTCAACCGCGAGAAAAAGGCTTCTAGGGGACATCCTCCAACTGTGCCCCCCCTCCCCGCAACCCAACAACCTGTCCCGCCTGTTGACTTCAAGTAGGATAAATAGCAATGCGGTTGGATGAGCTTTACTGCTCTGCAGAGTGGATATACTGCATCTGACCACGGTTGGGTGGGGTTTTGAGCGATAACAAACGCCCAAGGGAGGTTGATCTCGCAAACCGTTGGATCAGCATGCGGCAGTTGCCCGCAGCGGGCAAAGCAGAACGGGAATGCTTGCGTCACCGAAGCAACACCGCCACCTCACCACCAGCCAATGCGAGGTGGCAGTTCGTCATGCTGAGAAGGTGGCACACAACGGCTACCGGTATCAAATTTAACCGTTTTGCACCGTGACATACGATTAACCTCACGGAATGTGCTGTAAACGTACACATGGGACCTCTGAGGGGATGAAATCTAGGTGTTAATTGTGAATATGGTCGGTACCAATATTTTAGCAATCAACAAAATGATCAACGTTGGAAAATTGTGTAGACCCAATGTGAAGAGAGTCAAGATAATTTGTGTCCTCTATGAAGGCCTTCTCATAAAATCTGGGCCAACAAATGTGGTTATCAGCTACGTAGTACACGCAGCCATCCCTCCATGAACACACGAATGAAACCATACCTTCATAACATCGCGAGCACTTACGTTAGCCATTAAAAGACCCGCCCATCCTACTCTCCCCTCTCGCACCTCCCACACACTCCCCCACCCCCTACCCCCCCCTCCACTCTTCCTTCTTCCTCCTCTTCTCCCACCTCTCACCGCCTCCCCTTCCTTCCCCCTCCCTTCTTCTTCCCTCCATCCCCTCCCTTCCCAGCAGCCGCAGCAGCAGCCGCCGCCGCACTCCCCTTCCCCTTCCCACCATCACCATCACCAGTAAGTCCACCCACCACACCCCCACCCTCCGTCTTCTCCCCTTTCACCACTGCCGCCCCCTGCGCCCCCCGCACATCCACCTTCCTCTTATCCTTCTTCTTCGGCCGATAGCTCGACCGTTCCCGCTTCGGCAACCACCGCTCCGGGTCGGGAGGAGGCCCGGGATTCGCCGGATCAAACCCTTTGGGCAGAATCACCTTGCGCTTGCGCTTCTTTTTTGCCCGGGCCCTCTCACTAGCTGCTGCAGCGGCAGACGCAGCAGCAGATTCGTCGTCAGGAGCAGGGCGCTTGGCAGCACGAGCAGCGGCAGCAGCCGAGTGCGAGAAGGTGGAAGGGCCGGGGCGCTGCAGGAGAGAGGAGACGTCCAGGCCCGATGTGCCAGGCATGGGGGGGAGCTCTGCAGCTAGCTTCTCAGCCGTTACTGCACGGGGTGTGGCACAGGGGTTGGCAGGGGCTTTTGAGAATCCTTGAGTAAAAAGCGATATTTTTTGTGTTTCCAAGGCCTCATGTGCCAGGCATGGGCGGGAGCTCTGCAGCTAGCTTCTCAGCCGTTACTGCAACGGGTGTGGCACAGGGGTGGGCAGGGGTCTTAGAGAATTGCAATACTTCTTTTAAGTTACAAATGTGTTCAAGGTGTGTCGAGCCAGGCACGGCATGACATGGCATGCCACCTTACTGCTGCCTACTTCAATCCTTGCACAACACGCCATGATCACCACTTAGCTATGCCATACCTGGGTCCACTTGGGACGTGCACGACACCAGCCCTGCAAGCGCCTGGGTCTTGAGCGTGGGGCTGCCTGCCAGCTTCCTCAGCGCCTGCCAGTCGTCTGCTGCGATGCCTCACAACTCACCTACGGGCCAAGTGTCCACACTACATCATACCTGGATCAACTTGGGACGTGCAGGCCACCAGCCATGCAAGCCCTGGGTCTTGAGCATGGGACTGCAGCTTCCTCAGCGCCTGCCAGTTGACTTCTGAGATGCCTCAATATCACCCACAAGCCACACCTGCACCGCACAGTCCCCAAAGACCTCCTCACACACCTCCCCTCACACCGACGCCATACCTGGGTCCACTTGGGACGTGCAGGCCACCAGCCCTGCGAGTGCCTGGGTCTTGAGCGTGGGGCTGCCCGCCAGCTTCCTCAGCGCCTGCCAGTTGACTTCTGAGATGCCTCAATATCACCCACAAGCCACACCTGCACCGCACAGTCCCCAAAGACCTCCTCACACACCTCCCCTCACACCGACGCCATACCTGGGTCCACTTGGGACGTGCAGGCCACCAGCCCTGCGAGTGCCTGGGTCTTGAGCGTGGGGCTGCCCGCCAGCTTCCTCAGCGCCTGCCAGTCGGCCGCTGCCTGCTGCGCTGCCCCGTGCCGCGCCTTGAACTCCGCCGCTGCTCTCAGTAAGGCCTCACGGATGGATGCCTGAGGGGGGAGAGCAGGGCCAGTGGGAAGGTGTGGGGGAAGGGAGGGCGGGGGGGGTAAGGGAGAGAGTTGTCTGCTGCCTGCTGCGCTGCCCCGTGCCGCACCTTGAACTCCGTGCAGCAACACCTCACGGATAGCCACTTAGGAGAAGTGTGGCAGAGGAGGGGAATGGGAGGAGCAAGAAGAAGTGCCTCTCGGAAGCAGCAGTGAGTGCTCGCTGCTGCTTGCACCAGTGCCTCTCAAACGGCCGCCTGGGAGGGGAGAGGGGAGTGGGCGCAGCAGAGGGAGGGGGAAAAGCAGGTGCCATGGGAAGGGCAAGAGTGGCATACAAGGTCAGTGGCAAAGGCAAGGCAACATCCATGTGAATCTGCAACCACTCCACTGCTGCACCCTCCACTGCGGCAACAGCCGGAGATGATTTTTCCAGTCGACTTAGACATCATTTACAAGATCGGTGGCAGAGGCGACCTCCATGTGGTTCTGCCACCACTCCACTGCTGCATCCAACAGTACCCTGATTTTAAGGCAGCTCGAGTGGAGGCGCATCAAAAGCAGACTACATGGCACGTACAAGGTCAGTGGCGGAGGCAACGTCCATATGGTTCTGCCACCACTCCACTGCTGCATCCACCACTGCTTCGGCTCCCGCCACGTCCCCTGCCCTCTCCTGCACCACACCGCACATGCATGGAAGGTGAAGACAGGAGAGATTCTGAGAAGTAGAAATAAGAGATGTGCTAGAGGATGGAACAGGGCGTATGTGAGGCAACTTAACAGCAGGAAGGAGCGTGGGAAGCGAACGCAAGCCCGCAGCGATCAATTCCGAAAATTCACGTGCCACGAACTCGACCTTCCCCTGTTACCCCTCCAGAAATTTACCTCAACTCCTCTCCAGCCCTCCCTACAGCCCTTCTCGCTTTACCCTCCACACCAGCTCACCTTGAGATCCATGAGTGTTGCCACAACAGCCGGCCTGTGCTGAATCCCCTCCACTTGCCCCAGCCCTCCCCACAGCCCATTCCCCCAGCCTTCCCCCAAGCTTTCCCACATCACAACACAGTCCTAATGACACACATCACAACACACTCCAAATGACACACCTTGAGATCCATGAGTGTCGCAACAACAGCCGGCCTGTGCTGAATGCCCTCCACTTGCCCCAGCTCATCTGCTGCTTGCGCCCACCGCCCTGCCATTGCTGCTGCCTGCGCCGACAGCAGCCGCGCCGACTGCACCCGACTGAACCCCCCGTCACCCCCCTGTACCCCTGCCCCGCCACCCGCTTCCCCTCCCGCCGCTGCGCCAGGCTCGGCCCCAGGCTCGGCAGGCGCCGAACCGGACGAGGTGGAGGAGGCGGCGAGGGAGGAGAGGATGGAGGGGAGATCGTCGGTGCGACCCTCTTTGATGAGCAGAGCTGCCTGCAGAGGCAGAGGGTCGTCTGAGTCGGGTAGAAGGCGCTCCACACAGGGTAGGGACGCACGTGCCTGGTGAAAGTGGGGGGGGGGGGAGGGATAAGGTCCAGTGAGGAGCAACGAGGTGTAGTGAGGTGCCAAGTAAAGGCAGAGGGTCGTTGGTGTCAGGTAAAAGGCGCTCCACACAGGGTAGGGACGCACGTGCCTGGTGAGTTGGGGGCCAAGGAGGGGAAACAGAGGGGAAACAAAGCGCGATGAGGGGTTTTTGGAGTCATCTCAGAGTGCAAGGGAAGAGGGTCGTTGGTGTCAGGCAGTAGTCGCTCCACACAGGGTAGGGACGCTCGAGCCTGGGTGACCGGGGAAACAATGAGGGGCAACGGGGGGAAATGCAGGAGGGGAT